ACATTCTGACGCTGATGCCCCTATGAATTTGCTCTAGACTCTTCAAAGCCGCGGGACCTACCCGAGACAGCCAAAGGTTAGAACCCGGTGCGACCAGAACGAGGCGAACTTGGCAGGGTCCTCCCTGCTCAAGCCTCGGGATGTTGAATACATAAAATCCATAAAATCCATAAAATCCATAAAATCACACTTCGGAGCAATTCCTCTTGGATGTGGTCAAACATGAGAATGTTTGCTTGACTAGGAGCTAGAGCAAGCCTCAACTGCGGACAGGCCTACACCACCTATACATCATTATTCATATCTCCAAAAGATCCATCCACCCACCTGGGTCATGATCTAGTCCTTCCAGCAGATAGCCGAGTATTTCGGGGGACACAGCAGCATGCCATACCATAGAATTTCTATGCGTTAAATGCTTAAATAGAATAGACATGACGTCGCACACTGGCACTGGCACCACGATGGCATGGAAAGTCAGCCGACACTGTCGCGCAACCAGAGATCTATAACCCGGAAATGCAAACAAGCTTGACTGGTTGTACATAGAGCATGTGGGGATCGGAATAAGCCAATGCCCAAGTCCCAACTGCCGAGCACCATTTGGATTGCCCCACGACGTTGACCGATTTTCGTCGGTGAAACTGACTTTCCCAGCCCTACAAGCAAGATATTGCGGGAGTCGTGACGATCACACAAACACAACTGGAACTACGTATGTGCCATCTATAGATAAGTTGCCTTTCCGAACCACTTCGGAATTAATGGGTATAACACTTTGAGTCTTTGATTGGCAAACGAAGTGCCTCATACATGCACACCACAGCGCAGACCGTTGCACGGAATCCTTCCTGGCGAGCCGTGATGTGTGGAGGTGAGCCACAATCGACATGTAGTTTACCTTTCCTATCAATCGATTATGCCTCTCTCCCTAGAGGAGTTGATTCAGCTGATTTGATTGCCAGACTGGGATGTCTATAAGTGGATATTAGACTAGGTAGTTAGCAAACTCCCTCCCATTCATGACCACAATCATTCGTTCCTACGGCATAACCGGAGGAAATGTCTCAAGCATTCTAGCTCATTGCATGCACGCGTGCCGGGTTTGAAACCAACCCCCACGATCTAGATCTACCAGGACTTTCTACATAGTCAAACAGAGCTACCGAGAGAATGGTTAGTTAAACGTAAAAAATGCTCCGGAGTACGAGGTCTTAGACTTAGAAGCCCATGCAGCTGCCCGACAATCACAAGCCTTCTGGCGGATTCTTTCGTCACATGTAGACAGAAGGAATAAGAAAGTTTATGGACTCGTTCATATTCCGTACATATAAGACACTTCAGAAATCTTAGGACCCTTGTAACTCGGTCTAGGCTCCACACGCTCAAGTTGAGATGTGCTGCTTAGCCAATCGCATGGTTCCCGTTCAACGACATCAACTTGGTGATAACCTCATGACTGAATTTGCTGAGACTGCATGTTTCAGACATGGCACGGAATACTGTGGGGATCGGGTATTTTGGACATCTCAGCTATACATGTGTGTATGGCATATGCCGGCATCCAAAGACCAGAGTGGGGGTTGAATCAAGCAATATCTGCGGGATCTTGCTGCCTCAGGGAGCAAAGACCAATATCCACCAGCCGCACAAACGTAGAATACAGATTATCAAGCGTTTAGATGGTCTCCACTAACATGTAGCATATTCGGCAACCTGCCGGTTGGCTGTTCTTCTCTCACGGTGTAGCGGATATACGCAGATTATAGAACACGGAAAACATTGCCGCTGCCTAGTCCTAGACGCTTAGCACTAGCTAATGTGCAGTATGCCGCCAACGCCGTAGAGTTAGGCACACGTTCTCTGTCACTATAGTCTTAGGTAAGGAAAGGCCACAAGACATAACCCTTTCCATCGAGGGTTCACTGGAGAAGTGTACCTTAGGTACCTATGTAAGAGCATATGAGTCTATTAGAAAGAAGTATATTCTCGTAGGGAAAATTCAGACCTTAGGCACCTCAGACATTAGGGAGGCCCTATGCTCTGTAACTATTTTCATTACAAGCCAACACAAGGCAATATCATGCTAAGCCGATAACCATCATGAATCACCACCTCTTACATGCAGATGCTGCATTTAAGCTTCCATTTTCTGATTATTAGACATTGAAACTAGCACCATGTCAAGGTAGACGCCCGTGAAGTTCAATATGCATGACATCTAACAACTCATACCGTCTATCGTGAAGTCTCCTTTTCATCTAGTTGCCATGTAGTTTGCCGGCACGGGTCACCGCTTCACCTGCAAGAATACTCAATGCTATTCCCCCACGAAACCCTTGGGATGAGCCATTGAAAGAATCTCATCAGCGATTGAAGCGTTTGTAGACATCAAGGTTGCTGGAATAGACATGTAGTGACCATCAAAGTCCCCCTTGAAGTCTTGCTAGCATTCCTCTACGGCAGAAGAACATAAAGTCGTTCCCTCCCCCATCTTTTACTTTCTATGCCATCTAACAACATATCCTATCTTGATATATGAGAGCAGACTTAGTTGATCGGAATCCAATCTCTAAGTTTATCAAGTTTCTATCTTAAATACACTTCACATATCCTTTTTAACGCATGCTTCTTCCGGTCATACAAGAAGCTTCTGTCAGCTATATACCTACCTATATATATCGAAACTACCTACACATTATGACAACCATTATTTTTATATTATTCCCTATGCTGCTCCCCTATTATTGGCAAACTTTCTAGTGGGCATGTCTTTTCCTACCCCGGAGGTGCTGGTCCCTTACACTCGCTATTCTTATCTATATCATTAGTCTACATTGCTAGTTGGGCTGTTTTAACTATGAACAGCAATGGAAAGGGATGTTCGAGGCTTTTGAGGATCACGCTTAACCTGCCTTGCTTACCCAACCCGGGAACTACTCCTAAGCGGCATCACTACTCCGTTGGACATCTTTTATCTTAGCCGGCTTCTTTAACGACTACATTTATGCTACCACCTGGACTGGTCCTCTCTACCCTCCGAACCGGCATGGCTCCATCGTCACCTCACCTCACCTTTTCCACGTCTCGATCCTAACTGATCGAGCATATCGGAGTACCACATGCCTATTACCTACGCATCTTTAATGTTAACTACCCTAAACATAACTATCGTTGATGTCCACCCACACCAGCAGATCTACGCCTATACTATCCTCGGCGATTATAAGTAACCACATACGGCGATGCTTCGATCCCTGCTTCTGCTCGGTACCAACTCTGGTACACATACAGAATCCTCCGACTTCAGCCTCGTCTCTACCTAACCTAACTATACCGATCGGTATACCTAATTTATATCGATCGGGTTTAACTAATACGTCCCTCCTCTATACACTTTTGTACCCCCCCCTCCACGGTGATGGGGCGGAACTGTGCGTCTATGTTTACGGATACAAGGACTCGTGATGCAGCATTACAATCAGTAATAGCATCTAGATGAGTCTCGTAGTATCGATGATGATTAAATCTATGTAAGGATTACGAGAATAATTATGTGTACAACTATAGCCATTCCGTGGGCGGTGACGCCTCATCAGTGGCTGGTCCGTGCGTAGCAGCGGATCTACAGAACGACGCTTATACAACCATATATACGATAAAAGAGCCTCAACACTATACCTAACTAAACTAATCTTGGAAGATCAACCGAGAGTGCGCAAGAGTGCAACCGACCGGTCTGAAACAGTTCTGGAGCAAGGGCTCTCAGTTCCAACCCTGTTTCTTCTCTGTCTTTACGCGTCGCCCCCTATTGTCACGAGGTGGAACCAACCAGCATGGAAACAACTTCGTTGTTCCGCAAGGAACTCTAACCTAACTACGAGAATCTACGTCTATACATACTGAACAGGTCCTTTGTTCTAGATGTCTCATCCACAATCCTGACACCTATACCCCACCGCCTTACTCTATCCGACCCATACTTACAGCCCGCGCAAACTACGATCGCGGACGCAACAGTTAACTCCTACATGCGAGCCCTGCACTACTCTAATCTAAAATAAACTAATCTAAACTATCGCGGCCCCGAGGCCAAGCGACCATCCAGCCAGGCAAGGACACTACCTCGGGGTCTAGAACACCCCGAGACGACGGTAGAATTCTGGGGGCGTCATCCAGGGTTCGGTCCCTGTCTGTGAGGCGTGCGCCGTTCTGCCGTCTTTCGCTAGAGGCCGGTTCTCGCGTTCGTGAATGGGGGATGTCATAGTGCCCGAACTAGAATTGCTTCCCATCCTTACCGGTCTGAAGCTCTCTATAGGGACGATAACAAGGAAGGGGCAATGTACTAGGAGGCGTGTCGGGCTCGTTGCCTCCGGCAACGACAAGTCTTTCATCATTTCATCATCTCAGACTCATCTGGATACATCTATCAATAACTAGACTCTAAGGTTCTACATCATCTTTACCCACAAGTACATTTCATCAATAAATACCTACATAAACGACTACCTAGCTAAAGTTCACGTTCACAATATCAATATTAACATACATACATATCTACGCTACAGAACCCCCCTTTAGACTTAGCTACCTATTCATCTTACTTTAAATAACATATAACTCAAGAATCCTGATTCCATTGTTGCGGTAGTGATAAATTGTATATATGTAGCAGACGTAGGAAATCTCCCTTGCAAGTCAGCTACAATAGCTAGGGGGGAATGGCCATAGGAATATCCATATCAACCTATACAGAGAGTACCCGGAGGACATCAGCAGCCGCAGCATACCGCGCGAAGAACTCATAGCCCCGTGATACCTACGTATCTCGCACAGCCGACCAGCGAGACAACTAAGGGCCTATTATTTAATCTAAAGATATTTATAGTCTTAACCTATATAATGTTAAGCCAAATTAGATTAAGCTATTGATTAACTTATTGGATATGCTAGCTCATATATAGACACGGATAGCACTATGCAATCAGGAAGCCTAGTCACTTGGAGCATTAATCACTTACTACCTATACTCAGTTACCTAGATTTTCCACTCATAGCCTTCCGTATAATTGCTGTTAACACTGAACGAGTTGCTAATAACAATGTAGAAGCAATAGCTTATAGTGTTCGTCATATAGATACATAAACATAATAGCAGTTAGTACAGCACAGATCCGGCGAATAAAGATTGATCCTTCGTAACGTGCACTAATCTTTAGGATCGTCGCGTCGTTAACCCCTTAAAAACCCTCGCTGGGCGTTTCTCGCTTGCTCAGCGCTGTAAGCATCGATCTTGACGGCTACAAGCACACACTCGACCGCGCTCTTTCCATTCCTCGAGCCTTGTATTCGGAGCCTCCACTGTCCCGTGCGGACTACCCACTCATCTGCTGTATGGCTTGAGAAGTCTATCCGCCTCCTTTTCCTTGCGGGCCCGAAGTATCCACCTATACTAGAAAGCGGCGACTCTTGCCCGCCGCCGTGGCCCATTGACGATGAGGTTGACATGGCAGTAGCCATTTCATCGTTTTCTGTAAAGTTATATGTTTTACCGTCGAGGATAATATGTGTATCGGGTTCGATTACTACTCGAACGAGATCCTCACTCAACGGGGTATTTCCTGGTGTCGCTGGCTGGCTGCTAGCCCCGCCTGATGCCATTAATAGTCCCAATGGTTGGGTGGTTGGTGGAAGGTTAAGTTTTGTAGCGATTACCTCGAAGAGCCTTGCTACACGAACTTTGATCTGGCCGAAGAACTCTGCTCGCATGATGTTCAGATGCAACTTTGTATTCTCGCCTCCAATTTCGAGGATGAGTTCGTGCTGTTTATCATCTTCATACGGCCGCATGTAATTAACCCACCCTGACACGGATTCACCAGTACCACTTGGTGTCATAACATCGCTAGCAATCGAGATGCCTGATTTCAAAATATCTTCAAGTCTAAGAGTAATTTCGTGTCGTCGCCGAGCCAGATTATAGCTTATCTGATGCGGGATTAACTTCTGTTCTAGGCCCTTAAAGTTGAAATAACGACAATCGCGCAGCAATGAGGCGCGATGTTCCTCGTCGCGTATGTGTACAGGATATCCGCGCAACAGGTGTAGCAGCTCATTAAAGATATCAGCAGACCGGTTCGGTACACAAGGTGGCATAATAGAAGGTGGGCGGATCAGATGTTCCTTATCTAGCCCAGGAAATATCTCCTCGGGCGTCGAAAAGAAAACACCAAAGCCCAAAGAAAAGAAATTAGGCGAATTTCCGGGACCACTAAATATGTCGCGCGGAATCTGGAATTCGCGATGGCCTATAGAAATGAAGATAGACTCTTCATAAAGCCGCGACATTAGCTTAGGTAGAGTGTAGAACTGAGCGTCGGCGAAGAGACGCACGAAGTGCGTCCCGTCACGTGGGGTGACATGATAGCCCTGTAAATGAAGGGAAATATCTCTAAATGTAACGGGATCCCGATCTATATAAAGGGTCCGTATTGCCGTTGATATATCTTCGCCGGCTTCTTCAGCTCTCGCAACTTGACACTGAAAATACCGTGAGAAATAAGACGGAGCTGGATGATCGGGTCAGCAAAGTGTCCTTAAGAGTGACGCGTCCCCTATATGTACAAGCTAGAAATGAGATTCGCTCTCCCGACAGGAATGACTGCAGGTGTCAAGAGTATGGCTGACATCATGCGCCTAGATAAGAATTGAGGGTAAGGGCTGCTTTCTCACGCACCATCAGAAGAAAGAGAGGCTCCAGAAAGTTTGAATAGTTCGGTTCCTATCTGGATAGGGAAAACGCGTTCATGAGGGAGAATTCTTGGGATTTTTGAGATTAGTTCGGGATCTGATGGCGGAAGAAGGAATATATCGCGACCCTTGCTGGTCTCACTGGAATGATTAGACGTATTCATTGTGGATGATGCGATCTATGTTGAACACGAGACATGGCCGCTACTAATGCCGCTGCTGCTGTTGTTGTTGTTGGTGTTATTGATATTGATGCTATTGGTGTTGTTGCTGTTGCTGTTGCTGTTGCTACTAGATTCATCTTAGTAGGAATAGACAGGCGTAGACGATCGGCGACATTGTAATTAGAATATGACTTGTCAATATATCTCAATTAGGTTACGGGTTTAACATGAATCGCGCGAATAGACCAGGGCTGATTAAACTTTATGATGGTCAGGTAAGCAACTGACAAAACTGATGTCTGATGTGAGGGTATTTAAAAAGGTACTGTAGTTAACAGTTAGCGAAGTTGCAGTTAAGAGAGATTTGCAATCATTTTGAAATCAGCTTAAGGGTTGCTTAGGGGGTGCTTACCTGCTAAGGTTACAGTTACATTAGGTAAGACACATATGTACCTAAGGAGATAGGAAGCCGTGCCTGCATATGAGGCGGTGCGGCATAGCGAGGGTTCCATTTTCAGCTGTAGAAGGTTCAAGGTTCAAAGTTCCATTTTCTCTCTCCGGGCAGTCTCCAGTCTCCAGTGGCTGAAGCGTGGCTGTTCTCTTCGGATAGCCGGAATACCTAAGCTGCCGTCCGGTAGGCGCTAGACCTAAGGAGGAAGGCTGTACTTCGTATATTTTTCTTTTTTATATTTTATCGTTGTACATATTTTATATCTTATATTCTTTCCCACATTCGCTAGGCTTAGTAATTGCCGTCTTGATCGTTTGCCGTTACGGTAATCTCATATCGAATAAGTATGTATCATCAGGGATTTTCGGTAGTTATGCCCAGGCAGTCTGACAGAGTACTGGAGGTATTTTACGGCATCATGTAGCAAAAGGGTTCATCTTCAGAGTTGTCGACAACTGGCGGCGTCTTGGTAAATAAACCTGCCCAGAACCTGTGGATTCGATTGGTTATATGCCCCCGTACGCGTGGTTGTCGTAGCATAGGGCCCTGCGTGGCGTCGAAACGTTCTCGGACGCTCCCTGGAGTGTGTGGGATCGAGTCGTTTAGGCAGTCTCTATTGTACCGATGATTGAAGCCCATGCTATGAATTCTCCAGGATAAATCCCCTGGCGATCCCTCCGTCCCCATATCTTGCCAGGCCCGAATTTCGACGTACTGCCTCGTTACTCGCAATGCGAAGTCTGTAGGACATTGTGGACATGAGCCGGTGGTCGCTTCCATGCCCGCGTATTGGTACCGTTTTATCGTTCCGAATGCGCTGTTAAGAGCACCCTCGAGCGCAGATTCATTTCTGCAAATATAATAGAAGTTCCTGCCCGAGTGAAATTGGGTGTGTGGACATATGGCCAATTCACCCAGAGCCTCGCGTGACATAAACACGTTCCGGTCTGTATCATAGGTCCAGGTGGATAATAGTAGGAATCTGAGCTTACCATCGGGATCGGAAACGATCTTGGGATGGGATGAGTACTTGGCTTCGAACAAGGAAGAGAATGCTGAATATAGCTCCGAGCAGAACACATTCATATGAGGAGGGAACCGCGAAACATAGCACGGCTTTAGTAGTGCCTGAAGGTAAGCATTGTATCTGGGGTTCTTCATGCGCATATACTTCAGAGCGAGCTGAACATGCCGATGCTCTAGGGAGAGAAGACGACAATCTATCCTCGTCTGCTCGCCATAGACATGCCACCTCCAGCGGCCCAACCCGAGGGGGCAAGTGAAATTTCCTGGTACACTTGGCACGTCCTGTTCGTCGACAATATGTAGTGTAACACATGCTTCACAGACCCAATAATCTGGCAGATCTTTTGAAAGCAAGCTAAGGTAGTTGATGTGTTGCCAGCGAGTATAACGGGCATGGTTCTTGTGACAGACGTTGGTCGATTTAGTGCCCAGTATCCTATGCATCGAACGACACGTGTGTGAGAGTAGCATACAGTTAGAGGGTTTTAGAAAGCTTGACAGGTGGATTATCAACTCAACCGGTAGTTCTAGAATAAAACATTGGGTATTTAGTGTCTGCTCTCGTTGTGGCTGATGCGAGGGCTCTGTTCGTCTTCGCCTTGCGATGAAGTTAAAAAGGGAGCTCATCTTTTTCAGCGATGTTAGAACGGTAGTATGCCGTTCCAAAGGAGACGAGTAAATATGATAGTAAGGGGCGAAGCAATTCTACGGAAGACAGATGACGGCGATCCACCAATTTATAGCAAGATGCAAATCATTTTCGAAAGAAAAAGAAAAGAAACTTAAGAGTTCTTAGCCCAAAACTTCACTTGGCTTAAGGGGCTGAGGTATAACTCTACCTTAAGCAATTCTATAACTCTAGAGTAAGATCTTGAGGCCTCAATGCTGAGCGCTATGCCCAACACTTGTACATATATCTAACTTAATATTAAGATTTATATATTTCATTTTATTGCCACTAGTTGAGTCCCTGGTCCTTATGGTTTATACTTAGACCATGATCTGTGTCCGTAGCGCGGTATGACCTTCTTTACACCTTGCCGGGCTGCTACTACGGACAAACAAGGTAGCCAATTTAAATGCGTAACTTAACATATATTTATTTATTGAGGCCGATGTACGAACTTGCGTCATCAACAATACCAAATTCCATATTCAAGACATCGTGGCCCTAGTCCATGGACCATTATAGACTTCCCTCTCTCGAATGCGTCCTCCGCCAAAGGTACCTATAATAAAGTGGGTATAATCTAGGTACGCACGAAAAGACATATATGCCGCATGCCCGGTCGATCATCAAGGACACCCACCCATTGCCGTGACTATACATGCCAATATAAAAAGAAATGCTGTTCTGAGAAGTGGTGGAGGAAAGGGGTAATATAACGATAGTCGCTGCGTTGTAAGACAGACTGAAAAGAGCTCAACATGTAGGCGGAAGAGGACAAGAAGAACAGACCCCCACCACGCACGTCCAAAGGCAACATCGGCATATTCGGCTCTACCAGCAACTTCAAAAGAAAGAAAAGGTCAATCTTGGGCGTCATAAGTCCATAGAAAGCGGCATGTGTCACGCACTGGGATCCTACTTCCGAGGCGTAGCTGTTCTATTTGTTAGTATCGATATCCGAGAAACTAAAGAAAATTAATAGGTACTCACCATTCACCATCTGCCTCTGTTTATTCAGCCAGCTCCGGGGAACCTCTTGTCGCCGCTGCAGTACGACGTGGGTACTCTGTAGCCTGCTGGTGAGATCATACCATGCGGTAGATATCATCGCGTTTTCGCGTTGCAAGTTTTTGATGATCTGGTCGGTTCGTGCCTGTCATTTTTTTTGTTAGGCGTTGACAGAATGCTTCCATCGCAATAAAAAGGGGGATGTCTCATGAGCCACGGTCTCCAGGTACAGGACAAATAATGATACATGATATATGATATTTAAATAAGAAACATATTTCTTAACTATTATGAAACTACAAAGTAGATAAAGACTTGTCTGGTCTATGTCGTCGACTGATCCACCGATATACCTATGAACGTAGAAATTTTTACATACCTTCTGAACACCAACTTCCGATCCAGCACGGACAGCCTTCAGTGTCCGCTCTAACTCACGATTCTTGACATCGGACTGCTCATACTGCTGTAAATCAAACAGGTTTAGTCAGTCTGTATGTCCGGAAGCAATTTTGTATCATTGCAGTTTAGAAAAAACTAGCGTCTCATCTCGTCTAATCCGTTTAGTCCAGCCACTTGGCTTTGGTTCGTCCCGTGTGCTACGGTAAATGTGTGCTAGCATAGGGGCTGACGCCGGATTTGCACTGTCTTGTAAACCACCCCCCTTGAAGCTGGATGTAGTATATCTATTTTTGGAGATATCATCACCACGCGGAATGCGTATGGGGGCCGATAATGGGCGACCGGCCACACTAGAGGAACTGACATGTCTCGCTTGAGAATCTTCGGGAATTTCTTTTTTCTGCCCGAACCAGGAGCTCACAACATCCCAAACGGACTGATGCTTGACTGTGACTCTGGTAACGCCTTCGTCTCCATTTTCGTCTTCGTCATCGGCGATGGTAGAACCAGCGAGAGATGGAGTATAAACAGATGAACTCACCTGTTGTAGCTGCTTGTATCGTGTCCGCAGCTTCTCCATTTTCTCGGATTGCTTGGCACTATCCGTGTTGACGGAGAGCCCGTCTGCGGCCCTCTGCATCTCACGGTTAGCTACTTCGGCTTCGCGTCGCAGCTGGTCTTTCTCGATGAATGCCGTCAAGAGTTGCGACCGCTGGTTTTCGAACTCCTCTCTTAGCGACTTGTGCTTATTTCTTTCCGCTTCGAGCTCGGCGCGTAGGGAAATAGCAAGCATGCCATCGGTTCTCTTAAGCTCTGCGAGTGCCTCTTGACTAGACTTCTCGACAGCGTTAACTTGTTTCGCATAGTCAGCATCGTCTGAACTAATCACGTATTCCCTGAAGATGATCTTACAATCACCTTGCAACTCTAAGAGAGCTCGCTCTTTGTCAGCAAGTTTCTGGTTCGTAGATTCTAGTTGTCGCTCGAGTTGCTTGGAACGGTTCTGCTCGGCGAGGACCTGCGTCCGGAGGTTGGAATACGCTTCGTCTCTGAAGTAGTTGGACATCAGCCACGTTGTGTTCGATGCGAGTTTATAACAAGCTTGAAGAGCCTGAACTAACCCATCTTTACCCATGTTCTGGATAATTGCATCCAGCTGGTGTTGACCAACGGTATACTTCTCGAAAATGTCGTTATACTTGTCCTGCAGGGCTTGTCGAGCAGTACGAAGATCTTCCATCTCCTGGATGAGTTGACCTTTTTCTGTTTCTGTACCTATGCTACTCCTAAGAACAGCATTCTCCGCTTGGAGACGCTGGATTTCGATGTTCCTCATCGACACGGCATTGCCAGATTCGTTCAGCTCGTCTTCAAGGGAGGTTGGAGGGTGCCCCGAGGGGGTACTCGGAGCGGCCGTGGGGTCGAGCATCATTACCTTCTCCTGCAGATCTTTAACGATGGCCTCATCCGTCTGGCTTCGAGCCTGCAAACCCTCGATGCGCCCTCTCAGCTCGTTAATCTCCGATGTGTACATAATCTTCTGGTCTCCGAAACTAGCGACTTCTTCTTCATACTTCTGGAATTGCTCGGCATATTTTTCCGCTTCTTTCTTGTAGACCTCTATCCTTAGCGTAGAGATTTCAAGTTGCTCTAAGAGCTTAGCTGCGTCAACGCGTTCGTTATGAAGTGTTTTGAGCTCCGTCTCTACTGACTTCATCGACTCTAACTTCTTCCTTAAATTGTCGGCCATGTTAGCTTTTTTAGAAAGATCCTCGTTTTTAGAGCGGAGTTCTTGGTTCTCGTCGGCTAATGCCTCTGCTTTATGTGCCACTTGCTCCAGGCGAGCTCTCTCCTTCAAAAGTCGATCCCTTTCTTCGACCAGAAAGTTCCTCTCATTCTCCAAGTTTGCGATGATTGACTCGTTCTCTTTCAGTTGGCGCTGGATATGGTGCTTGTTAAAGTTGCTAACTTCCGAGTCGATCTGCCTATGTAGATGCTCATTTTCTTCTTGGAGTTTCGAATGCTTTTCTAGAAGCTCGTCATAGTTATCCTGAAGACGGTCTAATCGTACCTTTAAGAGACTCGCTTGTCTGGTTGCCTCCTGCACATCTTCTTGTAATTTCTGGTGTTGGTTCACCAAGGCGGCTTCATGCGCAAGATCATCGAGGTTCGCATCAATATCATCATCTGCGGCCTCCTCGAGCTGGTCAAGCTTAGTTTTGCTCTCGCTGATAATCCGGAAAATTCCCTGTTGCACCCTTTCGTCTAGCTGCGTAACTAATGTGATGTACCGACTGTTGTCGTCCTCACGTAAGCAAGCAGCACATACGAAGAGGACCAAAATCTGGAAATAGTTAGTGTTGGCAGGGAACCTGTGTTGTGGACGAGAACTGCGGCTAGAGGAGGACCGTGGTTGAGAAGACCGTAATATAGAGTTATTCACCTCGAACATGTCTATTTTGGTAGGTTCCCAAGCCAGTGCCTGAAAATCGACCAAGTCGATAAGGGGCTCGATCTTGGGGGCATGTCGTCGCGCGATGTCTTTGAGACCCAAGTGGATGATATGGAGGTATCGCTTTCTGCCCTGGGTCATATCGCTATCGGTCGGTGTGGCGGCGAGGCTTTGTTGGAATCTCGAGGGGTTGTATTCATCGTCTAGAATTTCGAGCAGCGCGGAGAAAACAGCACCGTCGAAAAGATCATCGGGTTTCTTGATTTTGATGTCTCGATTCTGGCCAGGCAGTAGCTTTGCGAGCATCGAATTGGCCTATATAAAGGCACTACGTTAGCGGTTGGCCGTATCCTGAGATATGAAGGTAGACAGGGGGGTATAAAAGATATAGAAGACTACATACCCATTCTAGCAAAGCCACCTGTGTGGCCTGCGAGGTAACGGAAGGGATCATGTCGGCAGTAAGTCGTTACCTCGGGATATAGGGTCTAATTGTTATCGTTTATTAAGATTAGTGGTGGTCGTGAATCACACTCGATTCTAAAGGACCGGAAGGGCAGCTAGCTGCGCAAAGGCAATGGCTGAATGACAGTCAAAGAAATATATACCGGATGCAGATGTAATCGCACCCCGAAATTTGTGTAGTATACTGAGTGCTTAGCTGAGTACTTAACGTCGGTATGTTGAGAACTCGGGATATTGGAAGTGTATGGGAGCGAATCGTACTCGATGCAGTATGAAGAAAGTAGAACTTGATATGGGAGACAGCGCTATAAAAGACAGGTATAATTCATTGTGTTGAAGAATTACAATGGTTCAACAAGTAAACAAGAGCATCGTTTCTAAAGACACTCGATTGTCATTATTAGCCAACAAGGCTGGGAAGGAATTATGACTTGATTTCAAAGGCGGGTTGAGTTGTTCGAGTTCGAGTTATTCATACACATTTGGAACTCGACGAAGAAACGGAACACAATCAGATACATAAGGTACATTAATCAGCTACCCACATTGTATTAAAACATTGTACATTATGTACCATGGATAGTGGACCCTCAATATCGATTAAACAGCACTCAAAAGAGGAGACCACCACCCTCTGCACCCTATGGCGCCTGTACTTACAGGGATGATGCATGTGCTGATACACCTAAAACTGCACATGCGCATGTTTAATGGTACACATCTATGCATGTCAGGTACAAAAGACTATAGATTTTATGATATTTTATACATGGCGTAAATACGTACATGCATTAAGTACTTTATGTAATTAAATGTGCCTAACAATAATCCGTAATGTAGCGAACACTTCCCACCGATTTCAAGCATTGCTCTTTGTTTAATAATAGAAGAAAGGGAACAATAGTTGTTCTTATCTAAGAATTCCTCTTATGATTCCCTTATAGTCAATTAGCTCTTAGTAACAAAGCTTTCTTATTAATTCACAGCAACAAGGGATAAGTTAATAAGTTAGAGAGTACAGAATACACCATCCTGTGTAAATCCTCGGTTCGAATCATACCGCAAGAAACACTCTCGACATCGGGTCCTGCAAACGGAACTACATATGTAATTCATCTTACATACCTATTTAGCAGATCATCGCCAGCAAAGGAACACCTCGCAAATTTATCGAGAATGATCATCCCATCTATTGTCTCTTCGGACGAGTTGATACAGGTCACTTCGGCTGATGTCGACGCCCGGACATCCAAAATGAACAACGCAGCGTCACATCTCATCACTACCGTTTGTTTCAAGATGCAATCCGCCCCCACAGCGACCGCGATGTAACACGATCAGCCTGAGTGTCAAAGCTTAAGACAGATTCCTTTGGCAATTACGTACGGTACCCCTCAAGTACTTGACAGGTCTGTCATCCCGAAATACCTACGTTATACGCGATATCTGCGCGATTAGATACAATGCCTGTACAATCATTGGCAGTTAACGACTCCTCAGTCCTCAGAAAGCTTACGCGCTGTGACGCTCGTCGTTCACACGTGGGATTGACCTGCAGTAACATCAGATTTCAATTATGAAAATCTCAAGGGGAGACTTTCGCACACAGATCTACCAAAAAGACAATTGGCTAATCTACGAAGTTTCAAGGTGGTGACTACATATGCCACATACATTCAAATTAGACGAGCTGAGTGGTGCAGAGTCATATGGATCTAACATCTCTCGTGACGAGAAATGCATAGGTGATAGGTGGCCAAAAAAGCATTCGACAAGACGAGACGACTAGTTATTTGAAGTCCGACCAGAATCTAGCGGAGTCGGCCGAATGGATAGGTAGCGTTGGGCTTCTATGTAGACAACGCACCTAACTTCAAGTGATAATGGCCCTACCGCTTCTTCCTTCAATAGGGCTTCCACTCGTGCCGGTTTAATAAACGCTGTATGGGGGCCCACCTCATGTACGGCATTCAATGGGGGATAAAAACCACACACAAATACCACATGGATAATTAATTTGGTATCAGGTGAGTATACCTGCGTATATTCTAGATACCAGAACAGCCCAGTCTCGGTGTCTCCCTGCAAAATCCAATAGCTACTTCACATCACGAAGGTGTACGATCTTGCTTTTGACTTCTCATCTGCCCACTTAAGCTCGAAATAGCGGCAAGACAGCAACGCTCGACAGGGGTGGGGAGTCAAACGCGGTGAGACTCCATCGTGAACTCCACAATACTCTGCGGCTAACGTGGCAGCTGCGTAGAATCGGGTTGCTGGAACACTGAGGACTCGCACATAGCCAACGAAGCCAATTTTCTAAATACCATATATGGCCACTTAAACTTTCTCGGAAGCCTACCACACTCCGGACGTTGTCCTACTGCCCTCCTGACTTGATGCATATTCAAGGGGACAACGCTAAGACTACTCCAAGAAACCTTGCATCCTCGGCGTTTTCGGGCATGGTGAGTATGTAGCGTATAGACTACGCCAACCCGCATATTCCAAATAATAAAACATACAAGCACAACCACCCATTACATCGACTGACTCTGTTCGATTGGGTTTCGAAGGAACTAAAGACCGTAAAACAACATGGTGCAGCGAGAGTGTGATATTTCCTATAAACACTATAGCCGCCCTAAGGAACCCATCTCCTCCGAAGAAATACAAAAAACGCCAAAAGGATATTGTCTAATTCGATCCACTCCGTACGTCCACTTTTCCTATCACCTGTCCTTCAACAACGCCTGTTCCGTCTGTCTACCTGCGGGCTCCGTAGTGCGGAGGAGGGGTATATTGCAGGTCGTCCGGCGCCTTAGTCATGGCCGTCGTTACGTATGCGGTCAATCATTACGGTGCTTAATTCTCGCCCTTGGAGATCTGGACCACCTGGTCCTCCTCGATGACAGCGTTGTACTCGGCACTCCAGGCCGAGACCGTCTCGAGGATCTTCTGCGGTGCCTTAGCTGCGAAGCCCCTATGTTAAGGATCACCTAGTCAGCCTATCCATTCACTATTAAAAGAATACGTTTCGCCCCATGACGTAATGCAGACAAAATAAAAGATATAGGTAAGAAAAACATGGAGCGAAATGAGGGCGTACTTGATAAGCTGGTACTCGTGGGTGATCACACCACCCGCCTTTCGGATATCATCCTTTGCGCGGTTGACGATGTCGTCGGTGGTTCCGCTCGGGAAACTGACAATAACAGATTTCTGTATGTCGACGGCGGCAACACCGGCGGCGACAGCAAGTGCTGCGGCGATGGTAGAGAAGAAACGCATGTTTGTTGGATGAGAGAGTAGGTACTTTTGGATTTGGCGGTAATGTGGCTTGCAGATGGTAGAATAAGTATAGCCAATAGTAGGTGATGCGATAATGGGACAAAGAGCTGTAAACCAAGACCGGCCAAGAAAGAAGAGAAAGCCTAGACTATTTGTAAAAGCTTGATTCTCGAAGATTGAAAGATTAAAGTTAAAATGTCAGTGATGGTGGAACTTAGCAGTTTGACATGCGTGTCGATCTTATGAATGGACCTTCCGCCTGAACGAGCTGGGGGAAAGAGCTGGGAGCAGCCTGGGGTCCCGGTGTAGCCCGCGCTGGCCTACGGAATAGAGTGGGGCACCTTAAGCTCTCGCCTTTTGGGGACTTCCTGGATAGGCAGGTGATGGGGCTTGTTCACCACGATGGGCCAATCAAAATGAGGCCAAAGACTTCACAATTAATGCCGTGCCACACGACAAGAGCGTCGCAGCCACCTTCAAAAAGGCAGTTCGGAAATTCGCATCAGACATGAGTTAAACATGTGACTTTGTTATTCAAGCAATACTATCGCACAGATCGCATAGATCGCACAGATTAGCAACACAACATTGAATCCACAAATATCACGCAAGATGAGCCGACTTTTGAGTCTTTGAAGTTTCTCTATGAAAATTTATCTTTGTTATCCTGGATGACAACGATTGATCATCCATACGATCGTGTTGTCTTGTAAGGTTTTACTCTTAGTCCAAAATGAAACTCTCGGACACAGTCACGTCTAAACTTACTTGGTATCCCTCTCTATGGCACTAGGTGTCTTGCTTCATGTAATCCAACGATAAAATTGACGTTATCGTACTCCAAGATGGTTTCGATTAGATTGCAGATTTGCCTGGTCTCAAGGTCGTTGGTGAGGCCGCAGCTTGAGATGTTTCTGTACTCTGATATCGATGGCACCACTACTATAAGACAAAGTAAAACGGAAAGAATCGCCACTTGTTGAGACAGTCTAGGTTCCCTCTTCGTTCTACTCAGCTGTCTCTACCTAACCTTACTAACATTAAAGACAAGTTCGGTGCGAGACTTAAACGGTAGTCTAGGCCTAGAACAAGAAGACGATTGTTACTCAACGTACCAAGAGCACTCGAGATATTTCATAACTCTAAGACATAAGCTCTTACGAATTCGTATCGGGTAGTCTTGTTCCTTTTCGTGGGTGATCCGTCTCTCGGTGGCGTAAAGGAGCCCACGAACAAACCAAAGATGGTCGGATCATATTTTTCGGGGGACGTCGTTCAGCAATTCGGATTACCAGCGTAGATGTCGCAATGCTAAAGATCAACATAAGGTAACATTCTCAAGGCCGGAAAACCTGGACGCTTTGGACAACTTTTCCAATCCCTTTTCTAGCAAGTATAGAGAATGTAGAATGCATGTGTTCACTAATAGAATGACTCTAAGTAGGACGTGTCGTCTGATACTACGCACCGCATAAACATTTTACCCCCTTTCAAACAAGGACTACTTTATTTGTTCAAGACATGATAACTTCAAAGTCATTAAATTAGAACTGCGAAGACTTTTATACTTATCCTACATCTATCAATTCCTACCGTTATCAGATAAAGCTAAACTGAGTCAAATCGTCCTAGGTAGCTGCTGGCTGACAAGCTGATATTTGTGCATATTTTCACTTGTAAACCAATTTGGAGCCGTATACTAGGAGATATCACAAGGAAGATCTCACATGGGTGGTAGGCCAATAATAATATAAATATACCTAGAACTTATTTGAATAAAGTAGATACTAGGCACAAAGGGGGCTTACCTGGAGTTTAGACAGTACCGGAGATCCTTGATCGAACAAGACTATTGCTATGTAGGCTACAAGCAACACGACCCTAGGATATTCGCGAAATTCGCTGTAGCCTAACATGCAGACGATTCTCGTATAATTCATAACCTACGTGTAGTTATATGTAGTTAAGTAAGAGCTGAGCTTGTTGCTAAAATTACAAAGCAAGGAGAGAGCATACTATTGTACCTAGCATTCTATTCTAGCTAGAGTGGACTACCATTTTGGCTACTAAAATAGCGAGGGGCACCATGCTAAAGATTGTGAGTTAAAAAGGTATATAGCGAGGGCAACAGAGCTATAGTACGGGCCCAAGTGCATTATTATATTAAATACTATAGATGGGCCTCAGGACTTTAACATTGGCACATGACGACGAGAACGGGAATAGTGAGTATCCCGACGGACACCTCAAAACAGATGTGCCGGACACAAGTTTATACGGACAGGGTATTAAACCAAAACATACGTTTAGTTATCTATAGATATATGCACTCGTTAATTCTCTTATAGTTAGACATGATTACATGCTCGCTATTCAGCTATCAAGACAGATAGGCTATCAAAAGCCAATCACTAGCCAATAGAGACGGTTTAGTGTATTATATGACACAATTGGATCACACCATATGCAACTCGAATGTCACCATGCAAGACCTTAGCCTTAAGCCTCATCAAGTTAATCAATCTACAACATCCTCATATTTAAAGCAACGGTTTGTATCTCGAGACACGCGCAGAAACATGTGTACACCAACCAACGTTATCCGTCCGCCATGGATGCTACAAAGGAGGCTCAGTCTACTACCCATAGTCGACCCGTCCCCAAGACGGTGACCGAGAAATACGCAGATGTTACCCTGCGCTTGATCGAAGACCATGGGGATGAGTTTGGGCCCCTGACTCCCGAAAAGGAAAAGGCGTTGCAGCGGAAACTATACCGCAATATTATGATTCTGATATCCGCTATCAACATCATCTTATTTGTAAGTCGCTTGCCCCTATGCCAGGCACCAGGAGGCTCATCTTCTCGTTTGCTTTAGATCGACAAGTCTACGCTGGGATATGCTGCCATTCTGGGCCTTTTCGAAGAGACTGGAATCACAAAAGATGAATACAATAACTTGAATACCTTTTTCTACGTCGGTATGTGTATATTCCGCAGGGACGTCATCCCGATATTGTGACCTAATTCTCGCAGGGTATCTTGCCGCCCAGTGGCCTGGACACTATCTTCTACAGAAGCTTCCATTTGGCAGATTTGTCGCCTCGATTATATTTCTCTGGGCTGTCGTCATTCTCCTTCACTGCGTAGCTACCAAGTACGCTGGGCTTGTTGTCCTCCGCCTTGCCCTCGGCGCCGTTGAAGCAGTTATTGTGCCCGCCATGGAAATTACCATTGGCATGTTCTTTAACCGTGAGGAACAAGCTTTTCTGCAACCAATATTTTGGGTCACTTGTCAGGGGGCTCCCATCGTGGCTGGATTTATATCCTACGGTCTGCTGTGGAGCAAGAGCTCTGTGCTGCCTTGGAAGCTATTTATGATAACCACAGGCGGTTTGACCCTCTTACTCGCCATCTGGACCTGGTTCTGTTATCCCAACAATCCAGCCGAGGCCCGGTTCCTCACCTTAGAAGAGAAAGTCCAAGTTATACAACGGGTACACGGCTCTAGTCAGAGTTCCATCGAACAGAAGCAGTTTAAGAAAGCCCAACTTATCGAGACTTTAAAGGATCCCGTCTCGTGGCTATTCGCGCTCCAAGCATTCACGTTGATGTACTCAAATAATCTCACATACGGCCAGCAGAATCTCCTGACCACCTCTCTCGGCGTCTCCAGCCTCGGCTCTACGTTAGTTGCAGTAGCAGGCGGCGGCTTCGGGGTGGTTCTTTGTATCGTCGCCGCTGTAGCACTCAAATGGCATCCGCGAAACTTTGCGGTCCACAGCTTGATCTGGTGCATTCCCGCCGTGGCAGGCGGAATTGGCATGGTGGCTATCCCGTGGGATCGGAAACTGGCATTATTGACATGTCTGCTGCTCGCAGGACATACGTACGGTATCACGTACATCATCGCGCTCGGCTGGACAACATCGTCGGCAGCGGGCTACACCAAGAAGCTAACACGGAACGTCATGTTCATGATCGGCTACAGCGTCGGTAACCTCGTGTCGCCGCAGATATGGGTCCCCGTCGCGGCGCCCCGATACTACGGCGCTTGGATTTCCATGATTGTCGTTAGTTGGGTCGGCACGCCGGCCATCCTATTCATCATCCACTTCATTCTGGCGCGCAGGAATGCAGAGCGGGAAAGATGGATCGCGGAGTTTAGCGAGGAGGAAAGGGAAGCCGGTCGTGTTGAGCAATACGATGAGGATGGGCAGGTGGTTACGAAAAAGGTGGACATTGCTATGCTGGATTTGACGGATATGGAGAACAAGTTCTTCATATACCCGTTATAGTTTCGATTTTCAGGGGCGTCAAACCTGGACTGCCACACAGCGTGTTCTTATCTACAAGAACACAATTTTAAATCGAAGTACATACCCGAATAGAATTTAGTCCATGTCACTTGCAAATGCACGTTCTAGGAGTCGTGCTTTTGCCGCCGCTGGAATAGTATCAACCACGGGTTTAAGGCACGAAACTCTAGATGTCCGAACGTTCGTCTCGGCTGCCACCTCCGGTCATTTTACGTATCACTGCTCTAAGTATATATCTCTGTGCAGCTTCAGAGTTACTGGACCGATCTTGTAGCAAGAATGGAAGTGGATATGTCTACCTAAGGTACCTGGACAAGTCAGCCAAGACTCATGGCCGAGGGGATTTGAGCAGCAACGTTTGCAGTTCCATTGTAGATATAATCGTTGTCTTGTGGCTATAGATGCGATTGAAAACTGTGTGAGGTCATTCACCTTGTTAATATATTTACCTTCTAAAAAAAACTCCCAGCTGTCTTCATGATGCAAAAGTTTCTTCGTGGAACCGTCACAGGAGAGGAGCGCAATAATAGACAAAGACGAGCAGAGATCCCTAGGATGCACAGGATAACTCCAGAAGACAGAACAATATAAGTCCCAAGGTGTAGATAGTTGATTAAATCGTAAAAAGAAGTTTGTAGTAAAAATTTAATGATTTTCACGGCTTATGGACGCAAGGTAATTGGGTGGGTGCAACGAACGACGCTATAAGTGGTAATACGGTTGCCAACTTCCATCCAGAAAACATTCTCATGTTTCTCATGTCTTCCAAAAAGCTCCATGGCGCAGCGGAAGCGCGCCGGGCTCATAACCCGGAGGTCCTCCGATCGAAACGGAGTGGAGCTAGACATTGATTTTTTCTTTTTCTTCCTTTTTTCCTTTTTTCCTTTTTTCCTTTTTTTCTTGTGAAAATTTTCACTTCTTATGCTAAGTCCATGATACTACATTGACCCTTGTCTAGGATGGATTTTAGTTTAGGTAGCTTCGTCGGAGTAGCTACCTACTGAGCTTACAAGACTGTTTAAATGAACGACAACATTTCTTTATATTTATAATTGACTCTTTTTTTTTAGTTACTTAGTCTAAATATTATAGATTCAGTAATGTGATTAAGTTGCCCTAAACAATTGTAGTAATTTAAATATATGCCTATACCCTACACTAGACCTCGGGCGCACCCTTCCTACATACTAGCTTAAGCACTGCAATATAATTGCGAGCACGGCGGATATACCTCGTCAGAAAGTTGCAAGTAAAATATAGATTCTAGGACGAAATAACTACGAATGATGGTGAACTGCCGAGAAATTTATCGAGACATTTTACGCCGAGATCCTAATTGGCTACATCAAATTATCCGTTTAAGGAGGCAGATTGCTACAGAGGAGCCATGCCTTTACACAGATACGATGTATTAAGGACGATGATCTGAAGGCTTGCTATCGGATTACTATGTCCCTCGATGTAGTTCTGTAAGTACCTAGGTAGATATATTAGGGGTCTGCCTCGATCTAGACAAACAATCCGAAGCTCGTCCTATGTGCAGCTGCTAGGAAACGATACTCCTATCTAAGTTCGCGATCGCCGTTGGTGGCGGCAGCTGGGGTTTTGTATTAATGCGTTTTCTTATGTAGTTTCTAGTTTTGTGCTAGGGAGAATAGAGGACACGGGCTAATGCCAGAATACTAACATAGATGGTGATACTAATATGTCCTAGATTCACACCTCGTAGATGGAGTAGCATAGCCAGGCGTATTTCTAGGAGCTGTCAATGTCACGGCTTGGGGGTTCAACTACCAGAACAATACCGAAGCGGGCGAATACTATTTCCTGAGATTGCTAGGTCCTAATAGCAATAACTTGGCGACCGGGAAGCCGCTGAATCCGGGTGGATTTACTGGATATATCAAGATCACAGCAACTTGAATATGTATCTAGGAGACAGATAGGCTGATGTTTTGATCGGGCCTGCGTAGTCAATTAAACGGATTCCCCTTAGTCTGAAAACATCGGGTCGAGTAGGGAGAAGAAAAAGCGTATCAAAGGCATAAACGGAATCAAGAAATTGCAATGATCTATTTAGTTTAGTCTATAGTCAAGCCGTACCGCCAAAACATTAATCCCAGAGCCAAGAGATCGCACGCGTCCAGCTTCCCGACTTCTCCTCGGGTTCATCTGGATACTGATCTGCCTGTAAAATCGCATCATCGAGCGGTATGCTCTTCAGCGACGCAACCCTGGTTTTCTTGACGTATTTGTATATCAGATACGCACAAAGCACGAGCGGCATGTCCCTGAGTAACTGTTAGCATACGTAGACCTACCAGTGTTATAAATATCATAGAAGTATCAAGGGATAATACGTACAAGTAGGCCGAGATGAAGCCGCTAGCGTCCCAATTTCCTGCTGTGAAGACCTCAAAGCCGCCTGTCAACAGTATGATAATACACATGATGAGAGCGAGGATCGAGGTGTAATCTATATGGGCGGTCAGCATACTACTCATCCACTATCCTCGAATACACAAAACTCACAAGACCACCAGTTATGCCACGGCAGCCGCGAAACCGGGATACCTTGCTTCGCCACGGCCAACTTAAGTCGAATGTGGTTAATTAAGATCGTGATCCACGACACTAGAATGCTGGCTGCCGTCAGGTCGACGAGGTACCAGAACACAGTCAGCGCGCTCGAGTCCAGGCTCAGGAAGCTGAGAAACATGAACGCGGTGTAGAACAGCACGCAGGCGTAAGGGGTGCCCCAGGATGTAGTGCGAAGGAACACGCGAGGAGCTTGTCCCTTCAGAGCTAAGGCGTACAGCACACGCGTACCGGATAGCAGGGTCTGGTTCGAAGACGACCAAGCTGACGTAATAACTATGGCGTTGACGACACTGGGAATGGCGCTGATGCCGGCGGCTGAAACTGCAATAACGAACGGGCTCTGAGCGGCGGTGCCTAAGGAATCGTTGAGTCGGTCATCGTCGCTGGCTACCAGTAAACCAACTACGAAGATGGCCAACATATAGAATAGCAGCACACGGATGAACACACGCTACACCCAAAAATAATTAGCTGCTATATTGGCTCTACTTTTGATAATCTAAATACCTTGCAAGCGCGCGGGATAGCTCTCGCCGGATTCCTTAGTTCAGCCGCAGGCATGGCAATGGACTCGACGCCTGCGAAGGAGAAAACGGCGCTGGCTAGGACGCTCCAAAACCCAAGGAAACGACCCAAGTTTCCGGAGGCGATATATTCAACGAACGGGCCCGGGTCGCGCCAGTACTTGAAGCCGGTGGCTGGAATTCCGGGGATACCACCGGCAGCAACGATGATATCGAAAATGATGAGGAAGACGATGAGCAAGACCTTGAGCAGGGCGAACACGAACTCGACCTCGCCGAAGACGCGCACGAAGGAGATGCCCACGACGAAGGTCAGTACGATGAAGCTCATGATGTAGGCCGCCGGGTGCACATCCTCGGTCCAGAAGGTGAACAGCACACAGATGGCTGTAAGCTCGCTCGGGATCGACAGCGCTGCGCCGTATACCAGGTTCCAACCCACGGCAAACCCGAGCGCCGGATCTACAAGGAATTCGGCGTGTCGAACGAAGGAACCCGTCACAGGCAGGAGGGCGGCCACCTCGCCCAGTGCAAAAGTCACGGCGCACACGATAAGTCCGACGATAGCGTAACCAAGCAGAGCCCCGAGCGGGCCAGCCGTCTGTATAGCACCTCCGAGGCCCAAGAAGAGTCCAGTACCAATAGCGCCGGCGATAGCTATCATGGAAAGATGTCGCTGTCCAAGACCACGCGACAGCGAGCGGGCCTCGGTAGCAGTGACCAAGTCTGCGTCGTGGTCATCGCGGTAGGCATCGAGGACATCCTCGTGCACAATCCCATTTTCGAAGCCCATATCTGAAGCTGAAGCTGAAGACGACCTCTGGACTCGACGCGACTCAGCGAGAAGCGGCTCGGTGCTCATGGCAAACGAAGAGGAAGAAGACGGTCACAATATAATCGAACGAGCAAACGAATAAACGAATAAACGAAACGGTAAAGGATTTCCCAAGGGTCCCAAACCCCCAACACCGACCGATTGAAACTTCAGATGGCACAGGGTTTGCGAGAAAGGGGGTTAGCGCCGAGGGGACGTATGTATGTATGTACGGCTTCTCCGATAAAAAACAAGATCGGCAGAGACAAACTATGTACGTCCGTGTGCGTGCATTATTGCGCCATACCGGGCCGTCATGTAACCATTTCGAAAAAGCTGATGCCAGACTCCAGAGACACCGCAGCTTACAATTTCTATATGTACCTAAGATACATGGGACGTTGGTTTGATATGGGGAACAGTGCTAATAAGAAGAATATATAAGCTTAGGACTCCGGCTATCAGATCCACTCGTGGGGGAATTAGCAAGGGGTAGAACGAATTAGATGGCGGAATTGTAGTTGACGTGATCCACCGTGTTTGCTAAGGAAAGATTCAGATAGGTACTACATGTATGTATTTATTTCTAGGTTAAGGTTGTATTGCGCATGTACATTACATACACGGGATGTATAGCATTGAGGAAGCAACTAAAAATAAAGTGCAATTGCTGCGAGGTGATTAATTGAAAGTTTGCATTAGATAAGTTGTGAACCGACATACGGGAAGGATGGCGGTCAACTAATTATATCTAGGTCACTTAACCCAGGTCCTTATCTTCCAGAGTAACCGTCAGGATCCAAATCCTCCACGATAAGTATTGAAAGGCATCAAACCGAGCTTAGTGTTGAACGAATCGAATTGTTTGTTGTAAGTAAGTTGATTAATTCATTATAGTGAAAGCTGCGGGATTTCGAAGTCTTGTACAAACCTTCTTATGATTTCCCATCGCCTGTGTTCAAGTTTTCCTCGGAAAATATTGTTTGTGTCCGTTTTGATGGTACATGTTGATAATCGATAAGTGTTGACGAGGACCATATTGGGAGACCACAAACAGAGTTCTACCTCGTCGTTGGGTCCGGGGGTAACATTAACTAATCCCTACACAACTCCAAGCCCGTTGATGAGATTTGCTCGTCCAGTCGGATTGATTAAATACAGTCTGCTTTTGTCAAAAAGGAACCCATATAATATATAACTATGTCCTCGGGTATTAGCGAGATATAAGTGCACTATTCCTAGAGTGCTATCTTTCGAGTCTCTTCAAAATCTTAATTTGACGTAGGTGGAGGTGCAGCATGAGTCACGCCGGCGACACCTAAGGATATAAGAAAGCATTCCTCACAGGACTAAGAACAGGGCCTATTGCTCTTTAATTATTATTATCAAGACAAGATTGCAATTATATTATCTTCGCTACCTATGCAACCCCGACGTTGATACCCTCAATATCTCATAATGATTCATACTGGCTCATATCTTGGCGAATACGAAAAAAAACCCATATCATCCCATCATTTCCCCTAAACTCTATATACTAGTAGCTAAGTGGGACTGCCCCTTGGAAAGTGTAGCTATACTCATTATGAATCACTCTCACTCATAATGAGCAATTCCCACTCATCGTGAACCATTCTTACTTATCCATGAGCCACACTCGCTCATCATGAACAACTTTAACTCATCTCCGCTCACCATGAACCCATTCTTACTTATAATGAAGCACTTTCTCTCATCGTGAATAACTACTACTCATATCCCATCAATAGTGATGCATCCATCGTAAAGTTTTCGTAGGAGGATAAATAAACGCAATAGCAATACCATCTTGTATATAGAACTTTAGCTAGAATATGAATATAATTCAACCTTCAATGAAGCCTATGCTCTACAATTAAGATTATATGTGGTATGCTAGAATCTATATCCTTCCCTAGGTACCTATTCCCTATTCCAAGATGACAATCACGTTCCCTCAACCGACACTATTCTGCAGTCATTCTACGGGACAAAAAAGATTTCACATGGGGAAAAGAACGAGTCGACATCGTCTGAGAAAAGCACAACTTCCAATTTATTATTAACGCTATCTAAAAACTTCGAAGACACATAATATTGTCCAACTATTTGCTAACTTTTCTCACCCTTCCCAGAGTTCAGCTGTAGCATGCTTCGCAAAGTTGCCGCCTCCGCCTCCTGACGAGCGAGGCGAAGTCGCAACTCATCCCGCTCCTCCTTGACGCTCCGAAGTTCCGTCTCCAGCTCGCTGATGCGGTCGATCCGCTTCTGCCGATACTTGCGAGCCGCGGCGTTGTTGCGCTTGCGCTTGAGAGCCGTGACTGCGTCTACGGGCGGCGATTGGCTCTGCGACTTGGCAGGTTGGCTTGGGCCGGAAGAAGACTCGGGCATTTCTAGCGGTGAGACAGAAGGGTTTTGGTTTTCAGCGTCTGATTGCGACGAGATATGAGAACCTATAGGTGGATTGAATAGAAGATCTGGACTGAGTTCACAGCTAGGTTGTGTGTCTGAAGCTGTTTAATTGTTAGTATGCGCATACGAGATAGAGCAGGATAGGCGTAGAGAGCCAACTGACCGTTCAGCTGTCCGTTGCACTCTTCATTTTGAAAAACGATAGAGTTCCCTGCCCCCTCGAAAAGGGGGAGGGACCACTCCGTACCATTTATACTGCCATTCTCTAAACCTAGGGACCAATTTCCAACTAGAGGCTCGATCGAGCCCTCCAATGACGGGAAGAAATCCGCCGGCCCTAAGGCGGAAATCTCCCAATCAAAGGAATTATGTTGGTTTGGAGAAAGGGACTCCCTGGCACGGCGGACAGTATCCGACGTAGGAGAGCCTGATGCATTGTGCTGCGATCCAGGTAATTGCTGCCATGACGATATGTTAAAATAACCTCGTCTCGGATCTAAAGAGATTTTATATACGCCGTCCTTCGAGCGAACGGCGGAGCGTAGTCCCAATCAAAATGGGAATAAAAGAAGATGAAGTTGGAGAGGGGAAATTCACTCGGGGTATTCCTGGATTCCGGCTCTTTTAAGTAAAGTACATACAGAAGTACAGATCTCATCCTACAATGAGATCAAATAGTGGTCTGTGCATAGAAATACTGCAGACTGCAGTAATATAAGTCTTGGCTTGTCTTAGTCAGGGGCTAAAAGAATCGACACCCCCGTATCCTATCCGTATCTGCACAATTGCACAGCCACCAAGCCTCAACCTAGTATGTACATAGTATAAAGATTCAATTCCAATGGCAGGATATTGCGGTTATCGAGGCGGTCAATTAAGTCAGCACACCCCCACTAACTTCCCCACTAACTTATGCTTCACATGCTTCATTACTTTCCTATGTATTACATATATAGCTTCAATGCTTATCGACACCAACTCCTCCATATACTACGACTACGGCCCGCCATGATAAACGCAGTTCTAGTCTTTAACGGCCAGGGCCAACCCAGGCTGACCAAGTTCTATACTCAGCTAGTATGCCATGCCCTCTTACCTACTTACAATCCTACCGAGAAACCCCGATCCCCTCCGGGCATAATCGATCGACCCTAACACTAACAATCTTACCCGCAGGAAACTAGCATCCAGCAGCGCCTCATCTCCGAGATCTTCACTCTGGTTTCGAACCGCCCCGACGGAGCATGCAATTTCCTCCCTCTGCCCCCTCTGCTCGCCGCATCCGGCACCTCGCAATCTGCTTCCGAGCCTCACAACGACGTCCCCTCGCTCGTGACCTACCGCCACTATGCCACCCTCTACTTCATCATCATATCCACGTCGACCGAGTCCCCGCTAGCCCTGCTCGACCTGATCCAGGTGTACGTCGAGTCGCTGGACAAGCTGTTCGAGAACGTCTGCGAGCTCGATCTGATCTTCAACTTCGAGACCCTCCACGCGGCCCTGAGCGAGATGATCGTAGGCGGCGTCGTCATCGAGACGAACTTGGACCGCATAGTGGCCGGCGTGCGAGCACAAGGCACCATCGCAAAGCGACCGGTCAACGAGTCTAGAGGCACGGGACTGGGCGCCGGGCTGGGCGTGGGAGGACATTTCGTATGGCCCGGCAGGTGATTCCCGTACAATACGTATGCATAGACACGGTGTCTGGAGTTTTGCAGGTTTACGGATTGGGACAAGCATTTTATCAGAGAAGCATCGTCTTTTAATAGTAGAATATCCCGACTTTATACGGGGTGAAAATGACACATCGAGTGGGTATTCCTAACCACCATCCCCAAACTCCAACCATGCTATGTGAGGTTCGTAATATATAGAGGTGATATGTTTTACTTGGAATTCGCAATGACTGCTATATCGGGAGTTCGTCTTTCGTCTCTCTGCTCGGGAGAAAATGCGCCGAGCACACTCCAGAACCTGTTTCTGAACTAGATGTACCAGTTAGATCATATAGTAGCAGAGTTGGTGCCAAGTAATCGACATACCCCTTGGAGCGGCTGGTTCTCCGTTTGCCAGTCCATAAACAAGACAGAATAAATCAGGACAACTACAGTAGAAATGTAATGTTAATCTGGGTCCTCATATGTAAGTCTGAATGCAGCTATTAGACTTACAAGTCACGCTGAACAGCTGCGTCAATCGAACAAGCTTATCCCACCGAGGCCGCGCAGTCGCAAGCTTTACCCTCCGCTTGTAGCGCCGTTCGAACCGGAATTGTTCCTTTTGGGAGAGCTTGGAGAAATCTGGCGGCCAGATCTTCTTGGGTTTGTATGGACTGCTATAAGCCTCTACCAAGGGCGTCGCTGTCGCATTCCTCAGTCTAGAAGGTAGAGGCCCCCCAGCCATCCTTCGTACTAGAGTTGCGAACATTGTGGGTTGATGTTCTTCTGCTTCGACGACTGTTTTTGATATGCGCCGCAACGAAGTTCGAATCTCTTAACCGGGGCTTATTTTCTGAAGTGTGGCTTTGTTAAAAACCAAGTACACAGCCCCTCGACCTAGGAAATCATTAGCCACAATTCATTTACCCCCCATAACTGAATGTTACCCTTCTTGCTTTGAGATGGTAAAATAGATTATGAATTCTGGATTTATTTTACATTCTAAGTTCCTATAAGTTAGAATGGCTATTCTAAGGAGAGCCACCAAGAAAAACGTAAGGCTTTAGTTCTCTATAATCTCAATAATTGAAATGTACGGAATACTATGCACTTAACTATGACACTACCGATTGCATAATCAATTATCACCGAGTAAAATCTTTGGCCTCGCTTTCCATACTCGGCTAAACCCATATCATACCTAGGTAGAATATCAATAACGATGCCCACCGACTGGTGAAAGCATATGTATTCAGATAAAGCTGAGAGCTGGCTTGAAACCATTATATAGTATAGGTCGTATATCCGCCATACCTTATTACAGCTCCTGAGTAAGCCCCTATTTGCCAATGACTAATTCAACGCTGGCTTGCTTGAACGCAATATGATTTCCGAAGCACTGATCCTACGTACGCCCCTGGTATCTCATGCAGGCCGGTCCATATTTTATTCCTCCGGATGGTTTCGTTAACTTTTGGCACCCTGCCGTTGCCCCTATTCCACTCCATTACGCTTGCCATTGCCATTAGGATTATGGTCCGAATTCGTAATAATATCGAATAGCGATTAGTACGTTCGTTCCCAGGAGGTCCACCAAACTCCGACGTTGGCCGCCACGACGAGGTCCAGCATCTTGAGGCCTTCGTCAAACACAATCAACTTCCCCATCTTGGCTCTCTTTCCTCTGTTACCGCCGCCTGCTTTCTCTCTGCCTAGACTCATGTCGAGGTGCCAATCTCCGTCTTCGTCATGCTCGAGGCCGTGGAAAACCTTGTTGAATTGGCTTTGCAGCTGATCCCTAGTCCTGACACTTCCTTCGGTAGATCGCTTCTCGGCAAACAACTCGCTGCTAGGTAAATTGAACCTTAGTTCGCTGATTGGCTGCCCTCTGGTCTTGTGGCTTCTGTTCCCCGACTCGTGCCCGTCTACAAGAGGGTTGAAAACGCCGCCGCCATATGTGGGTAGGATATGATTACACGCGAGACTCCGTCCAGCATTTCCGGTTACGAATTCGCAGCGGCCACCCCACGGGCTGTAGAATACGTAGCCACGTGGCTTGAGGCCCGGTGCGGGTTGAGTAATTACAGGGGCATCGCCGCCATCAAAGTCTCCGCCAAACGACGCAATAGACCCCTGGCTACTGTGACGACCGTGTTGAGTCTGAATGGTAGGTAAACCCATTCGTTCTTCTTCTGAGCGACTGCGATGATGATTGAACTTTTCACGCAAGTTAGTGGCGAAGGATTTCGAGTATGCCATCATGACTTGACGTTCAAAGGTATTCGAGGCCGTGTTATGTCCAAGAAACTCGGACCGCTGTAGCCGCGATCCTGACGATGCGCTCCCAGGGCGTATATCAAGGCTAGATCTTATATCTGTTGGTGGGTGGGTGGGCATGCCACGAAACTTAGCATAGCCGGACGTCTCTAAGTGTATGCTGATCGAAGGAGATGGTTGGTGATACTTGTCATCGCTGATGAGCTCTGGGTTCTCCAGTTGAAATGATGCTACCTTCCCAACGTTCCATTGTTGCCCCGAACTCGGGTCTCTTCTTATGAGAGTTAATGAAAACGGAGTGAAAGACCTAGTGGGCGATTTGGGTGACGGTGATCGACCGTTACCATATGGAGAAGCATACTGATCGGAAAGTCGTTGTAATGTTGGCTGCTCGCTAGGTCGTGTTGGTAGCGGAGGAGGTTGATCAACATTTAAACCAGTTTGATAATCGGGAAATTGATTATAGACCGGCACAGGCGGTAGACTTTTCTCGTAAGAGTCTAAATTACCTTGTCTTGGCCCTAGAGGTTTCCGCTGAATGGGACTCGTCGGTGTTGCGAATTGATATGGTGGGGGCCGCTCGGATAAAGGAGCGGATGAACCAGGTTGTTGGACTGCGGTTCGGAGCGGAAGCTGCACCGAGCCGGCACCGGTCTGGTTCTCCTTTCCGGATGGAGGTAACTGCACGTTTTCATCTACTCGCGACGAGGCAAGACTTGAGGACCCCGGTACGGGTTTCCTATGAATCTGATTACACGACCTTGAGCTCTCCCCGCTCGTTCTAGGAGACGATGAAGGCTTGGGCTGGCCGGGAGGAGATATGAGGGCCTCGTCCTCGGGGGTATTCAGATGAACATAGTAAAATGAGTTGGCTACATCTTCTGCTGTAACGTTCTTAACCTGTGGCTTCAAGGTTGAGAGAATGATGTCTGGGCTGGATGTTAGAACAGAACTATAAGATTAATTCGAATTTTGTGCTATCTAGGCCTACCCCTCGTGCCGGGTACTCTCGAAATATACAGAGTGATCGGATTTTGCCTTTCTTCGGTTGGCTTTTTCGGATACTGAGGCGGATTGGCAGCTAAATAATTAAGCGAGGCCAGCGAACGTGCCTCGATTTGCTCTTCCATAGTTGATAGGGTGTGTGGTTCGGCGAACCGCTGAGGTGTATGTATGCGAATAAATGGACTAATATAAGAATTTACGCCTGCAGACGTAAATTATCCTGTTACGGTGAGGGCAATTGACAGGGATGAATAAAGTGAAGGTGCCTCTCCGGGAGGTGGAAATAATGCTCTGAAATGCTGCGAGAGCCCAGTGTAGTGAAGTTTATTTGATCGAGCCACCTCGTGTCGAGGAGTCTTGCGTAGAGTTTGTCTGTCGACTCAAGGTTCAACCATGGGGTTGGGTTGAATCTAAATATAAATATAAATAGAAACTCGGTGGAGAGGCTGAGATATGTAGGTATTGTTATGTACTTGTATCGCAGTACATATTTATACGATCCGATTATCCGAGGTGACAAGAATTATACTTATGAAGGTCGTCGGGTGGTGGAGGCAAGCATAAACCGATGCGTCAGCGTTGGGGCTGAGTTGCTTGAGTTTGGCTGAGTTTTTTGTCAAGTTCAAGTTCAAAATGATCCGAAACGTTCTTGGTATTGACTTTCGTGATGCTTTCTGGTTTTCTGGCTTTTCTTTCGCTCTTGCCTTCTTTACGCTGCGTGGCTGCTTAAATCAGGCACCGTCCAACCAGCTGGGACCCCACCAGCTGCCCACTAACAAAAGCGCTTAGCAAACACCTCCATTGCTGCATATACGCGTAATATATGGTATATGTGATAGCCTATTAATGGGTATCCTAGCTGCTCAGCTGTCACTTCGTCTTCCAATTGTCGCACATGTACAATGACGACTTAATCATTGCCACGAGCTGCCACGAGCTGCCAACACATCCAATTAACATACATATATGTCATCATCCTCTAGCCACGTGCTTTTATGTACAATCATGCAGAGTCCTAGAGATAAACCAAAAAAAATATTGGCATTAATAGTGAGAAAATAGTCTGTCTAGCCGCTTAGCCCCAAGAAAAGGGGCCGCCGGACCTGCGGGGTTTCTTCTCATCTCAAGTCTATCTCGAGGTCTTAAACAACCTGATACTACCTTTCGTACGATTTGTACGATGTGGTTACATAATTCACAGCAATAAAATTAATTCCTACTACGGACGAGCCTATTATAGAGTCTGAAAGAGGAATATTAGTGGGACGTCTCCGTGGAATATTATAGGCCTCAAGAACGTCTGAATAGCCTCATATACGACGAAGGTAGAATTTGCAGAATACAAGCTATACGATTTCCAAGCAGCTCTAACGAATAAACAAGCTAGAAATACTAAAAATACATATAGTCTAAGTTACTAGTAGAAACTTCAATACCTAATAATAACTCACCATATTGACTAAATAATCTCCAGGCTACAATATCCCGCATAAGCCAGCGTCGTGTTTGCTCAACCAGGCAGCAAATTTAACATGACATGTGATGGTCCTTTTCGCCTAGGCTTCTGTTTAAACAAGACAGATCAACAAAATACGCTCTACAACATGTCTCTATATGATCATCACATATGCTCACTCGTGCTTATCCAATAAAACGTAATGCTATTCTGCGTTTCTACCTACGCAAAAAAAGCTTATTTCCAAAAAACGTATACTTCATAGATTCATATCATCCAGGTTCATAAAGTCCACCCCGGTCCAGTTTATCCAATGTGCCCAAGCCTAGGAATCACCGATAGCCAAGAGGGGGCGGGGGGGGAAGAAAGCCTAGCCTTCAGAGTGGTCAAGCTTGTTCTTCTCTGTAAGCGACAACGTTGGCGTACCGGCACGGCGTAGCTGCTTCTCGAACCGGACGGTCGCCAACGCGGACGGCGAGTCTTTGAACATGAGGTCAATCTCCTCCAGGCTGCGTCCCATGGTCTCGGGGAATAGGAAGTAGACCGAGACGGGCACGCAGGCGGCGACGACGGCAAATACGATGTAGTACTGCCAGCCGATGCTGTAGATGGCGACGGGGGTGACCATGGCGACTAGGAAGTTCCTATATCCGACATGTCAGTATATATCATCCGATCGACTTGGCACGCATGAGGGCCAAGAGGACAAGAACCATGGAAGGACTTACCAGGCCCAATGGTTGGCTGTCGAGATCGAGCTCATGGCCATGCGCAGCCGGAGTGGGGCGACTTCGGTGCAGTACAAGAAATTGGCGCCAAGGAAACCGATGGGGACGAACATGTTGTACAGATAAATAAAGCAGCCTGCGGCGATCTGCGAGGCTCTGTTGGACGTGGGGAACGATGTTGCAACCGCGAGTGCTATCATGCAGCACGACACTTCAACAACAACAAGTCAGCAATCGCCTCTCTTACCGAGAAATTTGGGGGACGAGACATGTCGTAGAAGCAATGACTCCTAAGGTAGGTTAAAAAGGGAGAAGAGAACGTACTGCCAGCGCCGCTAACCATGAAAACAGCGCGTCGCCCGAAGCGATCGATAGCCACGAAGGCCAAAAACGACGACAAGAACTTCCAAGTCAAGGCACCGGCAGAAAGGATGCGAGACATCTCGCTGCTTAAGCCAAGGTTCTCTTGAAAGAGGATCGGCGCGTATACGCTGATAAGATTGCTTCCACTGCGCGAATTTCTGTTAGCTTCTTTCTATCACGTTGCCGGCTCGCGGTCTTTGGGAGGTGAATATGCTACGTACGACATCTGCTGGTAAAACTGCAAGAGGATACACAGCCCAAATCGGTACGCTAGCTTGTCTTCGCCCATCTTGAATATTTGGCTTAGCTTAGCGCCGCCGTCGGCCGAGAGCTCGAGAGAAAGTTCAATACCCTCAATCTCGGCACTGACCTCAGACGCATCCTGCGGAAGGCCCCGGAGGATGGCGAGATTCTCGCGGGCCAGCTCGCTCTTGTTCGTCATGAGGAGCCAGCGGGGCGACTCTGGGAACATATAAATAGAGCATATAAGGACTAGCGAAAAGACGCAGGCAATGGCGATGGGTGGGCGCCAGGTGACGGGTCCGGTTTTCAATTCAAAGAAGCCCAGGTTAATCCAGGACTCGAGGACATAACCGAGGCAGATGAAGAGACCATCCAGCACGACGTGGCGACCACGATTCTTCGCACCAGCAGTTTCGCTCTGCCATACGGGGACGAGGGAGCTTAGCTGTCCGACGCCGAGACCTACGATAACTCTACCGACGATGAATTGCGGTAGTCCAAAGGAAGACGCCTCGAGGATCTCACCGATTAAGGTGCACAGACCAGCGAAGAAGATAACATTGCGGCGGCCAAACCGATCACCCGTGTACGAACACGAGAGCGCACCAAAGAGGGCACCAATAACGAAGACAGCTACGACGAAACCCTGCAGCGTCGATTTCTCGCTCTTCTCGGAACCGACGGCGTGGACAGTGTCGATTTCAGGGAACGTTTTAACCCAATCGTTCTGGGTGATCAGACCGCCAATACCGGCCTGATTGTACCCAAACAAGATGAAGGACGGAGCGACGATAAGAGCCGTCTGCAATCTGCTTAGGAGGTGGCCTTGAAGGCCGAAGTATTTAGAAGAGGTCATATTTCTAAGATCATATCATAGGGACGGGATAGAAGGGAGAGGGAGAGGGAGAGGGAGAAGGGAGAGGAGGAGGAAGAGGAGGAAGGGGATGAAGAGGAGAAGAAGGTAAAGGTTAAAAAAAAAGGTAGCGGTAAAGGTAAAGGTAAGGGCAAAGGCAAAGGCAAAGGCAAAGGCAAAGGTAAAAGTAAAAAAGCTAACGCCACTAACTACTACTACTATACTATCTATATGTATGTCCATATGTTGGCTCTATTGCGGGAATCGGAGTCGGAGATCTAAAGAACGAACCACCAAGGAAAGGTATTGATTCGGAGATACCTGTTATACACCAACTACTTATTCGTAATCAGACTCACTCAGCCACTCGTTTCCCTTCCCCCAACGTTCGGCTTCTCGTTGATTGCGGAGCCCCATGGGACCGAAAGAGCGAGACAAAAGGAAGGGTTCCAATGGTCGGAGGTAGGTAATTCTGGGGCCACTGAAGAAAGAGGCCCAGAGGGTCATTGAAAAAAAAAAAAAGCACAGATGATCTAAACTTTTTGAGGGGGATGGTGGATTCTAAGACGCGACAGCATGACATGGCGCATCTCATATTACGCATCTCGTTGGTAAGATATTGTGATTGTCTCTTATCCATGACTGGACATGAGACTTCTTCTCTCCATCTTGCTATAGTAGTGTAGGTATCCTGGGTATAGGTAGTGTAGGTGGTATTAGTGAGGTAGGTATGTACCTAGGTACCTACATAGGAGGTAATATATGTGCAGGAGGGACCCCAGCAGTTCGTATTATCGCCGTTGATGCGGGTACAACGGTTACGGCATACTACATATGTAGAAGCCGCGACTATAACTTTAGTTCGCGGCTTTCGCTCGGTCTAGTGGATAGTGGATACACAATTCAGGGTCGAGGCTTATTTCGGTTTTTTATACCCAGGTTCACTATGGGGATTACATACGCATACATACACTAGAGTATTACGTATAGTAGTCACGTCTAACTAAAATTAATATGTTTGCCCATACGTATGTCTCCATGGTCTCCATGGTCTCCATGTCCAACTTTAGATAGATTGATTGCATCAATGTACATGCACTTCTCAGCCATCTTATTTCCTTTTTTCCCCCATCAAACGTCTTGCTCGCAGATATGCACCTGACTGACTGACTACATGCATAATGCAACCCGGAGTTAAAATGAAAGAAACATAAAAACCGAGCTAAACCGGATTCAATTTTGTTTACTAATGTTGCCTTGTTTATTGTATGAGCGTCTCGCGACTAGCCTCATCATGAGATCCATGTCATTATACATACATACATACATACTAGCTGATGAGGCTCGAGGGGTAAAGTGGGTAGATTACATAGAGTTTTTCCAACGTCCCACATAGATCATCTCACCATCTCTTAACTTGCTGACAAGGCGGGGACTCAACAGTCAGAGATCACGTAGAAGCCAATTAATAAATCCCGCACAGACGAAAATTCTGTAGTAACGTTTGACAGAAATGCGGTGTCCTCCAAGCTAATTGCCAACATACCATGTTGATGCATCACTGGACCTAGATGTTCCCTGTTCTTCGTACACGAGGCTAACAATCCCATCTCCCATCCCTCTTATATATGTACATCATGTTTCCCACCCTCAATTTCATTTCCCCGCCGTTATTCGGCGGTCAACTCGCCAATTCTCCTCTCAATTTCCGGCACCTGTCTTAGTAATACTTCCAGGTCTTCTTTTTCGTCCTCGAGCTTCAATCTCCTCTCGGCGTCGAGCTTCGTGAACACATAATGGCCCTGTCCGTCGAACTGCAAGATCCTGCTGTGATACTTCCACAAGCTTCGCCGGTGGCTAACCGTCATTAATGTAATTCCTAAAGCCTTCGCATTATCGTACATGACTTTCTCCGTCTCGAGCGTCACACTGCTTGTGCATTCGTCTAGGATCGCGTACCGTGGTTTGTGATAGAAGAGACGGGCCATGGCTACACGCTGCTGTAGACCACCTGAGAGTACGTCGCGCCACTCTGCTTCTGCATCCCAACCCTCGGGGTAAAGATCTACAAGATGCTCGAGGGAGAGAATCTTGAGAATATCTAGTAATTGGGCGTCAGTGACCCCGCGCGCACGAACACTTCGTAGACTATCCGGGTAAGTGATTTGTTGGCGGAGGCTTCCCCGCGACAAGTATGGCCGTTGTGGGATGTAAAAAATATCCGTGAAAGGCGGCTTGTAGACGGTGCCACCATACACAGGCCAGAGGCCTCCTAGAATTCGGAACAGACTTGATTTCCCGCAACCGTTTGGACCAACGACAAGAAGATGATCACCTTGCTTAAGCGAAAATGATAACGCCCTTACGAGAACGTCTCCATTAGGGGAGATAATCGGCACGTCGATGAATTTGATGTCCTTGCTCTCGACTACTTTTCCCCTACCCTTCAACACTGCTGCGTTATCCTCAGTACCCGAGCTAGATACTAGCTTCTTCTCGAAGTGACCGGCTTGGATATCATCCATAACGTCCAATAACGATGCAACACGTGACGTGTAACCGGCTAACTCCATGATTTCGCGGTAAGAGAACATTATCCGCCCAAAAGCATCCGATGCGCTAAGTAACATCCGCCTGTTGGTTACGAATGACTCTGTTCGGTCGCCCATGCTAGAAGTGCCGGCTAGCTGTCCGGGTAGTTTGAAGAAAACGGGTACGCTGCAGAGTAGGAGACCTAGAGCACCCCAGAAATATTTGATGACAAAATCCTCCATTACGCCGTGGTAGAATCGCCGACGTAATATGTAGTTGACGTGTTTAATAAGCGTAAAATAGCCCTTGTCGAGAGTATCCTTTTCTGCTTCGTGGCCGTGGTATAGTGCTACCTCTTCACTGTGGTCGATGAGCCTCGAATGTTGAAACCGGAATTCGCCTTCAAGCCGTGCTTCATCCGCAACGTATTTCCCAAAGGGAGGCGTTAGGGCACGCATGACACCGGCTGAGAGCTGGACCAATAGGGACATAAACATAACGCCTTCGCCGCCAACACTCTTTGATAACGACCAAGTATAAATAGTCTGGCCCGTGTTAGTTTTATATTACAAATGCCACAATACACATAGGCTCTCACCATGTCCAATATTGGTTTTGCTAGGTTGCTATATAGTTCAGCCAGACTGTTGGAGAATTTGGCAACGTCGACTGCTATAAGCTGATCTGGGTTTTTTATCCGATCATCTAGTGCGGAGATCCCGTAGAACGTGAGCTGGGAGAGGTATTTGTCGTGGATATATTGGGTTAATCGTGTTCGATACCTAAGAGATAACTCGGCTTGGTGGTACGACAGCTACAATACTGTTAATTATCCTTTCTGATAGATTTGGGACTAAGCTTCTCACCATGGAATTTGTGAATGTCGCAGGAACAGCAATCAACATCCACCACACAATTCTCGTGAGAAACTCCTTACCACTTCCCTTTACGAGTGCTTTTACGATCGCGCCATCCATCTCGGCAACTTTTAGGCTGATAAGCGTCCGTACTACTAAAAAGAAACTGTGGCTAATGAGAAGCCGGGTCTCCTTGCTCCGCGCGCCAGGAATGACTATTTTAAGTAATTTTAATAGGGACTTAAAGAACTCGCGGTTCAGCTCGACCTTTTTCTTCTTCGTCGTATCGACACCGTCGCTCGAGGTTGTACCCGATCGTCGCTTAGCCGCTTCGCGTGCGGACGCAGCTTTCTGCTCGGAAACGGCATGTCGGACGCGGTTGACGAGTGCGACGAGGAGGGTGAGGTAGACGGCGCGTGAAATTCGGGTTCGATTATCGACGTACAACGTCGTCAAATGCGCAACAGCACTCTTAATCGACCGGTCGGGAAGAACAAGTTTGGATTGTACCGCCATGGCGACCGATATGGGAGACGAGGTGGTTAGTTTCTATGAGACGAGTTGATGCGGATTTCGCTTAAATGCCAAAGCTTGTTTTACTCCAAAGTCAACCAGAAAATAGAATTCATCCCATAAATTAAGATATATAGGACAGTAGGTTAAAATTACACAACATGAAATATTATTATTACATGGCTGCGGGTGGTTGTGATGCGCATAGCTGACAGCTTGGCCGAATCTCGTGCTATGAAGATATGTATGCACTTGAAGGAAAGGAACCTAAACATCCCTCGGCGGATGCGACCAATACCATCGGGTTTGTCGGTTGGATTGTCTACTTGGTGACGTCCTTGCTTTTAAGCATGTGATTAACCCCAGCCTTTCCCTGTAGGTTTCCCCAGCTGCAGTGCAGCTGTTAGAGTGTGGGGTCAGATTCGGCTTGTTGCATAAACTCAAGGCCATGCTTATCCGATCCGTATCTGAGCGCGGGGCTCTGATTTGTTCAAGACTTTAACAAATTTCTCTACGTTTAAGAATAGTAGCTGCTTGACTAAATGAGTCATTTGTTCCGTTCTTCCCTTTCAATTTATGAAAATCTAGTGCTATCTACAGACCAAATCAATAGGCGCTTTTACGATGGCCGACGACGAAGAAATCGCGGTTTACGACGAGGTCGAGATAGAAGACATGACCTTTGACGAGACGCTACAGATTTATCACTATCCTTGCCCGTGTGGCGATCGATTCGAGATATCGCTCATGGACCTTCAAGACGAGGAGACAGATATTGCTGTTTGTCCAAGCTGTAGTTTAATGATAAGGGTTATATATGATCTAGTTCGTCTCACATTTCTTTCTTGCTGTCAGAGCGAATCCACATATTGACAAGACACTCAGGACAATCTGCCAAAGCCCGATTCCGACCCTCCGGCTCCTGAAACTTCTGAACATCAAGTACCCATCGCCGCCTAATCGTTTACGATTCGAAGGGAAATCGCATGATATGATACACAACGGCATAAAGTAGACACGAAAGTAGCCAAGTGCCGAGCCGTGAACGAGTAACCGGAGCACAATGACACCTCACCTTTGTGAAGCTGGATCGCTTCGTGCCCGGTATGGATAGACAGTAAAGACAAAATATTGTCACATTTTGCAAGCTTATCTATCAACGGATATGCGACATATTGCTTCTACTCAAGTTACCTTATACCCCGGGAAGCGGTGGTGATATTGCGTCTGCAAGATTGGTGATCTACTGGAACCTAAACTGCATATTTCTGCAGTTTAAATCGGGTCACCGCATATTCAGTATGCAAGAAGTGCGATCTCAGACGATCGTTCTGCTAGGTCAGATATGATTCAATATAGAAGTATTATTAATGTTTGAGAAGATGCAAACGTGGGGTATATCCAAATGCGAACACCGTTAATGCCAAAACGCTATCAGCGTCTTAGAAATAATCCCAGACCATTCCAAAATTTCATGATCATGTCCCTAAACGCCAGTGAAATGCTAACCAACCCAGCAACTCATTCCAATTCATAGTAGATACAGCCCAGCAGCCGAGAAGACGATGAGGCCCATGACGGAAGCTTTCTCCAACGCGGGCTTCTCTGCAGCTACGGTCGTCAAGGGTTTCAGAGGCTGTGCGAGCGAATCGGTGGAGTTGACAAGAACAGGCGTGGAGGCTATCACGACTCTAGGATTAGCCGCATTCTTCTTAGCGAGCGGGATCGAAATCTAACATGCTACCTACCCATTGAACCAGGCGCATCCTCGATTCGCATGCTTGTTGAATGCGCGGTCACTCTTTGTCGAGCAGCAGCAAAAACGACTGGAAGCGCTGCAGCGGCAAGCACGCTAGATAATCGCATCTTAGCTGAAGATATTGTTTTTCTGTGTATGAATATATTATCATTCGAGCTCAATGCGTTTTTTTTTTTTCGTTTCGTGTGATATGCGCTGATAAGGTGGTAGTACAGCCAGCGGAAGCAATGTAATGTTGAGCTGCCTGGCAGCAGCGCATAGACAGAAGGAAATACTACGGCAGCTACAGTAGTAATAAAAGATCTAACCTAGCTCATGCGGGCGAGATATTCGTGGTCATTCTCGTAAAGCGTAAAGTGGAAGACGAGCGGGGGGGTTTTTAGGATAAGGGAAGCTGTCAAAGAAAAAGCCGGGCACATGGTGGTATGTTACCTCTGGGTGTGTGGACGTATGGGCATGTGGATGTGTGTGGATGTGTGGATGTGTGGATGTGTGGACCCATTAAGGAAAGTTCAAGGAAGGGATATGTGGATTTAATACGATACGAAACAAGATTTCCTGCAGATAAGCTACATGTAGTGTATGTATGCGTGATAAGTGACGAAAAAGGTTGGTGTTAAACCGACCTCTGAAACGCAACGTGCTCTCAGTTCAAACGGAATCTGCCGTTTTCAGAAACATGAGGCTTGAGTTACGGGGACGGATTAATCGATTGATCATGTCCTATGTTTGAACCTGTCTGAGCCTATAAGTACATAAAAGTAAAAGATCTATGTGAAGCATATACATCTATCAATGGTAATAAGTACTATTTCAATATACATACCGTATTTCGTAGCTGTGGCAATTCTTCTCGGCCAAATCAACTTAGCCTTGCATGTAGATCCTTGACGAACGACCATTTAGTCAGGAGTCAGCGGTGCATTAGAGAATTAGCTGCATTGATATGGTTGGATTTGGCAGCGGGTTGGCGCGGGTGAGCTGTTGGTTAGAACTATTTAACGAAAAAAGCATACGTCATTATACGACAGTAACAAGGGTAAGTTACATTAAAGACGTTGATTCTTTCAAACTTGCAGAGGAATGCAAAAATAGAAGTGTCGCAACTTTCAACCAATAACCAACCTAGTTTCGTTTATGGCGACATGCATGCTATGCTATTCGTCCATTGCTTTATTCTGTTTTTACGATGATGTCAACTTGAATTTCCACGCAATGAAGAGGAGTAAAGCACGGCAACTCTTAGGTATACACTACAAATACCTCATATACACCAGGTACACAATAAATAAAGACACACGAGGTAACAATAATATCATATTTATTATAAGCAGCATAGTCTAAGATATCTATTATTTTCAAAGACCTATAAAATCAAATGTGTTTCATATGTCTTTCGCAGCTTGATGCACTCACGCTATTAGATACCTTCTTCCTACTATTAAGAAGTCATACAGAAAACTCAGCAATGATTACAATTCCTTACGTTAGGTAGGTAATTTATTACAAGTTAGAATTCCAGTGCCGTGACAACCATGGAGCATAAACTTTGCCATCCCACGCTACTTCTAATGGCGACTCTCCAGCTCGTTTCCAGCTGTCCAGAACCGCAATCGCCGTTTCATAAGGCCAGTTTCCGAATAGATCCCAATCATTAACAGCTTTCAGGAATGCACGCATGATGGCCAACCCTATACTCTCATAGCCCAGGATGCGGGTGCTTCTGATGATGCGAGCTATACGCTGATGATGATGGGAATACGTGGTTCCCCAGAATTGAAACTTGCCAGTTCCGCCACTGAGTTCGGTTATGATGGGGTCCTCAACAGCGCCGCGTTTACGATACCGAATGTTGAACCCATATATGTCGAGCATACGGATGATAACAAGCTTCAGGTTTTGCCCTATGGCTTCCTCCTGGCGCATGTAAATAAATGCCGACTCGTCCAAGATAGGCGCGGCCACCTCGGGTGAAGACTCGGCACCGATCCGCTCCGGCAACGGGAAAAGCCAGCCCATGAAATCGGTCGGGCCGCTGTAGTCTTCGGCTGGTAGGTTGAGCAGGTGGTCAAAATATCGGCCTTTCCAGTCGGGACTGACGAGGATCGGATGATAGAACTCGGACAGCTGGCGGAGGAGTTCATCATTTGGTTTAGGTACGTTCATAACCCTATCCATAACCGATATTCCTTTGAATGAATTGTCGGATGGTCTTTGGTATACACCGGTGACCTTGGATGGGCCGGGAATGTTGGGACCTGACATCGTGTATTTAGTCGTGAATGTATGTTGTTGTTGTATATCCTTTATCGTAACTACGTAAGATATTCTTTACCAGGCTTATAAATAACTTTTTACGACAAAAACTAAGCTGTCTAGAATGTTGTCGGTTACGGTGGATACGTTGAGGTGAAGTATGCCTAGGTAGTTTCATATATCCCATTCATTCACCACACCATAATGATCTTGTTTGGGCGTGTTTTTGGATTACCATTCTGGACAGCTACGACTTGTTTGTCTCATAGCAATGTATACCTCGACAATATGATTGTTATTTGACAATCTATATATTTCTTTTGCAAACAACCAAAATCAAACCGACCCATACATCATATGTGTTAGGTGGTTTCCCTGGCAAGCCCAATTTGCTACAAAGACTAAACGAACGGTAAAACACTCATTTTGTAATCATAGGTCAATTATCCTATCGCCTTTTCAGGTCTAGTCTCAGGTATGTTAATAGTAACAATACCCCGGTAACTACGCTGCTGCCATAGTTATTGTTACGATCATAACTTTATAACTCGTTATTAAGTCAACGATAGTTGAAGAAGGATCCTTTATCTATGTATACACCACGAAGGAGCGGGATTTTCAGTGTTGGTTTACTGTTCTAGTTTTATAGATTAGGTATATAATAGCAGATGTAGGCATTGTAAGCATTTTGCTGACAATTTCAGTTATTTAGACCTGAGACTACTTTAGGCAAGCATCTCTTTGTAAACTAGGCAATAATCAGGTTAGGTAGCTTTGACATATATCCTTAGCAATGATATATATCTCCTTTGACTATGACAATGTAATAGGAACTGTAGGTTATAAATTACTAAATGATTATGCATGGCTTTCATTGCTCCTCCATTGCCTATTTTCACCTTAATATGACTTCTGTACTAAACGTACCTCACGAACGGTGCAGTGTAGATACGTATCGTTTGCAGGAATCTGCGTTTGGTGGGAACCAATAGGAGAGCATGTACCTTATCAATTGAACTAATAACCTTCGGTAAATACATGTACCTATTTGAATGCATATGCACATTTGAATGCATCCGCGAATAATAGGATAAATCAATAGGAACCAGGACAGAGTTCAGCTCTTGGTGGACGCCAATAATATCGGACTGATATCTCTGTGTCATATAGGATTAAGTACATTTATACCTCGGCTTCTCGGAGTCGGATTAATTGGGGATTTGGTACATTATGAGGAAGTACCTGTACGTGAAGAATAAGAGCGGGGTTTTGTTTCTATCTGAACAGGTACCTAGGTACCTATACCTTATGCGTACAAGCTTCCACTTCCATCAGGAACTTTATATGCAAACAATCCAACCATACCTAACCCTTAACCCTTTAAACCCATCAAAATGGCGGGACCTAAACCGGGACAGAAGACAGTTCTCGTAACTGGGTGAGTTGTGAGATGGCTTTGCTTGAAGACCCGTTACTGACATGCGCATTTGTAGTTGCACTCCAGGTGGTATTGGACATGGCATATGTCTGGAATATCATCAGCGCGGTAGAGCGCCCTGTTTCATTCGAGAAAGTCATTGAATTGACATGAGCATAGGTCTCCATGTGATTGCTACCGCCCGAAGATATGAGGTGTTAGCCGATCTCGCAGCACTGGGCATGAGCACCCTCTCTCTCGACGTTACCGATGCCGAAAGCATCAAGCAATGCCACGAAGAAGTTGCGAAACTCACCGGCGGCAAGCTAGACATTCTCGTGAATAATGCGTAAGCTTTCATTTCCTTGTCGCCATTTCGATCATTGCTTACTGGATTGCAGTGGCCGTACACATACGCATCCTGCGACAGACATCTCGTTGCCAGATGTCCGACAGACCTTTGAGACCAACGTCTTCTCAATAATGGCCATGGTGCAAGCCTTTATAGACCAGCTCATTGCGGCAAAGGGCTTGATCATCAACATTTCCTCGCTTTCGTCTGTGACCCCCTATGTATTTGGCTCGGTCTACTGCGCGAGCAAGGCCGCTGTCGTAGGTTATTCGCGCACCTTACGAATGGAACTGGCGCCCTTGGGAGTCCGCGTGATGGTATCGATGACTGGTACGGTCAAAAGCAATACAGCTGCCCAACCTCTTCGTGGCCTGCCGGAAAATAGCCTTTATAGCCGCGCTAAGGAGATATTCGAATGGAGAGTTGTCTTCAGTCAAAATGTGTCTACTTTTCCCACCGAGACGTTTGCTAAAAAGTTGGTCAACGACTCTCTGCGCCCGGAGGTTCCTGCGATACTCAGACGCTGGTTCGGACGGCCAGATTGGTTCTGGTCTGGTGGGACGGCAGATCTCGTATGGTTTGGAACATGCATAGGCGAGTGGCTTGTTGACGCCCTCTGTTGGCGCACCTTTCGAATGAGTGAGATAACGAAGTTACTCAGTGAGGATCAGAGCCAGAAAAAGCTGAAGTGATGTTGCCACCATTTCGCATTTCATCTGTTATCAAATTTCCACATCATGAACACTGGACCATTATCCCTGAGTTGTAGCATAGCGTTCAGTTTTATAAAACATCTAGCACTTGCTCACTTGATCCTGCTGACAAAATCAGTCATCGCGGCTAGTATAATGGGCGATCATTCATAACAGATCGATTACTTACTTGCAGACATGGTTCAATATCGAACCCTGCCTCTAGACGAATTAGCGGGAGTCGGATTGTTCACTAAGATAAAGACATTGGTCTAGTACATCGTCTATGTCAGCTTAGCACAGGGTATGTGTATATTACATTGTTCAGAATCAGGCCCTTCTCAAGAGTCTTGAAGCCAACCGAAAGGTCTAAGCAATTGATAATTACACAATTGCATTGTACATGATTGTTTCCAGGGTCATTCTATAAATGAGATTAGTTATTCCCTTACGATAGAAATATTACCTACACCATAGAAGTTACCTATAACGATTACTTTGGAACTAATAATCGTTTTCAATAAAAGTTAGCAATATTCAATACTTTTGATTACATTACAACTTCTCAAAATGTGTTATAAAAACTTCTATACATATGTGGGCTGTGGTTGCGAATGGGCTCCTCCCAAGGTCGTGCACCTCCCAGATGCGCCTTGCTCACCTCCTTACGCGGAAGTAATAGTTACTAAACCTGGAAAATGCGCTGCGCATAGTAATACAGGCTAAACTATTTCTATATAATAGTCTAACTCTGCTAATGAGGAACGCTGGTTTCTAACGATGCAATTGCGTGAGGATATTACCCAAGTTTAGGAACTTAGGATCGAGTCCAAAGCTCTGCATCTAATGGAACCACATTCTTTAAGAGACCATCCCACCACCCGTCCGGGTAGTCTTGATGGTCTCGATAGTATAAGAGTTAAGGCGTGTTATATTCTTGGAGTTCTTCGGATGCAGTTCTCGCTCGTTGTTTGTATTTTAAAATAGTAATCTTAATAATTAATAGTTACAGTATTATTTAAGAAAAAGAATTTGTTAACCACGTAAACAAAGACCAACTTGTCCTCAAAGTGAATTTACAAGTAATTAATACTAACCCCCCCCCAGGGTAAGAGTGTTGAGATCGACTTGCTTAGGCTATTGTTTCTGTTTAATGCTCACTAGGAGCATAAGGCTTAGTACTGAAAACTTGACGGGAATGCCCCAAATCTTAGGAACTAACGATCCTACCAAATACAACTATTCTAAGACCTGGGGATATATTGTCCTTCGCCGCTCCTTGGTAATAGTATGGGGCAGATATGCTACGCCTAGCGTCCTGTAGTGGATTGATATTTCTGCTTTTCCCTTCTGGATCAACGCCTCAAGCTACGGCTGGTATATTCATACACATAAACTTACCCTTTTATAATAGAAATACGCAAAAATACGAGATCTTTTTACGCTATTGCGTTTGTAGCCCGTCTGAGCTAGCCCCTTATGAGGATTTATGAGCATAGGAATAAGCCAATGTGAGCCGAATTCGTTGCCGTCCAATCAGCTTGTCCATCCTCCTTAATAGGCAATACTCCGAACTACCTAGGTTAGGTACATATATCGTTTCATTTCAAACAATATTCAACACAGTACATTTTTATCTCTCTTAAATTATAATTTATGTTTGATTTCCAATGACGCTCCTCAGAGAACCCATCTCAAACAATATGAGCAAGGAGATCACCGTGCACACGTCTTCTCTCTTCGACTCGAAGCAGAAACGCTTCTTTTCGGACCTGTCCATCTTGATTGACGTCAACACTGGTCTTATAACAAGGGTGTATAAGCGGGACGGACCAGTCAATGATGCATCGCAACCGAACACAATTGATCTCCGAGGCCTGACTGTTCTCCCGGGCCTCGTCGACGCTCATACTCATATATTTCTACATTCATACTCCGAGGTATCTGCCTTGAACCAGATGCGCGATGAGAGCTTCGTCGAAAGGGTGGTGAGAGCTACGAATCACGCCAGAGCCGCTTTGATGGCCGGTTACACCACCTATCGTGATTTAGGTACGGAAGGTCTAAGAGATGCCGACGTGAGCTTTAGGGATACCATTAACCGTGGCATCATCCCCGGGCCTCGCATGTTCGTGGCGACGGAATGCATTGCTTCTAGCGGGGGCTATGAGATACGGGTGGAGAATGGTCTCCCTGGAGTTGGCCAGACCACGCCTCGAATATCAGACCCCGCTGATGGCGTCGATGGTGTTAGAGCAGCTGTCCGCCGGCGCTTGGGGGCTGGTGCCGATATCATTAAGTTCTATGCCGACTATAGGAAGCGAGCATTAAGGTATCCAAAGCCCAGCTGGGTAGGCGAGAAAGACATTGCCTTTCCTCCGTCCGACGACGTTATCGCCGGGCAAAGAAACCCGAACATCATCCAATTCACTCAAGAAGAGATGAACGCGATGGTGATAGAGGCAAAACGCTCGGGTGCTCCTATTTGCGCTCATGCACAGAGCCCCGATGCTGTCGTAATGGCGGCCAAGGCGGGTGTTACATCTATCGAGCACGGTTACATGCCTAGCGAAGAGCCTCTAAAGGCAATGAAAGAGAACAACACCATCTTCGTGCCAACACTAGCAGTCTATCAGGTTTCATTAGGGGACGACAGTGATGCAATGAAAGCTATCCTCAAACACATTAAAGCTGCCTTCGATCGGGGAATCAAGTTCGCCGCCGGTGGCGATACGGGCGCCTTCGCGCATGGCGAGAACGTTTTTGAGCTGGAACTGATGGCGAAGGCGGGTATACCCGTCCTTGATGTCTTACAAGCAGCGACATTACACGGCTGGGAGGCATGCGGTGGGGATCTTTGTGGCAGAAGGTTTGGGCTGTTGGACAAAGGATTTGCAGCTGATATCATTGCTATTGACGGCAACCCGACCGAGGACTTCAGTGCGCTGAGGAGGGTAAAGTTTGTTATGAAAGACGGGGTTGTGTATAAGGAGGAGTACAGGGGCTTGTCCTAGAACTGAGTATAAGTTATTGCTTCTACGCTATACATGCAGACATGTTACTAAAATTAGTAGTCTACTAGTTTTCATCAGCGCTAGAAACCTTCTATGCTTCAACGATCTAGGCAAGGCTAGCTCCTTGTTTTGACAACTGGATTCGATCGAAACTTACCAAACACTCGGATAAATTCCACGATGTTCTCCTCGCAAATAATGATTTTTCAAGTTTATATAACTTCACAACAATAACTAATTACCCAATATAGCTTAGCCAACCTGAATAGGTAACTGACGTGTGCAATGTAACAGTATAAATTTCTTGATTTGACTATATTACAACCACCCATCTAACTATATTAGACCCCTCCGACCTTATTCTTGACAACCTACACATAACTTTAACCATTAATTATTTGATATTGTTCATTATACTTACCATCGAAATGAAAATCATCATCACAGGCGCCACAGGCTTCGTCGGAAGCGAGGTAGTCCGACAGGCAATTGCAGATGAGGGGATCACACAGGCATTCGTCCTCACCCGCAAGCCGCTACCCGAGGACCTCTCGAAGAATACGAAACTCACCATAATCGAACACAAGGACTTTTCCACCTACCCACCCGAGCTGTTAGCGCAACTCATTGGCGCAGAGGGTTGCATTTGGTAAGTTTCAAACAAGTGCCGCCAAGAGCTCAGAATGACTTACACGTGGCAAAGGACCATCGGAGGCCGCGCCACGCAGTTTCCGGACGTGGAGACGGCACGGAAAGTCTCGGTAGACTATACTCTCGCTGCGGCGAAAGCCTTTAGCGGGTTGGCGTCGAAGCTACCGGAGGTTAGTGAGTTTGACAGGTATAGTAAATGGACTTGACTGATCCACAAGGAAAAGGGGTCTCAAAAATTCCGATTCGTCTTCTGTAGCGGGAAGTTTGCCGAGTGGGATCAGAACAAGAACCTGAAGATGATGAAAGACACTCGACTTATCAAAGTGAGCGCTCAATAACTTACTGCTATAGAGAATCCCTAGCCCCGTGGCCGTGAAGTCTAACTGCGAATATTCTAGGGACAAGTTGAGAAAGGTCTTTTCGATATCGCGGAGGCCAACAAGGATACGTTCGAGGTTTGGGCCGTGCGACCCGGTGGAATCGTGAAAAAGTACGCCGGGCTGATAAACGCACTCACTGCTAACACGAGCGGGTTCATTGCGGTAGATCATCTTGCTAGGGCTATGCTGAAGATCGTGCTTAATGGTCACGCAAATCGGATTATTGAGGCTAATGAGCTTTTGAAGATCTGATTCCGCTCGCGTGCTATAGAAATTGCCTTGGATGAGCTTCCTGAGTTGTGACGTTCTCGTGGTGAGCGGCTAAGTGCTACCCCTAAGCAGGACATGACACTGTAGTAAGGGGATGTATATCAATCAAAAACACCCCTTTTATTCATCAGTACACTCTGTTAGTATTTACCTCTCTGATGCCAAATATTTATCTTGTGCGATTTATTTATCTATATTGGTTCTAATCATCAAAAAGAGCCTAAGTCGGGACTTAGAAGTATATCCCTAGAACACCCAGCTTCCAAAAGCCACACCGAAAGATCCAGTCCGGACTACATGTATCCAAAATATGGTATATTATCTGTGTCTATCCCTTTAGTGGATATGTATATAAATTTCGTCAACCTTACCTAAAGTATATCTTCACCTAATACCTCTGTATTGATATAGCATAGCGTAGCAGTAAGTATTTTCGTTGGAGGAACTTGCATATGCCTTGAAAGCCAGGTATATAGCTAGAGCGTACTTTATAACCATCGCCGCTTATGAGTATGTTACGAGGAAGATCCTATGCTATACCTTAATGGAGAGATAAATAATAGAATAAAGAGACTAGGACACCACGACAACCAGCCTAGAACGCCCTCAAGATTTATTTAACACGACACCGATCTCCTCTATAGCATGCAACGCCCCAGCCGACAACTCATCACGCTCCTCCCTCACCTCATCCATCCTAGGACACCAGTATTCCTCTATAAACCTACTTAATGGCACATCCATCTCTTGTAGTTCTTCCTCAAACTCCCCCATTAAAGAGTCCAACTGTTCTGCTAGATATCGGTCTTCCTGTCGTATTTCTTCAATATCTTCTGGCTCCATGAGAATGAGCAACCCTTGCTCAATGGATTCTTGGAAGCTGTCATACTTTTCGTAGCTACAGCAGGTATGCTTCATACTAAGTTTGTCAAATGTCATGACGCGGAGCAAGCTTAACACTACTGTATTTTGATTATCGCCAATCGTTCCTCGCTCGGCTATTTTTAGCCAATTTGACACTTCTAGAGCGGAAAACTCGTCGCAATCTTCAAACCCATGCGCGTACTTTGAAGCCGAAGTGCACCCGCTAAGAGTGCAATAGCAACGACAAGGATCTGCGTATTCGTCTTGAAGTACCTTTGCGAATCGAGTCAGAATTTTCGTGGACAATTTCGTATTCATATTTATTGAATCGAATGCTATTTGACCTAGCCCATGCAATATTTTATGCATAGTTGGGTGAAATGGAGCTAGTCCTTCTGGATTAGATGCGAAGGTATAACGCCCAGAGATAGGAATTGGCGTATGGAGGTCAGCGCCGTGATCTTCGAACCAGCAGACCAGCTCTAAATAGGAAGCGAAATCATTCTGGGAGAAGTAATCTATGGTCATTAGTGGGGTATATCCGGCAAAAGCTGTATTTGTCCTGTGAAATCCGGCGTCGAATAACATCTGGGCTATAAATGTCAGATGACAAGGATTACGATAGGTGCAGGATAAAGGTTTTAAGACTTAGTTTGGAGCTATCTACCAGCTAGTCATTGGTTAGGTTATATATAAGGGAACTTTGGTTCCCTTATAGATTTTAGAAGAAGCAAGCGTTAACAACAACAACAAATATATTCAAGCTATTCTTCAGCTAGTTACCTGTCACTCTGCAGTGGTTATTAACCAAGGGCTACTCATGACAATAAAGGTAGCGTTAGGGAGCAGATGGTAGACGGGGCTGAATTTTGGGATGTGGTAGATGTCGGGTATTGGGACTTGTTGTTGCCTGAGAGCTTCGGCAACATCGAATGCTTTGTCGTCAAAGTCAAGGATTTCATCTTCCTTCAATCTAAGCTTGTCGATCAGCTCGGCTGGAAGGTTTTGTAGTGCAAGCTTCAACAATCCGTTTTGTCGTTGTACGAGATATGGGATTACGATCTGCAGCACCCCCCGTACTTGATCATCTCTACCTTGAAGGAAAACGATTACACGCCCTGTAATAATCGCCCCAGCATCAAGTAATAGTCGAACGGAACCTGGTTCACCTATTTGTATTGCGTATTCTAGAGCGGTATATCCGGATTTATCTTCGGCATTGATTATAGATTTTATCGCCCAGCCCGCAGATTCGATCAGAGTCGAGATGCCTTTAGGCCAGTTGGCGGCCAGGTGGAATGCTGTTTGGCCATCCCTGGTGCGCTCGAATATCAGAGAAGGGTCGGCACGGAGGCGAACGAAGCTAGATTCTGAGCGAAGCAGCACTTCATATAAGAATTCAGTGCAACTAAAGTCTACGGTAGGTTGATGGTAATGAGTATCGCGTAATATAAAACGGGGATGGTCTAAGGGCCTTACTATAAAATAGGCCAGGGCTATTCAAGGCTAATGAGTTAAGGATATCATTGGGTTTGTAGCTTTCGCCAACCGTAGCTTCCATATCTATTAACTTATTGATCAGGTGGGCCTGTATGGGTAAGGCCTTATTATTGAAACAGGTAGCACATGATATCGTCATTCGTAGAGGTGTACTAGGGTATCGTTAGTTGGTGTCCTGAGGTCCTTTACACCTTTAAAACCGGTGAATCTTACCGCCCATTTCTGTCAACATCATTGATCGGCACTCCCATAAGAACCAAAGTGTTTATGAACTGTAAGATGACAGTTGGGAGTTCTTCGTCTCTTGTTAATTCCAACCGACCAAGATACCAATAAATCAAGTGTAGAGTCTCCTAAGCTTTCAAATTGTAGTAAGTAGGTCATCCATAGTAAGATCTAGCGAGTATCATCATGGCAGTCGATTGGTTCGACGTACATGCATCAAGTTCCGTCCAGATTCATTCACATCCGTCGGCCACCCCTTGCCGTTTGTAAATATTTGTTGAAGTTTAACTAAGTAATCTTGGAGGGCGCTTCCTAATTCTTGTAGGGTGACTATCTCTTCGAAGACAATATTGGATCTTATTTCTGACGCGATCGTAAACGCAGGAGCGCTGTCTGGTACAGTGGCTCGAAGCGTGAGATTGCGGTGTATTTGCCAACTTCGAGCCCACGCCAGTGGAGAGTATTCGACTTGCCATGTCCAGATAACTTGGTGTCGGAAAGCTTGAAACTTCGTAGAGAAAGTCCGTTTCTTCTTATTGGTAAACGAATATAGGCAATCTTTTCGATGTCGCGTACTTGAGTACCCGTGCCGCGCTTTTGGGCAATCGCAGAGAATAGCTCTTCCAGACATTACTGAAGATGATGTCTTCATAGTGCTTCTATCTTGGCAAGTATTGTTTGTGCTGTGTATATCCAATGTTATTCGGCTTTCGACTGAGGTATTTGTTGTCTGTGCCGTATTCTGGGTTTGCACTATCTGGAGAAGCTGTTCTAGTTGATGAGTAATAACTGACATCTTCCTTTCTTGCTTCTCTCCAAAGTTATCGGGCAGACAACGTAGACCAACTGTCATGGAATTTATCATATTGCTCTCGGTCTTCTGAAGGCTTCGTTGGAATGAATCTTCTAGCTGGTCGACGCGATCACGTATCGTGCTGGTCACCGCATTGTTGACATTTGAGATAGAAGATTGAAGTTGTCTAGCTGCGGAGTCGACAGCTGTAGTAACTTGCGCAAATTCGAGAATCATAGTGCACCTCATGTCTCGAGTAAGGTCGCTCCATAACAAAACAAATTAGTAAAGAAGGTTAGATGCGAGTCCGGGACTTACAGGTTAACTAATTGCAAGTACCCGAGTAACCTGGCATTGAACTCTTGAAGCTGAGACCGACAATCATCAAACTTCCCTTTGTCAAATGGATATTTCAAATCGTGAAGGAGTTTCCGGCCACGTCCTTTGAAGGTCTGGCCAGGCTTCAAGCCGGTGTACTTAGCATTCAGCCGTTTAAAATCTCGTAGGCAGGCGTCGCAAGCATCTTGGCAGTTTTGCAATGAAGTAGTGATATCCCCATTAGGACTCCGTGACCCAGTAGTTCGACTCTCAATAAGGCCGAGTAATGATTCAAGCTCTTGGGCGTGTTGCGTCAATTTAACGAGGTCTGTATCTTGGGACTTATAGTCTCTACAATATTGAATTAGTCCGCCTGAGACTGTCAGGCCAAGCGAAACGAGACCGGCAACGCCAGTCGCGATAGAAAAGGGATCCATTGATATGGATGCGCCCTGGAGGATAGGGGAGAGTCCAAAATGAAGGAAAAGGGCCTCTGGTAAAATCAGACAGAGGAGCCCTCCTTTAAGTATTATAATCTAAGCCACCCTACCGTATGGTTTAGGGCTTATTGGGCACTTACCTATTGCTGATTCTACGGCCTATTAGAGCTTTTTTAAAATATGCCGTGTAACGTTTGGCTGAGTAAAGTACCTAACCTAGGTACCTATCAACGAAGGCTCTGATAAAAATGCCTGACAGCGCTACTGCATCGTAATAGAGAGCCTGCTTCTACGGTCGGCTGTGCGCCCCCTTGACGAAACCGGCCATAACCGTGTCCTTGATTCCTAATATACCAACTTTTTATAATGAGGACACGAAGTATTTCCCACACACTCTCAAGTAACAGGTAGGAGAGAAGTATGTATATTAAGTCCCTAAGGTAATGTGGCCTATGCGATGGTGTTTAGGTTGCTCGATACCAAGGACTAGTGCTCGAAAGGAGCTATGAGATCGTTAGCCTTTTGCACACAAAAAACAAAATAGCACGAATAGTTAGATCAAACCCTTTTCCAGTTCAGTGTCTCTTTAGCTTCGTGTGTGGATCTGCGAGGTAATGAGACGCTGATGATAAGAACCGGACGCCATATTCATCGACCTGGGTATTCCTTATGAACACCAACCACCCTTTCCACCCTCCATCACATCACCTTTTTCCGATTGAGTCAACGCTGTTTCGGCGGTTGGCTTCTGGGACGCATCATAGTATCTGAACCACGGCATAAAGAAACTAACCAACAGCGCCACGCCGGCGAATGGAATACCAATCGCGAACGTAGACTGCAATGCGCTGCTGTAACCCTGCACAATACCTCCCTGGCTCGCTCTAGGAAAACTCGAAATTGCTTCACTATTTGCACCCGCGGACAAAACTACCAGTGGATTAATACCAGGGGCGAGTTGGCGGAGCGCCTTCATAAGCTCGATTTGAAAGACTGCCTGTGCATACCTACGTACGTATGAAGCGATACGATGAGATTCTCTTACCACCAGCGCCAAGTCACGTTCTGCGTAAACGCGCCTCCAATCAACGGTCCTACTACCGAGGCGACGGCAAAAGTGGCAGACAGTGAACTCGTCATCGCCGGTCTTATTCGCGGTCTCGAAGATAGAGAAATGATGATAAAGCATCCTGCAAGGGTGCCAGCGCAGCCAGTGCCCGTGACGGCGCGCCCGGCGATGAAAGCACTGCTATTTGGTGCGAGTGCTTCCGATTCTTAGCATACTACGTGTGATAGAAGTTGGCTTTTAGGTAGACGCTTACCGCAAATCGATTATCAGACTGCCCACCTCAAAGATGAGGATGCCCAAGAGGTAACTGCGAAGTGGGAGAAGCTCGTCGGCAGGGCAGACGAACAGGTCCTCAGGCTGTTCGTCATGCTCAGAAATCCGCCAAAGCACTACCATAAGTATGAACCACGAACGCCTTATCGACTTTACCACACGATGGCTCCTGTACACGACGACTCTATTCTCTTTATGAATCACGTAGTCGCCGGGGCGAAACTGTTCGCTCCTATCATGCCTGCTGACCTGGGTAAGGTGTGGCATGAGTATCTCGCACGACAAACCAAGGGGTAGACTTCAGCTTGTTAAACCGAAAATGCTACTCATCTCGGTTTGCTTAGTTGGTGGTGACCAATTCCTTTCATCTATAGGCTGGCAAATCGGCACGGCCCTTGCCTTCAGCTCTCTCTGGAACCTAGGTATCTTATCAAAATGGAGAGTTAAACAGAAGCCTCGGTGGCGTTTGTCATGTATGTAGGCCGGGTAGGTAGGTAACTATCAAGTAGGTAAAGCTCGGGCCATTACCTATACTACCCCATACCTCCTTTCCTTCTATGCCAATAGCCTTATGTACTAAAATAAGCTTAACTCTGGTATGAAAATAGAATCTCGCAGCATCCGTATAAGTGAGTTTTACAATACCGGTACCTACGCCTTAGACACTTTATGAGATACACAGTACATATGACAGTCCTATGTTGGAACAAGGTCTAATTGACAGGTTCCGCCAACGTAGTGATTCGATGCCAAGCAACCAAGGAATGCTCTGGACCAGGTTAGGCCGCTCGTTTAGCTGTAGTACTACGTTACAATGCCTGCGCAATCCTCCTTGAAGGATGTTAATTATGCCTATATGGGGAAATTAGTCGCCAACGTCCCTTGCACGAGACCCTTTATCTTGGAAAACAAATACCAGGTCATCCCACGATGAGGCTCACGTTCGTATTCTTCAACTTCGTCAGCTACATACGACCTCGTCTTCCTCTCTAAATCGACATTTCCAGATTAAAACTTGTCGCAATGGGTCGTTCGTTCAGCATGAAGTTGTGCGTAGGGTCTCTACTTACGGTAGCCAGTGCCGTGTGCGCCAGCGTGCCATCGCTAGAGGCGCCGGCATGTTCCGTTGGGAAGGGCACTGTTCAATACAACAAGTCTGTGCCTGATAAGGCCAGCTTCCCAAAGACCCGGGTCGATATCTGCTACGATGATACTTCAATCCACGCAACTTTCACCGCATTCGAGGAGATAAACTATTATTTCAACGAAAGCCAGACAACCAATGACGCTATCTGGGCGTACGAAGTAATGGAGGGTTTCATCTACCACGGGACCAACGACCCGCAGACTTACCTGGAGTTCGAAGTCAGCCCGAACAACGTCACTTTCCAGGCCTGGATCTACAACAGGTCTAAGGTGCGCGCGGCCGGCGCTCCGATGGACACTTCTTTCTTGACCCAGCCGGTGGTCGACGGCCTGACAGCCGAGACGACGCTGGACAAGGAAGCGCAAACCTGGGTTTCGGCGGCCAAGATCCCGCTCGGACTCTTCAACGTTGACGACGGACAGGCGAAGGGGACATCGTGGAGGATGAACTTCTTCCGCACTGTCGTATCGCCGGATACGTTCCCGGACCAGTTACTTGGCGCGTGGAGTCCGACTAACGAGTCGAATTTTCACATGACGCCTTTCTTCGGCCATGTCAATTTCATTTAATATAACTATTACATACGCTCAGCTCATAATAGAAATATGAATTTCAACGCAAATTGAGAACAATACATTTTCTTCCCCTTTTCTCGTGAATTAGTTGGAACGTGCTGATATACCGAAGACAGAGTTGGTTTGGTACTATGACAGAGTTTGCTTGAAATTAATCTTACCAAATTCTACCTCTACTTCTGGAACCGAGCTTTTAATAAAGTGGTTCAAGTCATTTCATTTATAATAGTTTTGACTCCTTACTTCTAAATAGGCTACAAACCTAGGTTAAGGGGTTTGTTTGCCAGGAAGTGGACTCAATCAGCAGAGAAGTAGAACCTCATATTTTACCCACCGTGTTTGTCCTATGCTCTATCTCATCTTTTAAACCCGTTCCAAAAATCCCAAACCCTCCATTCCCATTGAATTTGTTCCTTTTCAGGGGCTGATCTAACTCACCCAGAAATGCACAGCTGCATTATATCCCCCCTAAAATGACTCTATTGATGTCATAATTAAGATAGGGGAAGAAACATTTACATCTCGTCCAGTCATTTTCCTAACCACGAAAGCAACCAAAAATGGGGGTCATTAGGTCCGTCAAAATTATTATTTCACGAGTAACGTCTGTCAGTGATTGAGTCTTCTTGCATCCTCCATATTCACACAGAAGGATATCTTCATCTTAGACCGAGAATATATTAATCTATAATCTATCTTGTAGCAGCTGTTTAATAGATTCGAGTGTAATAATAGAACAGGTTGTCCAGCCCTTGGTCATTATGAATTATAGGTATTCTCCCCTCCCGTATAAAGTATCTTTCGTTCAAGATAAACTCCACGAGCTTATTACCAAACTGATTGAATCAGCTTACAGAAGGAATTGAGTTGGATTTCATAAGGCCAAAGACAATGTACACTTGCCCCATAGCCCAGCAAGTCTAACCTGTCATGACCTGCCCCTGAAAGTCGAGTGTTAGACAAGTAAATCCGGCGACATGGTTTATCTAGAGGGGGAATTTACCTTGAATCGCATCTATAGATCTTTCTAATTAGCTGCGGCGTGCATAGATAGTTGCATGCATCAATAAGGCCACTACGGGAACAGAGGCCAAACTCGTCGTAGTCGGCGTCCAATGCGCCTGAACTTGCCCTGATCGATATGATGACGGGAAGCAACTTCGTCCAGCTTATTATCCTTGGACGGATTCACAACCTCGCGCACTATGTCGTGATTGGGAGCTCCGCAGAGGAAAGCAGCCACCCGATAGAACGCCCAACGAGATGTGAATTTGGCCAGCATGTACGCATACACGAGGATGTGGCTGACGGAAAAGCGAGGAAGCGTCCGGACGGGAAAGCCATCGTACTTAGCGCGGCTGATCGAGAAGAATACGTCTGCAGTCTCGCTGAGCTTCTCCAAGGGTGTGCTGGCATCTCGGCGTTCCTGGAGCTCTTCGCGCAAGCGGTCCCGGTGCCATGATAGCGGCGATTGACGCGGTAGGCCGAGCAGTTTGTGCCACTGGTGTAGAAGTTTCTTGGCAATTGTGCGAGCCATGTTTGCCTTTTAGGTGATCAAAGGTTGAAGCTTGGATATTGAAGATTGTTTGGTTAAAGAATATGTAGTGGTTAGAAACGAGGTCAAGTGGCGACTTGGGAATCCTTAATGATTCACGCGTTTGGCATAGACCACCTGGTGTATAAGTGTAGAAGCGGGTGTGTTTGCGCACACTGTTCGCCTTTATTCATGAGTGACAGTTTTTTCTACAAATTTATTAAATTCATTGTGGTTGAAAGTGAACAGAAAGTGATTGGACAAAATGTCTAGGTCGCACAAGGAAAAGCATCTAAATCGCAGATCATCTTGTCCCTCAAGATGGCGTCTAATTTAATATTTACGCCACCATTCGGGAGAATACTTCGGGAACATACGTACGGCATCTGCACGATTCCGCAGCGTCTTCTTTGATTGAACAGTGGGAATATAACTGTATTGTCGCCCAAGAACTATGAATCTAACCAGATCCATTATCTAGGGGTCCCAGGAGTTCTCGGGTAGCTACTATACGGAAGAAAGCCTGTGTTTTATCTAAGTAATGAAAAGGGTTAGACACTGGATAGCTATACTTCATCTGCTGTCCTGGACAAGAAAAATTAGTTGATAAATGTGAGTAAATACATGATCGTAACAAGATATTGGTAAAACCTTGATGTCTTAGGAGCCCTATAGGCAAAGGCTACAAGATTGACGGGGATACGCACATACCCGCAGACAGATCTAGGGTTATGTGGGATAATAACACATATATTTGCTCCGAGCTACAACTGCGAATATCTTAGGCCTTTATTTATATCCCTCTTTTATACGCAGTGGGAAAATACCAAAGACTTCATTAGCCATATCACTTCTACCTGGAGCCCCTTGATATAGCTTCAGATATTAAGAAATTCTCACCATGTCAACTTCGTCCGCTAATCCTGAGACTAGCCGGCCATCGGGGCCTCAGACTCCAGTCTCATCATTACCGAAGCCGGTGATCATTGGCCTATACGGAGTACCAGGATGTGGAAAGTCGTATTTGCTCAAAGAACTAAAACAAGAGCTCAACGCAGAAACTTTTGAATTCTACGAGGGCTCCGAGGTGATCAGTTCTCTTGTTCCAGGAGGCCTTAGCGCTTTTAAGAAATTAGAAGAGTCCGAAAAAGATCATCATCGTAAGCTTGCTATCGACCACATTGCACAGAGCTGCTCCGTGACAGGACGTGTCGGAGTTGTTGTGGGGCACTTCATGTTCTGGGAAGAGGGTGAAGAAACTGGACGCATAGTGTGTACGAAGAATGATTTGGAAGTGTACACGCACATTCTCTACTTGAATATCGACCCCGAACTTATTTCAAGATATCGGTTAGACGACACTGAGAGGGCTCGCCCATTAGTTTCCGTCGAACACTTATGCAAATGGCAAGAAGCCGAGAAGATTCAGCTACGTCAACTCTGCTACGACAATAACATTTTATTTTCATCAATATCCCCGAAGAGATGGTCACTCTTCCAGATCTCGACATTGATACGAGACTTCCAGCACCACACAAAAGATGTGAATCTTTCCCGCGCCGTAGACAAGCTGGACAGAACCCTTGCGAATGGCACACACCAACTGCATACAATGCTTGTACTGGACGCCGATAAAACACTAGTTGCAGAGGATACTGGAAAGTTGTTTTGGGAAGTGGCTTCAAGGCATCAGCCAGAGATACCAAATGATGCAGCACTAAAGAAAATATTCAGTAGCAGATTGGGATATTCCTACTCGGCCTTTCGGCAAGCTGTTCTGCTATACGAGGAGAGCTTTATTGATGATACGTTTGACCTTCTCTGTGAAGAAGTAGCAGCATCGGTAACTCTACGGCCCGAATTTATTTCACTCTTGCAAAGGGTAAAGGAGCATGATCATGTCGGGGCTTTAGTTGTTACATGTGGACTACGACATATATGGGATAAGATCCTCCGAAGAGCAGGTCTGTCCGAAACAGTGAAGGTTATTGGCGGAGGACGTATTGCAGATGGCTTTGTCGTCACCCCAGAGGTCAAGGCTTCCCTAGTTCGCCGCCTCCAATCAACCTATGGACTCCATACTTGGGCCTTTGGGGATAGCCCGCTAGATTTGGCGATGCTCAGTCAAGCGGATAAAGCTGTCGTTATAGTTGGCGAAGAGATATCGAGAAGCAAGTCCATGGATACAGCTTTGCTAGAGGCTATTGATAACGGCCTTGAAGCTTACCAAGCTCTGTTGCCCAGAAATGTCCCACCACGACTAGATACCGGAAAACTCCCCCTGGTAGACTTTTACGACTCAAAGTTTATTGATTCCCTCTTCTCCGGCCCCTTGAACAATAACAGCCGCGAGCTCCGTCTAATACACGCCACAGAGAAGCGGTCTGCCAAACTATTAATGACACCTATGCGCGATGCAATGATTGCTGGTCACAACCTTAGAGAAGCTCATCAAAACGCTGGGTGGTACTTGGCAATTGAATTCTTATCAGAGCTTGTTGGCGTTGAAGAGTACTCCATAGATCACGTCCAGGGCAATAAGACAAGCGGCCATCGACTTTGCCACGAGGAAGACACCCTAATCGTCCCGTTGATGCGTGGCGGCGAAGCCATGGCTTTTGGTGTTAGTCGAGCCATCCCCCTCGCCCGATTCGTTCACGCAAGCCGCCCAGACGACATCAAGGCTGGCCATCTTCACAATATCCGCAACGTGATATTAGTTGACTCAGTTATCAATAACGGCGGCACGATAGTGGAATTTGCACAACACGTGCGAAATCTAAACGGTGAAGTCCGCGTTGTAGTAATCGCCGGGGTCGTTCAGAAGAAGTCGATCACTCCGGGCGGTCAAGTATCAGAGTATGCTCGCGAAGCAGGACTAGAGCTCATAGCCCTGCGCGTTTCGGAAAACAAGTACACCGGAAGCGGCGGTACTGATACAGGGAATCGTCTCTTCAACACGACGCATCTTTCGAGATAGACTTCTAGAGCTTGTAATTATACAGTTTGTTCCGAGTTCATAAAGTCATCCACGGGGACAGAAGAGGTCCGAAACTCATTCACTCGGATGGTTCAAACAGGGGGGCTATCAGATAGAAGCATTAACTAATGTCATGCATGGAGTGAATATTAGGATAGTTGAATTGAACTATTACCTAACGCCCGCTCTTCTATCCTCTTTCGAGGGCGCTGCGAGCCTCTTATATACCCAATCCTAGTAGATCTACCCCTGAATCTACCCCTAACTCACTTGTTCCCTAACAGGGGCTACGTCAAGAATTAAAGCAACGAAGAAAGAGGATGGGGGTGCTCTCGTTGGGCTCGGCTGATCAAGTGACGGTATAATTTAGATTATTAAGAAGCGGCCATGATAAATCTATTAAAGACATCAAGTTTGAGGCGGTATAGAAAATAAAGAATAGCATTGTATTTTCTTACGCTACAGAATATGAGGCTATAGATTAGGTAGGAACGGTGTCAATTTCCACAGTTCTTGCTGTCTAATGCTGTTAAAATGCTACTAACTCTATATATAAACCTTTTTTTCAAAATGCTGGCGGTTAAATACCGACTCTCCATATTTGAATGACCCTCGTCACTCGTGAGAGATTCTGCTCTATACTCATCAGGGTCCGGATTATCGTCGTCGTCATCGTCATCGTCACTTTGAGACCTCTTAAGCGTACCCAGTCTCAGCATTGTACATTAAATTAGCTATCCTCTGCTGTATTGCCCCGTCTGTTTCTCGTTCGACACCGTAATCGCCCCTATGAGAAACCCAGTTGCGAACGGCTATTGCCAGGTCGATGAGTCCAGGCTGTCTCTCTCGGTCTACTACTCGACAACAGTATATAAGATCTATAAGCTGAGTATCGACGCCACGACCTATTAAATCGTCGCGGGCTGCGTGTAAGCTACCGGCAAAGGTCTCAAAGGTTTCGGCGCCAATGGTTACTGTTGCTGTTTCGTTCATCATTTCATCTTCTTGTAGCACAAGATATTGCATGACCTATTTCAGAGTTTTAGCCACTTATATGGGGTATAATTCGTAGGAACGCCCTATCTTACCTCGCCGATATCGTTAATATTTCTTTGGGGGCCCGTACGATCAAAATCATCAAGCGAACGAGGGCTAAATGTATGGTTAAGCAGATTATAACTGACAGGGGCTAGTATTTAGTACTCACTCGCTGGGGTCCATTACCGCCGCCGTTCCAAAATCCAGTAACTTCAAGATCGGGTTCATATCATGTTCAGGGTGTTGAAGTTCAGGCAAGAGACCTCCAACAGCAATATTACTCCTTGACAAATCTTTATGGGCCAGAAACCCAATAGGGAACTCCCGGAGACTTTCTAGAGTAGCTGTAGCTAGATTTACTCGGCCATCTTGTTGAGCACCACAATACGCCATTTCCAGACAGAATCTAATAACTAAACACCGTTCCAGGGTTAGTTCGATAACGTAGAAGACCAATTTCAGCCCTCGGTGGCTAGCTAAACTTACGACACATGAAAAATCTCCATAGTAGACGGCAGGGAAATAGTTCTCCTCCATATAGTTCGGTATGTCTTTCGACTAACAGCGTTAATGGGCCATTCTCAATAAACTCTGTGAATATCCAAGTCCGCATCCGGTGCGGTGTGAGATCGTCTGGCGTCTGTCTAAGCGGATCATCGTTTACGTCAAACGATTGAATAATATGATGGCAGTTGCGCAACCTCTATATTGTAAATCGTGAGCATATACCTAAGTTGAGACAGTGGATTTAAAAGACGCTCGAATTAAAATACACGCACCTCCAGCCATTGCTTTTCGTTAGCAAGCTGCAACACTTCGTCTCCTTCATCCTCGTCATCTTCGTCGTATGATTTATTCCCGTCAAGATCGACATCTATATGGCAGATCTTAACTGCGAATGTCCATAGACCACTTTCGCTGTGGTGTTTAACCTTATATACAGAACCGTTAGCCCCTGAACCAATTGTGCCTTCCCATTGGAACCTATCGCTACGATCGAAAAAGGCTTTTATTCGTCCTGCGACTGCTTCAGCACCCCCTTCGCTGAACCATGACATCTGGTTCCCGCTCGACCCTGACATGATTGAATTCTCGACTGAGAAAATGCGACTGGGTCTTACCTCGTTTCCTCATAGTGACCATATACACGAGTCGATTCTTCACTGCTTTGTCTTCATAACATAACAAAGGCTTTGACTATCAAAAAGGTATAGAGGCCTGCATGGTGTACAAATAAAGACACTCCGGATTGGTATCCATGCAATATATCCGCTGGCCAAAGACCGTGGTGTTTGTTAATAAGTCTTGAATGAGATAGTAAGATAGGGGTTGGTCAAAAACAAAGACTACGATACATATTGCCAGTTTTTGGCAATCTAGAAAAGATAATATACTCGTAAACAGCTAGGGTATACTGGATAATAACAATTCAAGCCCATTAACGAAGTGATTTGGCGTAGCTATGTGGTTTTGAGCTTTAACGTTGTTCAATTCGAATGTACATCTGCTAAACACCAAAGCTAGGACTATTAGAATAACCCTTCAGCAGATTACCACGATATTAACGAGATCAACGAGTGTTATAGAATTATACCATACTTTCTTTATTACTATTAAAATGATATCTGCTACGCCGACTTGGGTTGGTATTTCAGTGGCCAGTCAAATAATAGCCAGCCCCTAGACTGCTTTGATCTATATTACTCGCTTTTTACTCTACATTCTGTGCCTATAACAACAATAATATAATATTAAATACAGATTCAAACTTTGTCTATCTTGCTAGTAATACTTAATAAATATTTCCCCGAAAAAAGGGGGTTAAAGATTACCTATATAATTGTTAACTTGCGTTAATAACTATTTGATTGCGCCGTATGCTTAATTATCTAAACAATGACGTAATACTCCAAGCGGCAGGATAATTACCTACCTACATATTGTTTGCATTTCTACATATAAACGATCTAATCCACCATTACACAATTTCATCTTCGCAATTCCAATAATCATCCAACAGGATCACCAGTGAGTCCAAAACTCCATGGGAAGAAAAGCCCACCTGCTCAAAAGCTGGACTACTCAAACTCAACGTCTTGCGACAACGACATCGCGCCCGTTCTCAGCCACTCGCTCCTTAGCATACTATAAACCCCCCTCGCCATTCAAGATGTCGCACAAGACCCAAGAACCAGTCATCACCAAAATTTCAGAACTGCCCACCGAACAGGCAAAATGGGTGACTCTCAAGAGAATCGACTACACAGACCAGGTCGGCAAGCAGCGCACGTGGGAGGTAGCGACGCGCAAGACGCGGGGCAAGGCGGGCGTAGACGCCGTCGCCATGGGCAACATCCTACTGCACCCGTCGCGGCCCGCATCCACCATGCTCGTGATCCAGTACCGGCCGCCGCTGGACGCGTACACGGTCGAATGGCCGGCGGGCCTGATCGACGCCGAGGAGACGGCCGAGCAGGCCGCCGTGCGCGAGTTCAAAGAGGAGACGGGCTACGACTGCCGGCTGCTCAGCATCAGCCCCGTGCAGGCGGCCGACCCGGGCATGAGCGACGCCAACATGCAGATGGCCATGGTGGAGGTGCAGCTGCGCGAGGGCGACGAGGAGCAGCCGCCCGAGCAGCGCCTCGAGGACGGCGAGCACATCCAGCGCGTGGTCGTGCCTCTAAGCGAGCTGTACGACCGTCTGGTCGAGTATTCCAAGGCCGAGCGCACGATCGTCGCGGCCAAGCTGTTCCATTTTGCGGCGGGGATGCACTTTGCGCAGACGCAGAAGTACTTTTGATGGTCTGTTAATACATATATACATATGTATGGAAGAGAGACCTTGGCGTATCATAGCTTACTATAGCGTTATAATAAGAGAATTACACTTATAAGTTGACGTACCTTGGGAATCTTCAGGTAAGTAAATACCTATCTAACAGTAAATAAAAACGCCATAATCCAGTAACCTAAAGAGGTACCTATCATATCCCTGACATGCAGGTAAATTTATAGGTAACAAGTAAATCTAATCTCCAACTTATTCAAAACGTTCCCAACCAGTCAGCTTAGTCCTTGCGAGAACGTGTGCGCCCCAGTCCTGCTATACATACATACGTAGGTACTACCACTACATATAGTGAAGTCATCAAATGAAGCTCTGTCAAAGCGATACTTTCGGGAATACTATATATGTAAACTCCTTTCTTAATACCCGACTTTCCTCATGAAGGACATGTAAATTCGCTAATCCTATGCGGTAATGGGATTCCAAAATAGCACACGCTAGGTAAACAAACCCTTGTCTGCAGATGAATCTCGACAGTCGCTACCACGTGGGGGGGATCAAGTAGAGTCGCATTTTGACGCCGACAAGGACCTACATCTACATATCAAGTACTTAAAATAGCTATGCCATCCCAACAGCAAGGGATCAGTCTTGCATTAATTTTCATTTCCATCTACGCTACACTAATCGTCGCATTGCACTACTCCAAATTGACGGAAACCCGTCCAGCCACCACCATGAAATCGTGGTTCTCGATTCTGTGGTCTATAGCGACAGTTACTACCGCGCAAAAAGTCGATTTGGGATGGTACCCTCCAAGCAACACGTCTATAAACAGCTTAACTACCGCTTTACGCGGCGAAGGGGTCTACGGGTTTATATTCAACACCTCGGAGACGCCAGATGCGCAGTATGGGACGTATAACTGGTGCAACATGCCGCATGTTCGGAAGACAGAGTATGTTAAACCGGCAAGTGAGTATAAGCTTAGATACGTCGAAATAGTTAGTCTGAAGCTTCTACCATGTTATCCTATGGCAAGCAACTAAGCCCAGCTAGATCCAACGACACCACGAGCGAACTCCATACGCGAGTAATGCTTTCCCGGTAGAATCTTACCGTTGGGACTGCGACGACCAAGGACTCTATTACTACGGCAGCCCCTTCGGGAGCAACAGCAAACGGCCCGCTGAAGTTTATTGGAAGGGCTATATATCACCAACAAACCCCTTTACGCCCTCAGGCTGGATCGGAACTTGCCAATTCCCCCAGATAACTTCTGCGGGGCTCGACGACTCCTGGATCCACGGTCGAGACCTTTACGAGGTCTACCACGACCTGCTCAGATTTCTCCCCGGAAAAGACGAAGACTGGAGAGCCAGCGTGACGTATCGTGTGACTCAAAACGTAATCACCAGTCAGGTCGCCGGCATGTTGATCAACGGGATGTGGGGAACGACCGAGGCCGTACCGCTAAGTATTCAGGGGGCCGGAGTCGACAGCCTCGAACCGCAATATAGTTGCGGAGTAGGCAGCAATCTATTCAACACGATCAGGTCCTCCTCTAACACGGCTTGGGAACACCATCTAGAGGCCGCTACAGATTTGTTTAGCAAGTTAGATAACATATCCGGGGTGTCCCCGAGCGACTCCGGCTTCCACGCGAGTTTCGACCACTACTTCGACAACCTCTCCGCGCGACAGTGCCACGCCAAACCGCTGCCATGCAAGCTAGAAGATGGCATGAACTCGTCCACATGCCTTGACCAGGCGACGGCTGATACCGTGTATCGCATGGGGCAGTGGGAATATTCGCAGATATACCGCGATGCCCGCGCTTCGCTTGCCGCGTCTGCTACTACGTACGGCGTCTGGATTGCGGAACTGAGTAAACACCTACGAGATGTGATGGCTGGCGAGGGTAGGCCCATCTACTTCCACAATATAGCGCACGACGGGTCTGTAAGTCGGTTGCTAAGTATACTACAAATCGATGTCATGGTGGTAAGTTGCTTTGCGTTATCTTGTTACAAACCTAGATAGGGGATTGCTGACGCGGAATATTCCCAGTGGCCTGGAATGGGTAGTGAGGTAGTGTTTGAGCTGTACGAGGGAAGGGGAAACGCGACGGCATCCCAAAACTCAAGTAAAAAATCCAATGTCGGAGCTGGTAAGAGGCAATCAAGAGGGACATATGGCGGTAAGTTTTTCGTAAGGGTTTTGTTTAGTGGCAAGCCACTCAGATCCTCGAACCCCAGCCTCGGCCTGCTAGATATGGTGCCAGCAGAAGCCCTACTGGCTTATTTCGACGGGCTAGTCGGGACGGATGCCAGCTTGGTCGTAGGCAAGTGTAATGGTACATTGCCTGTCTAGAGATAAATCGAGAGGGGAAAAGCACAACTTGTCTCATGCATCGGGAACGTAGCAGTAGCATCAATAGTTGGCTACTTAGTGCTGAGTAGCGTCCAGCTGCTTCTCTACATCATCCCATCTACCCGCCCGCATTGGATCCAGGGCTCGGACTTTTGCTAGCCACTTTGCGGGATCTTCAACCTGCTCTCCGAGACCCTTCAGCGCGATTGTATATTCTAGTAAAGACTCGTAGATCCATTTCACGTCCTCATAGTCTTCCAGCAAGTCCTTGATATTATCAATCTCCTTCTTTACGTAGGTCACCCGCTCCGCTACGGTTAGAGCCGGTGCTATAGTCGGCTTGTCGGCGCGGTTGACGATCTGCGACACCATGTATTGGTGGTAATACCAAAGGCTCTGATCTTCAGGCCCGACATTGAGAGCTTCTCGGACGAGATCAAGTTCTGCTTCGAGGAATTCCCTCCTTTCGACTTCGTTGGCCCCGCGTTCGTCAAGCAAACGTAATATCAGCTGGCTTCGGGTGTGCCAGGCCGAGAAGTTAGATAGATCAACATTAATCATTCTTGTGGTGTAGGCAAACTCGATCTCGACCATGCTCTTGCCATCTAGCGAAGGACTCTCGAGTGCAGCCACCACGTTCCTCCTGTAGCCCCATGCGTGAAAGTTGCGGCGATCCTTGGTCAGCATCTTAGACGCCAGGGCAAGTTCGGCCTCCCAGATATTGCGCGCAGCCGTCGCGGGGAGTCGTACGATGGCTTGCTCGAGAAGCCACTTACGGTACTTCCATATCCAGTAGCACTTGGGGTATTCTAGGAGCAAAGGAATGGTGAATGCAAGCTCGGATTGTAATGTGTTGACATCAGCCTCGACGTCTTCTCTTCGCTTGTCATCAACTATAATACCACTCTTCCCAGTTGTCGGGGAGTCTCGGTGTAGCGGGGTCGCATCCGAGGACGAATGAGAGGAGTAGTCTGAAGACGGATTCGTAGTGTCGTTCTGAGAAGTATTCAGTGACGCCTTCGAGGGCGATGACCCACCCGAGGGTGCGGAGAATAATCCAGAGATTAGACAACGCCGACGGACGTTCCATATTGTGTAGTATTCAGGGTTCAGACGGAGTAGTTTAGAGGTAAGCTGGAATAAGGCGGAATCGTAATTGTTAGCCGAGGCTTGGACGCGGATGGAATCCTCGAGATCACGATACTTGCTAATCCTATCGAGATCCTGCCGGCGCTGTTCTTCGGTTCGTGCAGTTCGGGCGGTGCGAGCTGCGCCGTGCTATCTTACGACTCGTCAGCTATGCCACACACCATGTCTCTCTTTCGAGTAAACGCACGCTATCCATGTCGAAGCTTCTTTTCCAGCGGGGTTATTAGACGAAGACAGATAGTAAGTAGTATACCTAATTCGCATATGACTCCAACTTGTTATACTACAAATATTTATCTAATGTATCAGTATTATGTAGGAGTAGGAGTAAGTTGACGAAATGCCGTCGATAAGATGAAGGATAAAGGGAAGTCTATATGATAATACGCAAGGTATGATGATAGTGGGGCAATAATTCCTTAGGTAAGCTTCATTAACTTATAACAGTGTAAAACAAACATGTCTCTTTCCTCGCTCATCTCCTTTCTTATCCTCATATTTATAAATTCATAGGTTACAGTGAAATCAATAGATTCTCTATGGTCAAGTCCCTAATTTTGTTCATTATGTTCACTTGGGTGAAACTAAAAGAAACCATACAGGTAGTTACCCGTTTTATTATGCCTGTCTTCTGGCTTATCGTCCCAAGAGCTTCAGCACAACTCAAATCTAGGTATAAGTGCCGAATTTGTCAAATACGAATTGTTAGAATATGAAGAGACCATGTTCATATAAATAATTGAAGAGGTTATTCTACGATACAGTTTAACTCTTCATCATACTTTTCATACCATTACTAACACCCAGACGACTAAAAAGCTATCGTCATCTCATACGATTTCCTTTTGAAGATAGATGACAAACTACCAGCTGGACGAGTCTTGGGAATTACGAAAAAGCTGGTAATTATAAAACAGCAGGTTCTACATGTCTTCCAAGTTGTCTAGGGAGGTAGTTGCCAGCATAAGCCCATCAGTATCATAACCTAAGGTTTCATATGACTTCAATTAGCATTCCTCAAAATGGAAACAGTTTCCCTGAATGCCTCATATGTAGGTAGTCTTCCTTCTCTTACATGAGCCTCTTCATTCCTTCCCTCACTTCTTCGAACAATGGAGGAACGCTTGTAAACCTCTGGTGGGCACCTGGCTCGCATATCAACTTCGCGAAATCCGTCAATCCCTAATTTATTCTTCTCTCTCGACCTAAGCGATGGTATCAGTAGCTTTCATTATTCTTTCTTTTCCACAACATGCCTATCACGTCACCGGACCGGTTTGTACCATCGTATGTGCCCCTTCAAGATCGCTTTCGAGCCGCCAAGCAAGTCAATGAGCTATCACCATTAGAGCGGATTCATCGTACGGAAAATGATGCCTCGGACGTCTTTTGCTTCACGCCGAAGAGATATTCTCCCCTTTCTGTCCGACAGGCGTCTCGATCCGACGGTAACCAGCGGCGTGTCGGCACCGTCTTAGGGCTACACAGCCTAGAACCACGACAAGTCAGCAACGGTGCCGTCTGGTCTGTAGGCGGCTTAGCCCCTGGAGGCGTCGACGACGGACGCGGGCGGAGGGTGAGCTCTGGCACGAATGCCCGCTTATATGCCACCGCGTTTTCAGATACGCGACCCAAATCTGAAGATGAGCAAGAGAAACACGAAGGTAGACTCGCTCTAGCGCTAAAGATAGATCGAATCCAACGGATTTTAGTCTTTGACGGATACTCAACGTTTCCTCGCTGTAAGCATAAAGAGAGACTACTACTGCGAGAAGCCAAGACGACATGGACGGGAAGCGAGTGGAGCAACGACTATTACGTGCCCAGTACGCAGACCCCATACCTCTCAACAGTTCAGTGAGACTAACACGGCCGTAGAAATTCAGAGGGAGGAGCGGTGTCTCCCTAATGCCCCGTTCAAGTGCGTAAGTTTCTCCCTTAGCAATGCAGCTGTTGACATCTACCAGGGTCCTCGATGCCCCGGGCCTTCGTGACGACTTTTATTGCTCGGTGATGGCATATTCTCGCACGTGTAATACGTTGGCTGTTGGCTTAGGCAATCTGCTCTATGGGTGGTCAGAAGCTTCAGGCGTCACGCTTTTAAATGCGGGACTCAAGGACGGTTCGTGGCTAACTTCGGTGGCATTCTCGTCCGAGAAGGGCGGCAAGTCAATCCTCGCCTTTGGCCGATCAAGCGGATTGCTCTCCTTGGTATCACTTTTCGACAGCCTGCTCCCTCGCTTCGAGACGTATCATCCCGCACCCATAGCCTGCCTCTCCTGGCGTCCTACCTCTACCCCACGACCTTCTCGAAACAAGCGCAATCCCGGAGTCCTAGTCAATACGGAAGACCTCCTCGTAGGCGACGACCTGGGCGACGTCTATTACTACGCGGTTGAATGGCCCGAACCCTAGGAAGTAGCTCGGGAAAATTGGCGCGGTACGATGACTCTACTTGCTCGTATTAAAGTTCATTCCCAGCAAATATGTGGTCTCGCCTGGTCTCCTGATGGCGAGCAGTTCGCCACAGGAGGGAACGACAATCTGTGTTGCCTCTTCGCTATTGACAGTCTCACAGATGCGGAGCGTGACCTGAACTTGGGCTTTTCGAAACTGTCAATAGCTGACACGCCTAGTAGCGAAGTACAATCTGCTTCGTCACAAACCCTTAACCCTGGAGACGGTGCTCCATTTTCATTACCCGAATTTACGTCTGGCAGCCCCGATCCATTGTCGCCCTTGAAATATTTTCCGGCGGGCTCTGAGAAACACCGATGGCATCACGGGGCGGCTGTTAAAGCTATCGCATTCTGCCCGTGGCGTCAAGGGTTGATTGCTACTGGTGGAGGATCTAATGACAAATGTATTCACTTTTACCACGCAAACTCTGGCGCCGCACTCGCTACTATCTCGGTTGCGGCTCAGGTTACTTCTCTCATATGGAGCAAGACTCGGCGGGAGATTGCAGCAACCTTTGGGTACGCGCAACCCGACCACCCGTACCGCATCGCCGTGTTCAGCTGGCCAGACTGTCGACAGGTAGCTGCCGTACCATAGGAGGGAGAACACCGTGCATTGTATGCCATAGCATACCCAGGCGGTCCGAGCGATACATACCGTACAAAGGAGAGACTAAGGAGTCGCACTGCCGAAGAGGGCTGTATCGTGGTAGCGAGCAGCGACGAGAGCGTCAAATTTCATGAGGTATGGGCAGCATCCCGCAAGGCGACTACGCTCGGCAGCGGTGTTCTAGCTAGGAGCGATATCTTAGAGATGGAGGAAGGCATCGACAAGGAGGGCGAAGTGATTCGCTGAGCAGGGCGAAAAAGGGGGAGGACCATGCACAATGTAACTTGGTTCGTGATAAATTAAGAAAGCAGGCCATGTAGTATTAAAATAGCCCATACCCGTCGACTAACGAATGTGGTTCGAGCTTTCGTACTCGATAGCGTCGGTGACTATAAGATACATGAGAAGCTTGATGCCAACAATCGGATCTTCACCATTAATTCCGAGGTAAAAGGAGGTCTACATATCTAATGCGATAAGGAGCAATAAGGATGCCCATCGGATTAGTCATGGTAACCAGCCACGAACAATGAATAATTACCTATGTATGCTCCGTTCTTTCGACGTCATTCCATTATGCTTCATCAGAGCTCAAAGGTTCGGGACCTGTCGAAAGCGTGCCTTCTTTTTATTATGAAGTAGCGATCAAGTGATAGCACGTCGTGACGGAATCGGTAGTTGTAAGTGCGAATATGTACATGTGCCTGCCTAGATACATATGTAGGTACACAAATAAGTGTTATTAATTGGAAGCTTTGACCACCACCACCACAGGAAGACTGGTTCAACTTTATGAGGCAGATCTAACTAACCCTATTTTGGCTCGGTCACGCTTTACTAATTGCTCATCCAGTCACCGGTCGCTATGTATGTAATACCCATAGACTTGCCCCGCTTACTTCCTGCCCCGCCTGCCCGCCAATACCTAACTGCCTATACAAATGTAATACAGTGGACATCCGCGCACTAATAAACCGCCCCGGCAGCCTTACTCTCCATACCTGGTAGTGTACCTGCCTCTGCCTGTTAGGTACATATAGATAGTAGACATTACACTAGGCTTATCGGTGACTGTATCAGTGCATCAGTACATCAGTGGCTCAGTCCAAGTCATTTGAGTTGCTTTGCCATAAGGTACATTATAAATTTGGTCATCAAACCCAAATCACCTGGGCTCTGAGCTGCTACAGTGCTACTTGCGGTGCTGCGACCGGAAAGGTTGCCTTGGATTTAGCACGACTCCTTCCCCCCCACCGCAAACCAAACTCGTGCCTCTCCAACCTTTAACCTAAACTTCAACACCTTTACCAAACCAGAACCATCCATCATCATCATCTTCATCTCCATCTCCATCAAACAAAGGCACTGAAACGGAATCATCTTCTACTGTCTGCCATCTTCTATTTTTCTAATTCATCTTTTCTTATTTTAATACGCCCGCCGTTCTTCTTACTCGTCTCCCAATAGACCGTCCCATTATCACCAACAAACGACACTGTCAAGATGCGATCCAAGTTTAAGGACGAGCACCCCTTTGAGAAGCGCAAGGCCGAAGCCGAGCGCATCCGCCAGAAATATGCCGACCGCATTCCAGTATGTATTCATTTCCTTCATCTTCCTATATGCGTAACTCTCTTGTCGTTTTTATCTATTCAACCCTCTCGTCTGGTCGCCTTCGTAGCTTCTGTCGTCATTCTTTCCCCTCTAGCGTCCCGCACTCGCCATCTCACCGCTTTGTCCGCTCTTCGATTTCCAAACTCCCAGAATCTAACGAGTATTTCTACGAATAGGTTATTTGCGAGAAGGTCGAGAAATCAGACATCGCAACCATCGACAAGAAGAAGTATCTCGTACCCGCCGATCTTACCGTAGGCCAGTTTGTCTACGTAATCCGAAAGCGCATTAAGCTGTCCCCGGAGAAGGCCATCTTCATCTTCGTCGATGAGGTCCTCCCTCCGACCGCTGCTCTCATGAGTAGCATTTACGAGGAGCACAAGGATGAAGACGGGTGCGTTTACCTCTGACCGCTGTTCTCCAGTTCTTCATGTCTCCATGGTGATGACTTGCTAATTAACCAACCTTCTTTTACAGATTCCTCTACATAACTTACTCAGGCGAGAACACTTTCGGCGACGCCGCTTAAGACGTACACTTTCTCAGATTTCCCCCCAACGGCGTTAACGGTTTATCTCTGGCTGGACAACAACGATGTGATTATTAGTGGTGATGAATTATGGATAGGGACAGGAATAGTTACGACGGATGACTGATAGGGGTTGCGTCTGTCTGCCTAGTCACATCGCGTTCCCAAGTGTGTAGATGACAATTAGATGCACCCTTTTTGATTTCATATAATCAATATCAGTGTGGCCTGTCCATCAATCCATCCTATGCAGAGCCTAGGGTGACTTGCATAAACGAGCATTTGCTATCAAATCCGTCAAAGCATCGGACCACGGTACACCGCTTGCGTTCTCTAACAGACGCTTTCTTAGATAACCTACTCTGTGCATAGCTTCGCAGGCCTCCCTCTGGGCACGGTCCTGTCATATATGGTTCCTTATTGTTTAAAGCGTTTGAATAAACTCTAGCTTCATTTTGTTGAAACAAGTTAAATAAGATATAATAGGTCCTAACCGATATTTTATATACTTGGATATCTCTAATAGCCACGCTTCAATCACATGTTGCCAGATTATGTAGACAGCTACGAAAAAAGCTTGCCGCCGTGTCATCCGTAAAAGTAAATACTTGCGCTTTCTATATTAGAGTCGTGGGATTTAGCAGTATCGTGCCTCCCGATCTATGATCACGAGGACTCTAGAAGGAACTATACTAATATCAGTCCCTTCTCTTATTCTGTCTTAAATAACCTTGGTTAATATATTTTCTGTAAAATATCGGCGTAATAACCCCTGAAATTCATGACAAGATAGACATTTCCATACCACTATCCGAGCAAAATATTGATCTTGCAACGATACTGGCTACATATATCATTTCACTTATTAATCAACTTACATTTCAAAAATATTAGTTCCTCTTGTCTAACCCTCCTCCTTCCACGCCGTACATAGGAAATAAGGGGCGGGGTTTAAAGACCAAGTACCTAAAGCTTTGCGCGCCATATATCTTTCAATAAGTTTACGAGGAGTGAATGGGAAAACATTCCCTATCAATGAAGCAATGCAAAAAAGATAGGTGACCTAAAAAGGTGCTTCGAGGAAAGGAAAAAGGAAAAAAAAGATTGCACCATTTGCCATTAGGCGAATGGATGTAGTTCGTATGATGAGAGTGGGACTCGAACCCACGCGGATTGCTCCACTGCGAGATTTTTATATCTTGATAGACAATTCAGCTAAACCTGAACGCAGCGCCATAACCACTCGGCCATCTCACCATTACTTCCAAGTGTGGATATTCACCATCCGAGTTATTTCCTCCTAAGTAGTGACTTGACTGCCCCTAAGTAGGTATTAAATTATTTCTAATATCTTCGTCGCAACAGTTGTCTGTTTATACCTTCAAGATATGAGGCAGTGGTTATGGAAGCACGAGTCAAGTTGGAAAAATCGCCTTGCAAGTTAGATAGTATCCCCCGTCGGACTGGCTAGCCCATACGCGCTCTCTATGAGCCGACCTTATGAGATGCTCTTATTGCTCTCGAATCTTAATAGACTTGTCGTGGGCTAGGTATAAGGGTTTCCAGCAAGTATCCATGTTTATAGATTTATACGCCAGCTGCGGAAATGATCATATTCTCCACCGAAATGTCGTAATTTAGTTTAAGCTCGCTTTTTTCATAATAGAACTCGTTTGGAGTAATACCATACCGTAAGAGCGGTAAATATAAATTACATCCCACTACAACAAACCTGTCATAACGTAGAGCAAGAAGCCTAGAAACAACTAAATTATTCCGTAAGGAACTTTAAGCTAACTATGTGAGCCCGTGGCTATACATACTGAAAGTGTCCTTTGCTTTAGGTAGCTCATCTAGAATCCTGACAGAATCAACAGCTTACCAAATTTCACAAAAGAAAGTTACTTATGCTACCAGAATAGGTAGCTTGCTCTACTTCCAGGTATGTCTACATTTTTTAGTAAATTAACCTACGTTTGGAATAATTAAGCTAACAAATACATCTGTCAACCTATAACTACAAATACCAGCTATTTAGACCAAGTGTCTTCGTTATAGGACCCCCGCCTACCTAATTCCGTAGTAATCAATACAAATGAATACCGTGAAAACAGGCAGGCTTAGAGGGTAGGTATGAACTTTTCCCATTCGTCCCCCCTTATTTTCATCGTCTTGTTGCGGGGGACGAAAAGCAGATGGCGGACCTACTCTATTATATAACTATTTCATACATTGATACTGTCCAAGATAGGTTTGCACTTAGACCAGTTCGAATGCTAAATACTAGGCTGTTGGCCTTACTCGGCCTACTTCCAATAAGACACTGATCTGCTTGATATATGTCACTCGATGGGCGTTAGAACTTCATATAGGGGTTCAATATAAATTTGGTACAGGTAGGCTCCCTCTGACTTCTAAAAAGATCACGGCACCAAGTACCTTCGGCCTTATAGCCTTACACTTTCCAAGTAGAGGACCCAAGCAGCATCGAAACACCAACCTTTTCGCTACTACGCCTATTATATATCATTGGCCAAGATCGATAAAGGAGTAACATAATAGCTCCAAGTAGATTTCAAAAATGTTTTCACTCGATCTCTTCTGCCATATATCGTCTAACCTACAATGTTTTCAGACGTGGAGGCCTCATCTCAAAAAGCCCATGAAAATAATCTCAGGTAGGGAAGCCAGTATTATATTCCGCAGTTGCTAAAACGAGAAGAGCTAATAAGTTACAGCGATAAGTAGCAAGAATGTTCACATCTCGAGTTGATATGAGCTATACGGAGAATATTGCCAAGTACAATGAGTATCCCAGTTCGAATGAGCGCACCGGAAGATGCGTGTACCAATCCTTGTATGTAATCATCTCTCGCTTGCCTCCCAATAACTCTCGACTTGTCCCGCTCTACCCATGTCCCCTTCATCCTGCATCTACTCGCACCCGACAGTTTTTGTTTAAACAATAAGAAAAAGAAAGAAAAGGACATAGGTTGCACTGCGCATTGAAGGGCGCAATGCGAGGCCGGCTGCAATGTAAAATAATCGTACACAGGGCGGATACTTGAAAAGTCTGCTTGGAATTGACAATAATTCCTCAGCACAGTCATATCCGCATATAAAACCCTTTAAGCGGCTCGAATCAAATGGTACAACCGTGGACTAACGCCGATTTTTCTTTGCTTTCCCCATAGGGAATAATGGTGAAGATAGAGATATCAAGTGATTAATCCGGCCCTGTCAGAAACGTCAAATCGTGGGTGGGAATCGCTCAGAGCCTCCAAACCTTCCTAATCCCCAAAACAATGCAAAATCCTGAACGTCCAGCCGATGTAGTAGTGCGTATAAAGCAACCGAGCCGAGACCGAACAACAATACGGAATTCCGTAATCAGAAGCGACGTCGCTATGCCAACTTTATTATATTTTCTTTCCTCAAACGTGCCTACTCCGGAGGGTGCGAGATATCATGAAGGGTTCCCCTTAGCACGCTTCTGTAGTCGAGGCGTCCCGGGTGGCTTCTTGTTGCCCATCGCAACGCCGTTTACCTGAGAGACTCCGATACTTGCGGGTGTCGGAGCGTCCTCCTCGGCCTTTACCGTTGAAGGCCTCCTTCGCTTGTTGCTTGCTGGACTCGTATTAGCGCTGGGCCCGCTAGAGCTCGTTCCTTGCTGACTCTGTTGTAGTTGCATGCCGGGTGCTTGCATGTGTCCCTGGGCGGGGCTGCCCATGTGAGGCGAATTGGGAAGCTGTAGATGCGCGGTAGCTGGCGAAGCGCCCATAGGGAATTGGCCAAAACTGGGAGTCCGCGGGTTGGGTGGGCCATTGCCTTGAGGTTGGCCATTCACTAACGGTTGCTGCGGGGCGTTGGTAATATTCTGGTTGACGTACTGCTCAAGTGCAGCGTAAGGGGAGAGGCCTGGATGCGAATGGTAAAAGTTGAACAATGGCTAAACAATTGCACATGTTAGTAAGAGATAGGTAGAGTATACAGAGCCCACAGTTGACTCGGTAACATTTTATTTATTGGAAGAAGCCAACTCACATTCATCTGTCCAACAACTTCTATGATCTATGATATACTATGTTAGCAAAGGCACACAAACTACAAAAATAAGAGCTCGTACCTCGAGGAATTGGAACACGCCTTCTGTGAGGCCTATATTTTGTTTGACGGCTGACGGAGGTAGGTCAATATCCGGGGGTGGATTTGGTGGCGACTTCAATGTCTTCGCCTTTCCCTTCTTGCTCATCTCCGGCGACAATCGCGAGTCCTGGTTATTAACCTTGAGCCATTCTTTAACCCAGTTGTGCGCCGGTCTCGCCGCCTCGGTAACCATCTTCCTCGAGTGATACTCCTCGTGGCTTTGCGTGACGAATTCTAATAGATCTAGTTTTTGCTCGCTGTCAAACTGCGCTCGGAGTATTCCCGTCGCGACGAGCTAATTGCCAAGCCGTCAGAATGCTGTCATACGGGGTTGAATACGTAGGGCAGCTTGTGTAACTTACATGAGAATTGTCGAACCAGTAGGTCAAGTGCGCTCTTTGGTTCTCGATGAAATGGCAACCGTTCGGCAATGGCCTGTCAGTAATGCCTCTCTCGAACGTCAAATTGATCCTTCGGATGCCGCTCTCGTAATGTGTATGAAAGTAGCGTGCTAGCGCAGGTTGTGTTATATCGTACTGCTTATCCGCGTGTTCTTCGTTGCCCGTATCACTACCAATATAAAATAGAGAGATTCTAAAGATGCCCCTCATCGAGAAGAATTGCCCGACAAAGCTATTCCAGTACGCAAGGTCATCCTTTGTTCGTGGGCCCTAGGAAGTGAGGTATGTTAGCGTTTAGTCTTACACAGGGTTAAGGGCCAGCAAGCTGATTTCGGTAGGTGCAGAAAAAATATATAATTAATACTGACAGGATAGGCACTAAGGTGCTCGCCGAACTGAAGCAGCTTTAAGAGGCACTGACCCTTCATGCCGTCATTCTTTTGCTGTTGCTGTTGATGATGTAATAACTGCTGCTGGATGCTATTTGGCAGCTGCATATGGGCTGCCTGTAACGCCTGCGGGGTGGGTTGCTGAGGTTGGCTCTGTTGGCCGTTCGGTGGCTGTCCTTGGCCTTGCGGTTGTTGCGGTTGATTACCTTGTGCGGGATTTGGACCTTGATTCTGAGGTTGGTTCGGTTGTGCAACTGCCGGCGTCGGGGCTCTCTGGGGACCTTGCGAGTTCGGTTGCGGTTGTTGACCTGGCTGTGGGCCTTGTTGCTGTTGGCCTTGTTGCTGCTGCTGCTGCTGCTGCTGTTGTTGTTGCTGTGGCGGCTGTTGCTGCTGTCCTTGTTGCTGTGGTTGCCCTTGGGGCTGGGGTTGAGGTTGAGGTCCCTGGCCTTGAGGGCCTTGCGGGACCTGTTGCGCCATCGACTGTGCTATTTGCGCCTGTTGGATTTGTATCTGCTGGGCATTCATCTGTCCGGGATGACCAGGCTGGTTACCTTGGTGCATCTGGTTATTCGCTTGCTGCTGGGCTTGGTGCTGTTGCATTGCCATCTGCTGCGCAAGCATATGCTGCAAGTGAATATAGTTGTCAGCACGAAGTCTAGAATCGGGATGCTCAAAACGCGTGGGGGCACGTGTAACTACCTGGGCGTGCTGAGGATTTTGATGTTGGCCCTGCTGAGCAAGATGCGCCTGCTGCTGCATATGGGCCATATTGCCGCCGACTCGCATATTTGCGTTGTTTCTCAAAGCCGAGAAATGGGCAGCCGTCATGTTACCCATGTTCATCCCCTGCATATTCACAGGAATGCCCCCGTACATCTGCTGTTGCATCATCGCCTGCCTCTGCTGCAACATCCTTTGCTGCTGCATCTGGGCCATCATTTGGGGATTTTGGGATACTATGGATTGTTAGCACGATTCGAGTGTCGTCAATACGGCCTCAAGCCGGGGTGAGCAAAACTCTCGGCTTACTTGCGAATTGTTGTTGTTGTTGTTGGTATATCTGCTGCTGCTGCTGAGGGTTCAGGTGCTGAAGAGCATGGGCATTGGGGCCAACAGCACCGGGAGGCATAGCTCCCATCATGGCCGCGGGATTGACCTGTCCACCGGGTCCGGACACGGCCATGTGGGCGGCCATCTGAGGAGGCATACCCTGCTGAGCTCCTGGTTGGCTCGGGTTATGAGCCATACCCGGAGCGCCCATAGGGTGTCCCGGATGGGCGCCGGGATGCTGCTGCATGCCTGGATGAAAGCCACCGGGTCCCATGCTTGCCATCATTTCTAATAGTGTCGACTATCCACGACGTGGATATCGACGCCCAACCGTAGCCGTTGTTTCATACGCTTCAGTCCCTTCTATCCGTCGTCGCGGCCCTGATGTGATTGATCGATCGGCTTGGCTGAGAGCTTTGCGTGCAGCAGTTCCTTGGATTTTTCTAATTTCCCTTTCTCGTCCTTCTACGGGCAAACACCTACAAGCTCCCCCCTCTTTCTACTGGTTATGCTGTGGGTAGATGCGACTTGACGCAATGCGATCGCCGATCATGGAACGTGTATACTAGTTTTTAAATAGTGTCGCCGTCGCGGTTATAGGGTTGGACTGCAGGCGTAATTCGAAGTTGGAGATGATTAGAGACATATAGATGTAGATCGCGTTGAAATGGGTAGAGTATGGAGAGAAGAAGGCTGATGAGGGATGATTTCTTTTGATCCCAGAACGCGATTAGAATAGAATCTCTGGATGCGCGCCGTGCGATAGCACAGAGGCTGCAGAAATAAAATGGTTGATTATATGTTAGCGACAAGATACACCACCTGAGGCTCACTCCAAAGATCGATCACTTCACGAATATATTTCGATATGATGATCGTCTGGTCGTCGCCGTCGTCGGAACAATTGACCGAGCTACGTCGCTGTTGTTGCTAGTGTCGTTGGCGCGCGTGGGTAGCTCAGCCGGAAGCAAAAGAGGCGGACGTGCACGATGCGATACAAGTGGGTGTTATTAGTTGTTGGCGTTGGCGTCGTGAGATTCGGCCCAGGTACGGTATAGTACAGTACTAATCGACAGTAGATCTAGATTGCTAATACGGTGCGATTGTGGTATGATTTTTATGCAAAGCATAAGTTGGTGTATTATATTACGATTTTAGTGTTGGTTCGATCTTAAGCGACAACGGTGAGCGATCTTTTTTTATATTTTTTTAACGAAGTTGGTCCCGATAGTTTGTAACAACGCGGACGGCGGGTTATAGGCTAATAAAAAAAGGGTGAGAATTTGGGGGAGCAAAGGGGGACACGGTAAGTAAAAGGCGTGAAAAGTATTAAGTATGAGGTAACGATAGAGAGAAGAAAAGGAAGAAGAGGTGGTGGTTAATGCGGTAGTGGCAGAATGTACGTTCAGTGGAAGTAGAAAGTAGATGAACGAGCTGGGCTGAGCCAGGTAAGGCGGTGCTATTTTGCTATTTGCAAAAGGAGAATAGAAGGGTATCATAAAACGAATATGCTATTCTCCGCGCCTACGGGGAGACTTGGCCCTCTGAATTAGACGCCGCTAGATACCCTGTATGTACCTAAGTAGACCTTGGGGTTTTGGGGGGCGCTGCTTAGAGGACGGGCTGGAACTTCGCGCGCTTAATTTTTTATTCTTTCTTTCGATATACCTTCTCGTTGGATCCGATAGTCGCGACCGGCGAAAGGTGGCTCTTCTGCTGTGCCTTGCGGTTATCTGGTTAGGTGGGTTCGGTAGATTTGATGCGATAATTTAGTGACACATCGTACCGAGTACTGTGTAGATAATTTAGTCTAGAAATGTGTTGGTATTGAAAGTGGAGAGGGAGAACATGATCTTTCTCGGAGACCTAATAGAGGTGGCAGGTAAACAGTGCGAGATTATCTTGTATGCAGAGATTTAGTATGCACTAAAAGAGTAATAAATATTCCCGAGAATATATACTGTATCCAATGCACTGTGCACAGTCCACGTGCGCGATATCAGCATATGTGGTAATTTGACAAGGTCCTGCCCCTGTCTTATCAGAGCTTAACTTCTTTTAAGTTTCGCTTCCTTCCCGACTAGCCCCGATGCGCCAATAGGGGATAAGTACTATCAACTGATAGGTATCTTATGTAATATGATATACTTCTGTGAGGTTCTTATTGTTCAAGTATTATAGCAAAGCAGGAGAGTATAGACTTATAGGCTTAGTGGTTATACTTGTATAGGTAAGTAAGTAAATGCTTCGGGCTTCCTTTTGGGCTTGGTCACTCAATTGATAAGTCTTTCGAAAACATCATCCTCTCACATTTTGTTGCCTACCTAGACATGTATCCATCCGAGCTTAGCACTTAAATCTAGCGTGGGAAAGTTGAAGCTATACTGCCTTGTATAGCGTGTATGTTTATGAAAAGTGTCTCAACATTTTCTCTATGTTATTAGCACAGTAAGGCGTGAGCTTACAACATGTATCAGCTCAGTCGTAGTCATATCTTAATATACTATATGTCCTATACTCTAAGACATTCGAATAACTTAAATAGCTTGGAATACATACAATACATATCACCTGGCCTCACATAGTACACCGGCATGGTTTCTTTTGCCCCTATCTTGTTAACTATAACAGCCACAAAGATTATCGCATCTAGGGATGAGGTTACAAAAAACCAAGGAGATCAGTTTGCTCAATAAATACAGCTTTAAAAGACTATATCTATTAACTTCATGTTACTTGACAGATGATATAAAAGACAGAAAAGAAAAGAATGATATCGTATAATAAAAATCAAAAATTGATGTAAATTGATCGCGATGCTGCCACAAGATACTTCCACATATACATGTACGAAACGACTAGCACTCGGAAGATTGCGGGAGGTAGTTGCGACGATAAGATATTACATAAAAAACTCAAAACACATAGTTTCTCAGCATCGACACGGTAAACAGGCAATTTAAATAGCACTGTATCCATGCATTTTATGCAAGCTGGAATATGTACGAAGTATGTAGATTATTTTTAGTGCCCGAGTTTGACAGCAACGCTCGCAGCTGGCAGGAACCTTGGGTACCTAATCTTAAGCAGCACGTTTGTCTCACGTGACACTAAAATTTTCCGTCCCGGCGGGGTTGATCCGTTTCCACCTCAATGGGTCCCGCCAGATGGATCCACACTAAATTTTTTTTTTCTCTGCTGGCGCGACTTCAAAAGCTTCAACGTCGCGCTCTGCTTTAGGAATTCATCTTCTTTCCTTCTCACAACATTCTTCTCTTCCTCCTCCAAATTTATCTTTTCAGAGGTCACAGACATGTTCAGATTGCGAAACTAATACCTGCGCTCGCTGCAGTGTACTTTTTAAAAGGTTCGTTGTTCTATTTCCTTTCATCAGCAATGCGAGAAGCATACCACTTCCAGCACATTTCCCCAATCACCAGGATGACATCCTATAAAAGTTGTCTTCTTTTCCCAACTGAATCGACCATGAACGAAGTTTAGTCTGCTCGGGCCATTCTACTACGGTGGATGCCTGTTACTTGCCAGTATTATTTGTCTGACTTCCCATCACGCGATCCACGTCTTGTGGTTGCATGTGATGGGATGGATTGGGGATTATGTTGTGCCGCTGCGCTTCGCATCGCAAGATCTAGCACCTTGCTAACTCAACAATAGGGTTTCTATGCCGTCTACTTTTTAGGAATATTTTCCACACTTAGTCCAGGTTAGTCGAATTTTTCTATACTCGAGATCCTACTCATGGTGTTTTCATGATGAAAATTTCCAACCACATTCGCAGTTTCCACTTGAGCTCCACTCAGAGCCTTTTGAGGAGCAGATGAGGGCATAATCCTTCCTTGGATGTCTGAACGACACCACAATTTCCATATCTTGCTAGCAATTCATCGTGTCTAAAATTTCTTACTAACGAAATTTCAGGTATCACCATTTCATTGCGCATCTTTCATGAGGTCGACGTCGACGTAGACGTAGATTTCTTGGAATTTAAGACTATCCCGCTAGCTACTAGATATTCAAAAGATAATATGATATTGATCCAATTCAAAGCTTTCTCGTTGCTCACCTTGGTGATGCACCTAAACCAATCCAGTGTGACCAGACGCCGTAATTCCGCTAGTGATGCGTCAATATGCATGCTATGTAAATCCAAAATTAAATTACCTCAACACCTTCGCGTATCCCTTCCCTTAAGAGGCCATGGTTGATGGTGCTATTGTTGTCCTGTCGCTTAACCCTTCCGCCAACCATACCCCTCCGGTTCCTACCAGTCCGACCTCTACCCAGCCAATTTAGCTTGAGCAATCGGCCTAGCTCGGCTACCATTTTACTTGCTTCGTCCATATCGGCTGGGTTGACACCCGTGTCGACGCTAGCCAATACGCTCATGCACTGAAGCATACGACCTACCATCTCTGTGACCTGCTTGCTATCCTCTACGTTCTGTTCTCGCACGCTTCCTAGGACTTCCCTACCTCCGTCTCTTGTCTGCGGCGTGAAGGACCTGAGCAGACTTCCGGTACCAGTAGAGGCCCCGTCGGACACGCCGCTGCCGAAAGATACGTTGCTGATGGCACGGCTCCGAGACGGGTTCGAATCGTTGCCGAAGACCGTTGTCGAGGTTGAATTATAACTTGCGACGCTTGGATCTAGCGACATGGCTGTTCCAGGACGGCCCGATAGCGGATCATTTGGCGAAGTCGAGAGGGATGCCATGCTATCGTTTAAGAGCGGCGGCGATGCTAACGCGAGAGAGGCGAGTGAAGATGGCAAGTGCTCAAGAGATAACCGGGAGAATATGGTCTTGAGCTTCTCGTACCGAGGGAGGATCAGAGAATCTCGGTACGAGATCAGCACAAGCCTTCGAACGTTAAGGACGCTTGATGCCGGTGAAAAATGCGGCTCAGCATTTGATCCGCCCAGCTGGGCATTCGGTGCTGCGTTAGCTACTACTCCGCCCCAGAAGTCCCGCGCCTGCTCGGGGGTTAACAAGGATCCGCAGCCGGAGAACTCTAGGTCTAATGGGAGGAAAATAGCCTGCATATAAGGTAAGACACTTGTGAATGTGAAGATCCACAGCTCTACCAGGGAGGGGATCAACCTATCCTCGGAAGTTGTGCGCAGCGTGTGGTCGAGCGAGGCAAAACCCGTCGAAAGGAGATCTCGTAGATCATCGATAATGATATGGGCTAAACGACGTTGTATGCAGTATTGGATGTGCATGGTCACAACTCGGTTGAAATCCTCCACCGGCAACCGTAGATCCTCACCCTCGAAAATGACCAGTAATTTAGCCCTCAAGTACGGCCAGGCGTCGTCCAGAGACATATTATGAAGCCCATATTTAACAGAATCGATAGGTTCCGAAAGGTAAGAATGCGTAGCTGCTGCTGCCGACCCGAAACTACTAGGCCCGGGCCATTCCGTGCCAACCCCGTATGTCGATTCGTTGTCGTCCTTCCGCTTCTCGCGGAGAGCACGTCCCCCGTGTCGCAAGTCTAGCCCGCTGACGCTTTTACCCATGTTGTTATTTGGACCCGGGCTCGGTGGCAGGTTGAAATTATAGAGGCTTGATGGCGCGCTGGGATCGACGGGTCGGGAGTTGCTAGCAGCAGAGGAAAGTGGGAGATGATAGTCATCTTTACTGCTGAGCTTATGTTTCTGCCGCGATAGAAAGTGGTGTTTCCTCTCCTTATCTTTTTCTTTGCCTTCTTTCTCCATAGACGGGTCAACTGGTCGGATGGTGGCGGCAGATGAGTTGCCCAGGCTATAGAATGACTGCGAATCTACTAAGCTGGTCGTGCTAAAATTGGCGCGCTGTAGCGAAGCCAGGGCAGAGCCAATCTTTCCAGGACTCGGCATTGGTCGTTCTTTCGCTTCACCCTTGGTATCAATCTTTTTTGGCCGAGAAAATAGCTTGACCTTGGACTTCTCGGCCTTGACAGGCTTCTCCGAAGCGGCCAGGGGCGTGGGTGCAGGGAAAGACTGATCAGGCGGTGGTAGGCTAGGCGAAGTTTGAGGCGACCTTGGGAAGACAACATTCGCCGCGGCAGTAGCTGCAGCATGACTCCCTAATAGGCCGTTATGATATCCTTGCGCGCTAAAGCCGTTATCTCGCGGGGCACTCGCTTCGGTTAGACTTAGCATAGGAGGGCTGCGGTGACCGGTTATTGGCTTCGGGCCTGGTCTTTTTAAGGAGTCGTGGGCATCGCTGCCAGGGAAAGGGACGGTTTGCGATCGATGACGACTATGTTGTTGGTGCTGCATCACGGCGGCCTGGGCGGCTATTTGACTAGCTGAGAGTGTCGCGCCGGTAGCCTGGGTCGGGGCTGGGGCCGAGGGTGGTGTCTGGGCCTGAGACATGACGACTTGGGAGAGGTTGGATATGCTCGTGGAAGGTAATGTGGGCTCGAAATGACCTTGGGTCTGCGAGTGCTTCCTTACGTGGCCGACGCGAGTAGGAGGTAAGGTCAATGGCGAGGCGGTTCTCGACTGCGGGAGCTCGATACTGGGTCGAGTGGGACGGGAGAAGTTATGCGGACTAGTAGCATAAGAAGGACTAACAACGGGGCTCTGAGGAGCTCTCGTCTTAGAAACGGAAACAGTATCGTCATTTGACGATGTGTCTATCCTGCGAATTTGAGGTCTTAGGGAGGCGGAGGAGGAGGAAGAGGAGGAAGCGGCAGCGGCAGCGGCAGTGGAAGCCGAAGAAGCAGTACCGGGGAGAGGAGAGAAGCTCCCCGGTGCTCTCTGCTGGGATCGTGCTGGCTGCATTGTGTGATAGAAAAAGGTCCGAGTTCCCAAATTCCGTTACATCTTCTCCCGAACCAGCGGTATGTATGATCGACACCCGACCCCGGTATCTTGACTACAATGTATCGATTTGCGCTCTTCAATTGCCGTACACGGAAGTAGTAGCGCAAATATGTCTCCGATTGAACAAGTAGATTTGTCAGTGGCCAAGTAGTCGGCGCGGAGATAGGTGGTATTATACAATTGTAGAACTTGTATAATATAGAAGTGGGTTGGGTGTTGAAAAGGTTGGTTATTGTAACGCCGCCGATCTGATGTGAAGTTCCAATACCTAACGTACTACATGTAGGTACCTATGTACTAGGTCTAGGTACTGGGTACATGAAATGTAACATGAATGCGATATCAAACCTTAGTGTCCACGTTACGATGCGCCGCTAAAATAGGTACATTTAGATCGAATGTACCTGCTGTATCAACATGATTATGTACATACTAAATAGCACTAGCCACACACACCCCGCGCTCCTTTTGCTTGCTGCCCCACCATCCTCTCTAAAAGTTCTATAATCTCAAACTTCCACACCTGCTACATCAAAAGACCCAAGTAAAACAATCATATATTTATAAATCGTTTAACTACAGGTCTTATACATCTCCTTACATCCATCCACAATGCCGCCCTCTGCCTCTTTTCCAGCACCTACTGCCGACAACATCCCGGCAAAGAACCGAACAGCCTATCTAAAAGCAACATACACCAACTCGAACTCCTCCGACCCTTCGATATCGTCAGCCGAAGCCTTTGCGCTTTCGACACCCCTCTCCCTCCCCGAATCTAACGTCACAACACACAAAATATCATACCTACGCACCCTGCGTGAAGCAGTGTCCTCTCTACAAGGTGACGTGAACAGCGAGCTGACAGCGCGCATGGAAAAAGAGGCTCACGAAGCGGCTGTCGTTGGGGATGGCAAAAGGGGTGGGAAGAGCATTACGGCTGCTGGCGTCGACGAGGCGGTCGAGGAGGAGAATTATGGGGAGGAGGTAGTGGAAGATGATGAGGAATGATAACTGGATGCTCGACGTGGATATTTGCTCGAGGCTACTCTTCTATGCTTCTCTAAATCAACAACGCAGCAAGAAAACGTTATCAATTTAACTGTGGTCTAGACGCGAGGGGTATTGCCTACTTAATCGCCGCTGCTCTCCAGAAGTATGCAACGATACCCGTTGGAATGCTCTAAGGCCTAAATGAACCGGAACACCTGCGCGCCTTCGATATATGCGACAATGGTCCATTCCTTCTGCCTTGACGAACCAACCGCTCAGACCCCGAAAATACCTCCTGCCCCGATGATATAATAGTTCGATTTCGCTCTTCGACTGCGTATCTGAGCTGCGTTAGATGTCAGTTAGTTTATCCGTGCCTCCCCCATGACCCAGCGATCGCCTCGCTCCGGCTACCGCTCATGCTGCGCCCTCGCCTTCCCAGACATCCGTAGTGGACTACGCTATTATCCGGGAGCACTGCTACCACGCTGTTGCCTAGCCTCTTGTGACAGACGCCGCATACCCTCTCCTCGCCGATGACCACCTTCCTACTGCGCCCGCTCTGCCCCCCGGAGATACCGTCGCCGAGCAGCAGCAACGCTTGGGTATTGATGAGCTGCGTTTTGCGAAGCCCCTCGATGATGCGCGACTCCGATACCACGCTATTAGCTGCGCGGATCCGGCCTCGGAAGTACGATTCCAGCCCCGTCACGGGCAAGTCGTCTGGTATAAGGGACAAAGTTGACTCTGCCGGTAGACGCGAACCATGTCTCGAAAGGAGCGACAAGGCTGGGCCTAGATTTGGCTTGTTAGGTGTCGGTGGATTAAGATATAGCGAGAGAAGCATGTGGTAGATGGACGGCTTCGAGTCGGGGTCGCGATCGTCCTCGTCCACAGACAACGACGCGGCAAAGGATTCCCGGCGAGAGCTAGGTAGCGCGTGAATGTGATTGCAATATCTAACGTTTCTTGTCAGTTAACATTCACCACCAATGGATTGTACAATTACCTACTCCTCTGCTTTAGTATAGTCCTGCATATTGAATACGTATATCTCCAGTGCTTGCTTGTGCGAGCCCATGTTGCTAAATACTATAGCCCGAGCTTCGTAAAATGCCGAATCTACATATTATTAGACAACGCTGTTTCTTCCCCCTATAATTCATAGGGTTAGATGACTTACCATCACGAGGAATTATGCTTAGTGCTTTGCTAAGGCTGTACTGCTGACTTGCTTTCAAGAATGCCACTAGACTATCCAACTTCTTACTCCAGGCTTCGTCTCGCTCGCCTTCTTTTAGCGCCTGGATCAATAGCTCCACTAACCGGTTGTGAAAGTCTGGCGTGCCGTCTTCTAGCTCCGTGATGATGTGTTGCAAGTACCGGATTTCGAGGTCAGCGTCTATGGCGCCGAGATACCGGACAACCCTTTCACGCGGCAAGGTCTCGGCATTTTCGCTATCTGCCAGGAAAATCTCCATGCCTTGGTCGGGATCCCGCCGCAGAACCCAGTCGGCAAACTCGAGAATGATATCGATCATCTCCGGCGGCAGACTCTGTAGATAGCCGACTGTCCTCTGCGAACCCCGGAGCTGTTCAGGTATGACGACTTCGACGTCCACGTGCCCATTAAGGTCAAGCTTAGCTGACTCCCCCTCCGTGTCCGCGTTGCCGAACTTGCGAAGGAGGGTGAGCGCCTCGCGGTGGAGCTTCTTTCCGTAGAAAAAATCAACTAACTCATTATACCGGTTATGCTTAAGCAAATGCTCGTTTACTACTGCGGGATCGCAGAAGTTCGGGATGCGGAAGAGAGAGCCAGCAAGCGTCGGGGTAACAAACATTAATCCACGGAACAGTGCTGTATCAACCAGGGTAAAAGTTTGCTTTAGCTCATGTTCAAGTTGCTCATCAGACTCCGAGTGGGAGTTTGTAAGTAGAATGTCGAGGTTCTCATGTAAATTTATCATAGAGTCGAGGTTAGCTTCTGTCTTGCGCCGTTTCAGCTTTCCAGTTGCCGGGTCGATCCATCGCTGTAGACGAGCTCTAGTACCAGCCAAGTAGCCGTTGAGTTCGCGAACGGCCTTGACTAAGTCTTTTCCTTCTAACGGCCCATCCTCATCCGTGCTCTTCTTCTTTGGCTTAACCCTCACGCTTGCGGCATCTTCATTGTCAGTCCCACCCCTTTTAGAGGATGCGATAGACGCTGTATCGGAATCCGTTCTGCGATGTCCCATCCAATACTTTGCGAAGGCGCCCGGTTTAGACGGGGATGCGACGTCGACAGGCGTATCGCTCTTGGCGGCCTTGTCGCCGTTGACCTTTTCATCCTCTTCTTGCTCCTCCTCCTCCTCTGACGTTTCCTCTTGTGTAGGTTCAGCAGAGAGGTCGCCAGCAATTATCCTAGGGTACAACCTCAGTACCCTCTGAGCAGGCGCGTGCACCTCATCCTCATTAAATAATGCCAAGCTTTCTGCGAATTTCCTTTTCTTGAATAGTACTTCCGCTTTCAGCATCTTGGCCTCACGCATAGTGCCGGTCTTATCCTTCAATAGTGCATCTTCAAGCATGCCGAGCACGCTTATAGCTTCGTCGTAATTAGCCTTGTCTATTAGTTCCTTAACTTGAGTATCGTAGTCCGTAGCCTCCATTTTCCATACAGCACGGTCACTGCTTATATGAAATCCTTTGCCAGCGTGGGCAAGACTAACGGTCGGTGGCGGGAAATGTAACTGCGCCGCTCCGGGGAGCTCTATCGTCTGTAGGAGACTCAAAGTGTCCGGGTTCCGCACTTCTAATGTACCTTTGATGGGCGGCTGGAGGACCAAGATGTAAGGGTAGCTGTATCCAATGCTCTCGGGTGCGCTCTGCCATGGCACCTGACGCTTCTCCAACGGCTTTCCATCCATATCAATGAATAGCGAGTTGATGTCTTTCGCAAGCAACATTTGCCCCTCGGCTAACCTCGTAGATAGCGGTTTTGGCATGTAACCTCCGAGCCCCATATAGCCCATACTCGCTGCGCCGAACCTGCTACCCTGCCCTCCAGTCGCAGCGGCACCCAGTCCCACGATCTCTTGCGTTTCCAAAGTAACCACATCAACCAGTACGTATCCTGCATTCATGCCGCAGACGATCTTAGTCGCATTTACCCAGGTAAGAGTTCTGATGGCTTCGGAAAGCATAATCTCGGTAACCTCGTCATGCAACTCGCTCTCGTGCCAGCTCCACAGCAGGAGACGCCGTTTAACAGCTACAGCGAGACGGCTGATAATCTCGGGTATGCCGGTGGCAGCATCCTTGACGATGTTGCTGGTGACAGCAAAGCAGGTGGCATTCCTGGTTCGCGGTATCGTTTCGATTAATTCGTAGGTTTGGAGGTCGTGAAGAGAGACGTAGTAGTTGGAGAGGGAAACGATGGTATTAGACTCTTTGATGATGGCAAGCTGCTCGATGGCACGAGTGGAGAACTTCTCTACTTCACGTAAAAGGTCTGTAGGATTTAGGCTGGAGCTTCCATTCGACTCTCGCTGTGGACTAGTTGGAGAATGTGTACCGTTGGTGGTAGAAGATTGTGACAGGTCGTTCAGGCGGTAAATCCTCAAAGAGCCCGTGTTTAGCCCAACAAGAACGCGGTCGCCTATACAAGCTCAAGTACGGTGTTAGATTATCAGATAGGTAACAGTTGCATAATACTATTAAGAAGCAGTAATACAAACCATAAGCTAGTATTGTTTCTATCTTAGACTTGTCGCGCGGCCTCAGCTCGATGATGGGGCGAGCCGTGAATGCGGAGAGCATGGTGCTCGGGAGCTATCCTAGGAGGATAGGCATTGATTGTTGTATTTGTATGTCCAATGGAAATAGTTTCCGTAGATTCTCGTAGCAATGTGTAGGACGTGTGGGAAGTGCATCTATTTTATATAAGTCTTAAAAAAGAGAAATGTATGTTTAAGTTGGTGTAAGTTCAAAGTGGTAGGAGGTAGGTAGGTACATAAAGTATTGAGTTAGGTAAGGTATGTACCTAATGTAGGTACCTAATGTCATCTGAGGGTTGGAGACTTCCAATGTCCGCGTTGAAGCTAAAGTGGGTACAAGGTACCTTTGCTGCTTTGATACCTCAAGCTATGACCGCATAAGCTCCTAACCCTAACCCTTATTTGTAGTAGATGCCGGATCCACGTATGCTTCCCATTGGATAGATACGCAGTGTACTATAACGCAGGTACTTGCACATGTCTGTCTGAATGTGCTTACATACAACATCCAGATACGAATCGGCCTTACATGCAGGTTGTACTAGCTATAGCATAATAACCAAGGCTCAAATTTACATTATCTAAAATTCTATGTAGAAAGTCGTCCATATCCCATCTCGTATGTTAGGTACACAGCCATCTAATATTCTATACAAGCGACGAAGCCCGGAATATAACATATAACATAGCTTAGGTGGGTATAACATATACAGCCGATATGCTACCAGTTCAACCTAGGTAAATCCTCTACATTCCAATAATCTGCATGGCTCCATATCCGAGGGTGACTACAACCACCAGAGTCAACAAACTACTCGGTACGCCACGGCTAATAAAATGCTTAACACTCAAGTACCGCTGCCCCGTGGGATCCTCTTTCATTATCGCCGCTGTAACATGTCAGACATTGCTCTTCCATCTAATAGGATTGTAGGTAACTCACTCATATTGGGGAACCCGCTGGTCGGCAGCCCCATCGCTGCGCTACACATGAGTACCGCGGCCATGACAAGTAGGTTAGGATGCGGGTCGTCCATGTCCTTTCCGATATCCGACACGAGCGGTAGGATAATTAGCGCAGCTACCGTGTGGCTAATAAAAGTCGCGATAACCAAAGTCAAACTTGAAAAGATTAGTAGAACTCCGTAGAGGTCTACCCCGTCCACTTCATGGGAGATTCTTTCCGCCACCGTATGAAGGAGCCCTGACGACTTCACTGCTTTGCCGAGAGCTAACCCTCCGGCCGCGAGGATGATGATTGTCCACGGGAAATTATTGAAATCTTCTTTTGTGAGTATGCCGATACCAAAGAACAACACGATAGGTATAATGGCGATAATTCCCATGTCACCGAATGTTGACTGGAGCTGGTGACTTGCACACCAGAGACCGATGGTAGCAATACATATGATTGACACGAACCACTGCAAGCCGGTGAAGCGTTCCTTCACTGGCCTGATCGGTACGATCGTAGTACCCTTGCCAGGTTGGAAAGTGAGAAGAAGAAGGATCCAAATTAGAAGAATTGATACGATGCCCACGGGAATCACAACAAAGAACCATTCGCCCCAAGTCGGCGCCGGCTCCATGACGCTAAGCGCAAAAACGTTCTGAGGTGAGGCGATAGGGGAGAGCATGCCACCAACGTTAGAAGCCAGTGCTATACCCATGATCACCGCCTTGGACATGTTAGAGTCCGAAGGGAGGTTGCGCAGTATAGGCTGTGGAGCTTCTTGTCAGAGAGGTTAGGCCACTTAAGAAGGGGTCAAACTTACCTCAATGATTGAAAAGCAGAGAACAGGAGCTGCTACATTGCTAACGAGCATGCTGGCAAAAGCAGCCACGAACATAGTGGCAATAAGTACAGTCCTCGGTTGCGTACCCGCCTTACTAAGAACGAAGGTCGCAATTCGCTTGTCGATCTTACATTTGGACAAAGCTGCTGCAATTGTGAATCCACCTAGCAGTAGCATAATAACAGGCGTCCACATGGACGCGAAGACGTAAGGGGTGGCATCTGCCGAGTCTAGCCTCTTATACGGCGGTATATCATCACGGACGACTCTGAGGACCACGCAAAGGAAAGGGATTAATAGAGAAGTCACGAAGAGAGGGATTGCCTTGAATAGAGTCAGTTACGTAGGCGATGCGACGTAATGTGTCAAAACTCACCTCGGTAGCCCACAGCAAACTCACAAACACCAGCATAGCCAAACAGCTTTGCTGCTCGGGCATCTCCATGATAGGAACGAGGAGCAGAACCAAAAAGATAGCCACGATGCCAACAAGTATAAACATAGTAGAGCTGAACAGCCAGGTCGGACAAGCAAAGCGTCCCATCGGTGTCTCAATCTCTTTCATAGGTGTTACGGGGGCATCGTCACCTTGCAACATCACCGTCATCCCGTCATTTTCGGCGCCGAGGAGACCTTTTCCAAGGCTTGCGGCCTCGGCGCGACGCTCGAGACCGATAAGATCTCTCCATACCGTGTTTCGTTCCCAAACAACGTGTTCCCTAAGGTGCGACCGAAGCTCCTTCTTGGCGAGAGCCTCGTCGCCATGCGTCACTATGTCGGCATAGGCCTTCTCCATCTTAGCGATGTTCTCCTCAAGGTGCTTGAGAGTCTCGGGTAGAAAGGGATAAGAAGTCTCGACGGCTTCCTTCATGTATTTTGACCGAAATTCCCTGTCGATGATCTTGTCGAACTTCTTTAGCACCTTGCTAAAACCAGTCTTGTTCAGTTGTACGTATGACTTGAGCTCACACAGCTGCACATAAAGGTTGATGATGCGCTTCTTCAGCATGATGCCAGAAGAAAACATCTGGGCCGTCTCGGCATAGTCATCGTATCCGACGCTGTACCTACGCGACCTAGTAAGATCAGTCGAAGCCGTCAAGTCGGTAGAAGCGAACATGGCGCTCGGGACGTTGCGACGTCGGCCGCCAAGGCTCGAGCGGCGCCTCCTATTCAAAGCCGAGGTCTCATCATGATCGTCGTCGTCGTCATCGCTATCATCAACACCGTCGTCAGTTGAACGCGTACTACGGGCGCTCTTAGAATTCCGAGTGCCAAGAGTATGTGTCACTTGCTCGCTGACAGGATACTGCTGCATACCTGGCCTCTGGGCAAGCTCGGGTTGGTCGTAGTCGTCCGTATTAAGTGACTCGATATCGCGCATCAGATCATCGACTTCGTCGAATAGTTCCTTCTCCTTGACAACATAGAAGGACGAGATCTTTTCTAATTCTACATCCAGAGCGCGGGCGAAGACGGTTTCGGGTTCTTCGTTTCGTAGGAGCGGTCGCGTTTCGACGTCGGAGGCGGCTGGTTGGTGAACAGTTTTCTCGAGTGCGTAGATTCTACGACGAGTAAGGAGGCACAGTTAGGCATATTTAGGAAATAATATACGATAGTAGACAGCAAGGACGGGATAAAACTTACAACTTCTTAAGATTGCTATATGCAATGTAGTGGCTGCTCCAATCAGGAACAGCGTTGAACTGGATGCTATGAGAGAACTTCATCTCGTCTTGCTCGTCAAGCCAGCGCCTCTTCTCGTCCCTCTTAGCTTTTTGACGCTGTTCCCTAGCAGATGGTAGCTGCTTTAGTTCGTAGGCCTCTCCAGATATTCCAGTTAGTCCAATTGTTCCAGCACTACTCCCTCCTCTATCCTCTGGCTCCGTCGGTGTTCGGACGGGATGGTGGGGAGCTTGCTGCACGTGAGCAGTGTCGCAGGAAGAGGAAGAGGAGGGGGTCACCAGGAACTTTGAGGGTGATATGGTGGAAGTGGTGAGGGTGGTGAGGGTGGTATAAATCGGTAGAAACGGTAGAAACTTGTTCGTCCTTTCAGGTCCAGCATGAAATGATGAAATCCGAATTATATACGCAATAGTCCACAACGGCGTCTAACCTAATGTAAATATGATTTTCTTCCCACTTTATAATTGCAAACCGGTTGCAATAGATAATGCTAGTATATATACACTACTCTAAGTGTATATGCGTGTAGGTTAGTTAATGTAGCTGGTGAGGAGTCTCCAGTGTCTAGACTAGGAAATCTGATTAATTTAGGTAATTAACGCGCTAAAGAAGCTGGCGACGAATAGGAACCTTATTAGAGACCCACGTGTGGCTACCATGTACAAGCTCCACCAGTCCCCAGCCACAGGAATATACTTCATCACACTACAGTACTTCGTACATGTACCCCAGAAACTCTTAAAATACATACATGAGTACAAGTTGATTGGATATTAACAATGTTGTTTGATATATTTTAACCCCATGTTGAACTTTTTGGACAATTGAACCTACCTATTTAGCGAAGAAACCGAAGCATCTAATACTTTAACATGTCAGTCAGTTGGGCATCTAATAAGTCTCTTATTAGTTGGTAGTAGTCTCACAAATCAAGACTTTTTCTCTACCTACCCTTTTGAAAGCCTCGAAGATATATAACTATATAACCTAATATGAGCGATGTTGGCTTGAAACTCTTTTATCAGGCAGAATTTTAATAAACCGAATATAGGTCTACAAAATGTGATTTCTACCTAACCATATAAGAGTCTATTGATCCTAACGCCCAGTCCTAAATAGCCCCCCATATCAAAAACAATTTCAGACTCAACAGAGTAATCTACAGAGACCGTAATTTTCCAGGTAGAAATGTCTATCTTTCTTTAAGGTTTACACAGAAATAAATATTTGACAAACTGCGTGATACCGGAATACAATGCCAAGCCAACCTTCTCTCTGTAGGCAACCACCCCTTTTCTAATGGGCGTTTGCGGTGCAACCAATCAGAAGCATCTGAAAGATGATGGCTGCAAGGTCCTACTATGCACATAAATAGCATTCATTCCGAACACAGACCATAATCTCAGATCTACAGTATCGCACAAACTTCGCCCGATAGGTCACATTCGTTCAACAATCAACCAGTCAGTATGCATCGACAACCTCGGGAACTAGAGGCCCGTCGTCGCAGGCTAGCCGCCGAGGCTGGACGGCAGCGGGCGGCAGCAGCCCGCCCTCTTCAAATCATCACGACTGAGTCCGAGTCCGAGCCTTTGGCGGAAGTGGACGTGACAGGATTGGGTCGTCTAGCTAATTTGCCCAATGAGATCATTATGGTAGTCTTTAACAACTGTAGCCTACGTTCTCTCTTACGACTTGAGCGTGTGAACAAGGCTGCTAAAACGTTTGTGAACCTCTTACAAGATATCGAGTACATCAAAGAGACCGCGAAGGGTATCATTCAACGCGCGGTGCCACATTACCGCAACTTCATGTTCACTATCTTGAAGATCACAACGTATCATGGATTACGATATCTTTTAACTACCTTCACCTGCGAGACTTGCGGCAAGCCGGGATCGTTTCGCATGATCAAAGTCAAGGTCCTCTGTGAGGATTGTCACTGTCCGAGGAAACAATAGGAAACCCGAAGGTGACCGCATACCGATTAGAGACGGTTCGTTAGAGCACAGAATACTACGATTGCTTTCTTTTCTAGGAAGACTAATATTAAATCGCCAGTTTCGATGACCTAGAGGCGATTATATCAAGGGGTTATGTACAAGCGTGCGGTATTGATTTCTTATATTACCTACAAGTTATTAGCAGGACCAGAAAACAAAAAGAACATCCCAACGCCAAAATGATGCGTCGGAAACCATGATTATGGTATATGAAATAGGCGTTAGCAATATCGTGGACTTTAATTTATGGGTAGGCGATGATTTCGAAAGGCTACTTACTATTTTGTATCTACCTGGCCAAGGAAAAGTATCTTAAGACTGCGACAAGATCTGTTAGCACAATATTATACCTAGATAATGTGACATCACCACTATGATAGATCAGCAAACGCCATTCTACAACTACCTAATCCCGCTGCATAGCTCAAGATATTACACCAGTAATAATAGCCAGTCATACTTGATTTTAACCGTCTATACCCATCATCTGCGATTTCTGAAAAAAAGCTCGGGCGACGCACCTAGAGTAAAAGGGAGCTGCCACTAATCCAAGGAGTATTCAGCACCTAACAAGTCGTAGTACCATGTTCCCGAGGTGTATAACAAACTACGGCTCTTAAAATAAGATTTATATTCAAGTAATCTGTCGGCATTTTCATACTGACCAAGGCAAGCGGAAAGCTAACTATTAAACCAGAGCCTCGAGTATATAAATCAGTATAAGCCAGCAAATACACGGGGGGGAGCTGCTCAATCGGGAGGAGATACGGTAAAGAGAGATAACGACGGAAAGTCGAGTGCTATGGTTATGCTCTACCGAGCGGCGACGACGGTCCCATCGTCAAGGTCGAAGTCAGTACTGATGGAGCTCATACATCGACTGAGGCAAGGCTCCGATGGAGAGGGAAAATGGATATGGAAGTTCTGAAGGACTAGTATTCCCGTTCTACCAGGACAGTCAAGGGTGATATTTAGCAGAGCTACGGATGCGTCTGGCTAGACACAGTCGGATTCGACGCCTTGGAATTTGAGAGGAGCTTGCTATAATGTATGGCGAGGCACGAGACTTAACAAAAGTTCGGAATTATTCCCTTGATGAATTCGAGCTGGCTATGATTTTAGTAACTAATAGGTATAATATATATATAGGAGGCAACTACCTTATACTAACATAGGTTCTAAACCGTGATCGACTCGACCGGCATTCGAAATCCGGACTTTCATGTACCTAAACGACGATGGAGTACGCTGTGAAATTTATATCCTTACTTCATATGGATAGATACCTATGGTATCATCTAAGGAGTCGGTTTCTAGCTTAAATGATGGATTCAAGGGGTTGTCCTAGGCGAGTGATAGTGATGGACAAAATCCGCGTGTATCCAATGAAAAGTATTATGTTATGTACCTAACTGTATAGGAGCAAATACAACTACCCTGACTCAAGGAGCGGGGCTTGTTTCTCCTAAGTTCCTTTGACTAAGATCTTACTTCCATAGTGTTGAAATATAATATATCGTTGCAATACTAGCGCCTTCGTTTGCCCTAGGAACTCACACAAAGAGAAATCTATTAATAAAAGGGGACGAGTAAACGATAGCTTATTATTCTTGATACAAAGAATAAAAGACTACCTAAGTAAGACCAAAAGTTAATAATAATTTGCAGAACTTATTTATAAGCTTGGACGCAAAGCTAGCGCGAGTGCCATTATGAAGATAACAAAAGGGGCATGAAGAAATCAGGTCAAACGACCTGTCTCGCCACCATGTTCAAAGATGTGTAGGCTTTCAAGAATTTATGGGAAAATAACGTGGCAAGAATAACCAGAAGCTTATCCAGATTTTTTGAGTATAAAATCTGACGAGATACCCAGATCTTTTCGTCCATCACCCAAGATAACAACCAAACAACCAAACTACCAACCAAACTACCAAACTAAAATACACATTGATTCAATACCAATACTTCAAGATACAAAAATATCAAAACCCCTCAACATCAACAATGGCCAACATGAAGAATACCAGAATTGCTCAGAAGCCCGCAACCCATAGCAAGGGGCTCTTTGACTTCAGCGACACTGACAGCGGCCTCCACACACCCGAAGGAACTAGCTCAGGTGCTTGCTCGGTCATGTAAGGATCTACTAGTCAACTATTTTTCCACGTCTACGAGGATATGAATTACGTTTACTGGGGTGGGAATTAGGGATAATAGAAGGGCTAGGCATTGGTGACACTCTTTGACCATGCCTGGGGAATATAGATCGGAGTCACTCGTTTATTTTTTGATTTTTTGATATTTAATAAAACTCTCGTCGCCGTTACAATGATCTCATTATTGTCTAGAGTGAGCTGTCTAACTAGAATGTGATTGCATTTTTGCTCTAGGGAATAATATAATGATGATAATAATTTGCAGTGGATTAATTAGTAATTACAGTATTATACCTATAGACAACTAGTAGGTAAAGTAAATATATTATATTTTAGAACACATAGGAGGTTATCGACGATGCCCCTTTTTATACTAGCAACATCGTTAAGTAAACCCGTTGCGAACTTCACTTCGAAGCAACTTCCTTTGTTTGCTGTAAGCAGGCAGGCATCTCAGAGAAGGGTCTTGACACCGAGAATCTTTGATGCATATCATTCGTCTGAACTCGGTGTAGGGCTGCTAAACGCCGGATATAGTAATTCGGCACGGGCCTACTGTTACATTGTCATGCAGCCGTGTCTTTCTGCCTGGTCCGGCCCAACGCTACGGAGACTTACGACCTTACTTTAGATTTACCATCACATCGTGATATGATGAGAGGTTATGATTTCTAAGATGAAGAAATAACGTGCTGCTAACATAAACGCGGGTTGGTCAAGTCGGAGTAGAAAAAGGCAGCATTGTATTTGCTAGCAACTGAAGGTTTCTCGCCTATATTCTAGTTATGAATGTAGCTATGATACACCGACGCCTGCTAAGCGTGGCACCGCATGAATTGTGCAGATTTATGAGGTCTGATGACCGCATTCTGCAGAGGGGGAACGGTCTTTGATTGACAGGGACTAGAATAACAGTTGTCGAGGAAAGTCGGTCAAGATAAAGGTGAAGGGTTGAAGGGGAATAAGGGAATGCAAGAGACCATTCTTGTCGGCATGAATCTAGATCATTTTAAGACTTTGTAAATTTATAAAATGTAGGTTAGGCACAAGCCGGAATCGCATCGCGCATCGTGCATCGTGCTGGTGTTGCAATTGCAAATACGCGAACAATACTTATAGAGTTTGTATAAGATAGGTGGACGTTGGGAGTACCGAATATGTATAGAGCTTCGGTACAATGTTAAGGCAACAAGGAACCCATATTTCTATGATCTGGATGCGCTGGCAAAGACTAAAACAACAGGGGTTAGTAACAGGGGTTAGCTGCAAACTATTTATCTGATCCCTGCACGCATCAAGTCCCGCGAATGGTTTGCCGATGGTAAAAAGTGCGGAGGTAATGACCTTTCTTTTTTCTTTTTTTTCTTGTCTTTAAATATCCATGATAGAAAGAGGGGATGGAACGGATTAATTTAAATAGAGGCATAAATATCGAAGTATTACATCTCTCAAGTGCTATACGAAGTGCCTATATATAGGTACTTACGATGCAGGTATATATATTAGGTACATGCGCGCGTCCTTACATCTGAAAAATACTTGGTGCCTCGATGTCTGTACATTAGGTAGGTCCTTTTACGACTTATGTAAGGTTTCTACATGCACTACATGTATCAAATGTATGCATGTGTACCTAGTTACATGCATGATCCAGTTAGGTTAATGCATGAATGTACCTAAGCATCATCTAGCTGGCAATTGCCCCGGGGCCTGCTCCTACCTGTTCCTGTCGCTTGTTCCTGTCCAATCGATCGATACGATGCCGCATTAGGCGAATCTGTTTTTCTTTTCCCGAAAAAACCTCCAATATTCATCTATATTCAGGTAGGTAAGCTCTAGACTAGAGAACTCGTCCAGGTTTTCGAATGCTCTCATCAGATACATATACCTAACTTCTTTTGTTTCCTCGTGGCACCCTGTGCGTAAGCTTACATGGTTTGTAGCTGATAGACTCCCATCCCACCGCGCCGCCCATTAATAAGACGACTATGGGCCATTGATGGGTTACTGATGATGCTTCTGCGACTTGCGACTTGCGACTTGCATGACGGCAATAATGCATGATGCAAGGTCGGATGCCCCATCGTCCACTGACAGCAATCTCCAGCGAAACAGAGCGCGGGAGTGACTCTACCGCAGCGTCGTACATCCACCCGCAAACACATATTATATATATACAGACGCATACCTGATACATATCAATACAATATACACATTTGGTCATTACAGAGTAGACGTTCTATGTAGTGAGAAGAGCTTGGTTTCGCTGACTGTATCCAATATTTCCCCTGATATCTCTCCTCTCATTATAGTACCGACTAACACTCCGACGGTACTACCACCACCACCTCAATGATTCGCCTGGGTTCTTGGAACTGCTCGGGATATTTCAACATCTTTGATAAGCGCCGCTATTCTTACCGCGGAACTTCATATACAACTTTCATCCCCCACATCAATACTTGAATACATGCCTAGGTAGGTATTCCGATTTCACGAGACTGGCAACCAACTCATTAGTGGTTGTCATCAACGACATTTGCCGGCCTTTACCGATTTCATCGAGTTTGCTGGAAGCTTACTATTAGTTCCCGCACTACCTATTTTACATTAGGTAGATATTTGCAACGAGGCAGAAGAAGAAGAAAAAGAGGAAAGAAAAAAACCACCGGATGGTTGATTGGTTGTCTGTCAGAGATTGCTATAAGACTGAAGCAAACGGCTCGTCAAACTCTTATGTACATATCCACGTATGCCTCATGTTCATCTTGTCCCTCGGATCATCGTCATCATGATTATATACGTTGTTTTCTCCTCCTCCACTTTATTATTTTCTTTGGCGCGACCCAGCTTTAAATGCGCCATGAACGGTACTAACCGTTTCTGGTAGGAAATTGACTCAGGTCCCTTGTTGTCTCCGTCTCCCTTGGCCTATGTATGTAGGTACAAAGTTACGTGCACAATTGCGGTCAAACGAGAATTTAAGTCAATTCAACAGCCTCCTCAACTAGATTCCTATTCTTAAATCACCTGACCATTAACTAGGTCGTCGCCGTTACATACTTAGGATAACACCTCGGTCCGTTACTAATAAAACAGTTCGTTCAGCCGACGGAACCCCTAGATTTGGTCTAAACAGCAAATTGCGAGCCATCTGCGTGCTCTGTACTCCGTGTTCCCTTGACACAGTGACCCGTAAGGTACAAGAGGGGGCCGATACTTCTGGTGTGCGGATAGCCGCGTACTTGGCAAGTGGATGCTGTGGATTCGACCAGGATATAAAAAGGTGTACAAGGGTGGATGCATGTCAGTGGAGCACTCACACTTGTCCTGGGCGCACAACTCATAAGCTCCCGCCCCCATTCACACCTTTTCGTGCAAAGCTCTGAAGCAAATCTAAACAATCCGAACCCTTGTTGATGAAAGCTAGGCTGCCATCCTAGCTGCCATACAGCCATACAGCCATACAGCCCCCAGCTCAACCAACCAAGGTCCAAGGGGGGTTTAACTGAACCAAGCAGTTCAAGGAAGGTCTAGCGTGGAAAAAAGAAGCACCACAAACCTGTGTACTGCGCGCTTGTGTACCTATTGTATGGGGTTTGTGTGAGACTGTGCTTCCTTGGGCTGTCAAGGTCAAGTGAGAATCTCTGGAATTTTTTTTTTTGGCTCCTGCGCTACTTCGATTTACCCGTCTGTCTCAACCTTACTACTCCCTTGCCGAGAGAAGAAGAAAAATAAAAGACTATTTCGCGTCGACGTCGTCATCCTCTTTTTACCTTGTTCCTCTCTTGGATCTGTTTTATGCATCCTTATGACAGAGGCGCGCGTTGAGCTGAAGATACACGTCGGTGGCAGCAGCGAGGAGAAATAGAGAAGAGAGCTTAGAAACTCGTCGCCTTACCTTTTTTCCCCCCCTTTCGCGACGGAGAATACCCGAGGTGTATTTGGAGCCGGTGCTGCTGCTGGTCTCTTAGCTCACCCTGCCTAAACGTGCCTATCCTACTGCATCATCCCCATACCTACCTAAGCACTAGGTGGGTAAAAAAAAAGTCGTTGGAAGGCCATGGATTCGAGACAGCCGCCACCACAACACCCTTTTGCTCGTAATGTAGCATCACCACCAGTCTACGGCCGATCACCTTTCCCACCCGCCTCGAATCCGGCTTCTGCAGTAACAACAGCCTCACCATTTCATCCTTCGAATACCGTATCTGCAGGTCCTACCGCGTACAGCGAACACCAGCGACATTCGTCAGACACAAGTCCTTTCTACCCGCAACAAAGACCACCAACCTATGCGTCAGAACCCGCGTCGCATCCCGCGCCCACTCATTCGCGACACCAAAGCTCGTCATCTATTAATGCTTCTCTGACGCGGAATATGCCTCCTCCCTCATCTCCTCAGCATCAAAACCAACAGCCGCCTCCGGTTCCTCACCCGCATCAAATGGGTCATTATAGCGGCCCACCTGCGCCGAGGGCTCCGCCGGTGAGTCTCGGTCCCCCGGGCGCTTTCCCTTCCGCTAGAGAGCTTCCTGCGCTCAATTCGATACCGCGAACGGGAAGTACAGGGGGGAGCATGTCGATATCGTCAATACTTGGAGGCCCTCCGCCAGCCTCTCGCGAGCCAACTCCCGGCCATCCAGCTTCCTTTCAGCCTCCCGTTACTACTTCTGCCGTTTCGGGTCCCACGTATGCCGCGCCTGTCCATGCGTCACCTAGGATGCAGCCTGCGAATGAATACGCTGCTTATAATAGGAGGCCCCAAACACCGGACCAAGGTAGACCTTTTGACCCGAGAGATCATAGGGGCGCCGTAATTGGATCACCACCACAGGGCATATACGGAACCCCCGAGTTATCCCGATACAACACCCCTCAAGCGTACCCGCCACGTGGCCCGCCGATGCCGCCGGCCGATGAGAGAAGGGAGCAGCCAGGTCGGATCTCTGCTGCTAATTTACCTCCTAGACCGAGTAGTCAGCCAAGGTCTTACCATGGCATACCCCCGAGACCTGGAGACGTGGGGAGGGGCCCACCACCTGGAGAACCCGTTTACGGTAGACGAGAAGAGACGCGACCTCCTGGCCCGGCGGGGTACGATCCGGAAAGACAACCTCGAGCCATGCCGTACGAAGAACAGCGTCGATTTGTTGCGGATCGAGAAGCAGAATTCCAGGAGAGAGAGCGAAGGGAGAGGGAAAGAATACATTACGAAGAGCAGCGCGCCTTCGTAGCCAATAGAGAGCGGGAAATGGAGAGAGAACGAGAAAGGGAAAGAGATAGGGAAAGGGAAATGGAAATGCGCGAGAGAGCGAGAAGAGAAAGGACCACATCCGACCCGAGTCGCCCGCATGGTCAACACCCTGCGGAACTTGGTCCTCAGGTGCTTTCACGACAACCGCCTTATGGAAGACCAGACCCCCGAGATGCGGCAGCCTGGCAGCGGCCTGGGTATGATCAACCACCGCCGAGAGAGTCGTATGGGCAGCCGTATTCCGGCCCGCGACCAAACGAGTTCCCTTCGACTACCGCACCGCCATATGGGGCGCATCCTGCTTTTGCACAACCTCCTCACGAACGCTTCCCAGCAACCGGTCCGCCTCCTCACGTGATACCCGTAAGCCAACCAGGTCCACAACCTGCGCATCCTTTCGAGTCGCCTGATAGGCACCGGTTTATCCAGGCCCATCCTCAGCAGCAACCGCCGCCGCCAGCAGCTCATCGAGGTAGGCCGACCGAGGAGGTTCCCCCTCCGCCTTCAGTCGCGTATAACGGCGGGCCAGGCTCGGCTGTGTTCGAAGTGGGTCGACCGCGTCCCCAAGACGATGGCCCGGCTCCAACAGGTCATCAGAGGGCTTTCCTCGGCATCCAGGAAATCAACCGCAAAGGACGAGTCTCTCCGCTGCCGCAAGCTGTTCAAGGAGCGCAACCTCAGTTGCAGGGTCCCGCCGGCGAGCCTGGGATTAAGAGTGAATTCGGCCGTATGTTCTCCGGCATAGGAAGCGGTGTTCGCGGTATCGGTGTCTCTAGCCCAGTGCCACCTGGCATGCAACCCCAATTCTCAAATGCGGGCCCGCCGCGACGTGATGAAGAGCATCCTGGTCAAGAAGTACTTGCCGACGGCCCCACAAAGCCGAGAGGGAAGCGGAGGAAAGCCAAAGATGATGATAGCAAGGGTGATGATGATAGCAACGGTCGAGCCACGCCAGTTGGCCGAGCCAAACGTCCCAAAACCCACGCCCACCACCACCATCACCAGTAAGTCACAAACTCTCATATTCATGCGCTTCAACCGATATTCATTATGATATTCTTTAGTCATCATCATCATCACCATCATGGTCCGGAAAGAGCCCCTTCGCCCCTTCAAGCGGCAAATGGACAGCTCAAAGGTCTCAAAACTAACACGCCTATACCTTCCCCCACACACAAAGACTTCGCTGCTTTTACTCATCACCACCAACCTCCGAGATCAGCGCCGGCCCCGTCTTCGAAGACGGCAGCACCCGGCTCGACTATTATCCCAAAACCGAGACATAAGATCTCGTCTCAAGCGGTGCTCGATAGCATTGCGGATCGGCCGCGGAAGCACCTGGGCGACATCGTGTATCAGGTGACTTTAAAGCCCACGAAGCTAGAGTCGTCCCATGCCAAATTTGGTTACTCATCTAACCCGCGCCCCTTGCCTATGGACGTGATCAAGGGGAACGAAAATTCTACCCTGACGGTTAAGATTCCTCGTGTACACTTAAGCCCGTCCGCGCGCGAGGAGATTACTTCCCGCCGAGCAGTTTGGGGCACGGACATTTATACAGATGACTCTGATGTTGTTGCTGCATGTATTCATGCGGGTTGGATTCGAGGCGAGTGGAATGATGATGTGGATATCGACTTGCTGGACTTGTACAAGCCTACGACTTCAAAGAAGCAACGTGCGGCACCTGCTGAGCAGCACCTCGAGGTATTGACTTCGCCGCCAGTCTCAGGTCCCGTCCGAGTCCCTGCTGACCGAGATTTGCACGTGACGCTTCTCGTGCTCCCCGCGCTCGAGAAATACAGTAGTTCAACGCGCTTCGGTATCCAGAGCCGCGAATTCGGCGGGACTTATAACGGACGTAAGTCAATCCACGATGGGATTAGCTTTATGATTATAAGCGTGCGCTGGGTGGACGGTGCGGCGCCACAAAGCAGGCTTCGCGGCAAGGCGCGTAGGGAACGAATTAGAAAAGCCATGAACGAGGTCAACCGGAGCCAAGTGGTAGATATAGGGGAAAAGGAGATTCTCGGTAAGGTGGCCGTGTCAAGGGATTCCAGCGCCGGCAAGGAGAAGGGTACCGGGAAGGCGGCCGACGGCAACAGAGAGGGCAATAAAGAGAATCGCCCTACAGCTGCACTGAATGGTGATATTCTCATACCAGGCCAAGAGAAACCTAATGCAGACATGAATCCGGACCTAAACAGCGGGGTTCGGGAGAAAACCCGTTTAACGGACGACCAAAGCGCAAAGACGATAGATGCCATTACGACTGCTGATGCTGGAGAAGAAGCCGGAAAACATGGATTGGGCGAACATATAGGTGCTTCTACGTAGCGTCGAGCTGGAATTACATCGATACAAACGGGTTAGAAGGCAGCAGGATTTGTATCGGCGGTCACAAAACGGGTATATTTAAAAGCTATAGTTGGGGGACATGTATAGTAGAGGGATCCGGCACAGCGTTGCTTTTCTTCTACATTCCGTACCCTTGACGGTCTTCCAAGATACCTTAGGTGCCTACCTATCTGGCTGTTGTTGCTTCTCTTCACCTATATAGCATAGCGCGGAGTTTTGAGCAAGAAAAGTGTATGATGATACAAAATATAGTCATCCGATGCTGCACTTCTATAACAACGGTACTTCAATATTGCGCCAAGTGATATGGCTATTTGCACCTCTTATGTTTAATAACTTGGTGATTCCGTAATATGTTGTTGGTCAAGCAATCGTTCAGCCTAAGACGAACCCTGGCACCCTAACACCCTGACAACTTGCACCTCGTGGAGGTATACATTAGGTTACTCGAGTTATATGCCTATAGGTAGGTGACCATGATCGAAGCGATAGACACATAGAAGTAGTAACGTTAATTAATCGCCTTTGCAGAGGGATAGGATACCGTCTTCCTTCGCCTCTCTGGATAATAAACAAGCCGGTAGAGAAAAGTCGTCTCGGCCTGACTTCGTAACGGGTTCCACCTCGGTAACTCGACTACGCATGACCTTGATTATATATTTGTATATTAGGTAGGTACCTAAGGTAAGTAGTTATCAGGTAGGCCTCCCTAGAAATCGGTAACCCGCCCGTTGAAGCTATAATCGCCCGCGGGTCCCCAGCGCAGGGGCTCGTTCTTGGGCCCGCCGACCTCGCCCGTCTTGGGGTTGACGTCGCCTTCGAATTCGGGGGGCGCGCCTTTACGCAGCGGTATCGATGGGAGGTCGTCTTCGACGGCTGGCGCTGTTGTTGCTACTGCTGCTGCTGTGGTAGAGGGATTGGAAGAGGCGGGAGAGCTGAAATCCGGGGATGAGGTCGGGTTGAAGCCCTCTTGCGTGTTGGCGGTGCGCTGGAGTCGCTCGAATTCGGCTTGTTGGTCGGGTGGTAGGCGTGGTGGCGATGGTGTGAATTGGAAGGGGTTGGGATTGGGATTGGGATTGGGGTTGGAGTTGGAGTTGGAGTTGGAGTTGTTGGAGGCGTGGCGGTGGTGTTGTAGGGAGAGGAGAGATGGTGCTTGGTGGAAGGATGGTTGCGGGTCAGCGTGCGTGTGTAGACGTGCGAGTCGGGTAAGGTAGATGAGGCGGGACGCCATTGTGAAGATATTTGGCTTTATTTATTTTACTTTTATTTTTCGATTTATACGAGATGACTGTTGTTAATTGAGGGTTTTGTTCTCGAGGTTTTCGAGTTTCTTGTTTCTGGAAGTGTGGTAATTTGGGATGGTTTAGACTTGTATGATGATTTATTTGTATGATGGTAAAGGGACGAAGGAAGACTTCCATCTACGCATATATGCATGTATGTACATATGAGATGTCGATATAAGCGCGGATTTACTTCGGTATTGAAAGTGTTTTTGACTTCCGTTTTCTCTTGCAAGATTGCATCTGATTGGCTTATCGCCTCCCACACTGCAGACCTATCCGATAGAAATGCCCGAGTTTACGAGGGGTTATTGTGTCGAATTTTTTCCATGGCCCAAATAGGAAAGTAACTCAATGGGCAGTATATGGCCGGTGCGCAATTATGTAAACTCGGGCATATTGTGCAGCCCGCAGGGCTGCCTCCAGTTTAAGCATACAACTACATATGTAAAGGGACCACAAGGTCAGAATCATGACTCGAAAGCAGCCCGTTAAAAATGAAAAAAAATAAAAATAAAAGATGACAGTAGTAGCACTACTAATTAAGACCAAAAAGTATATACACGAGCTCAGCAGGGATCGAACCTGCAATCTTCAGAGGGCGGAGAATCCAAGGATGGAACCGAAATCTGACGCCTTACCATTAGGCCATGAACCCCATCGGTGTTGATGAGCTATTTGTTTGCAAACTAGCTTTATATCTAACAAACAGTTTGTGCTAGATCGAGTTAAGTGGTGGGCCCCCTTAGGAAGCAAAAAGAGACCAACTCCTTATTCAAGGTACACGTCTGCCCGTATGCCGGCTGGCCAGGCACCATGACTTACCTAGGTATATATTACAACAAAACCATCCATTCATCACATACGACCATAGAATGTGGAAAACTCGGGATCCCGTCCGCTCTCCCCATTGATAAGCCGCATATCGCCGGATTAGTAGTTGGGTCGGTGACGACCAGCGAATCCCCGGTGTTGTATGTTTTGTTTTGTTTTTTTGCTTCTTTTTTCCCATTTTCTTTTCCTTAAGCCTTTAACTTACTTGCGTGGATGGATATACCGTCTTTTTCTTTTTCTTTTTATTATTTACCTAGCTAACTATATTACTATTATAAGTCGGAGGTTACCTTTTGTAAGGCTGTGTAATAGATATAATAGTTACCGTAGTCATAGAGAGATTTGGTTCTATCAAGTCTATTTAGATTGTAGTTGTAATGAAAAATGATTTGTTTGGGATAAATAACTAAACATCTTATGTACATAAATACTAGGTACTTCATAGAGTGGCGTTATGACTCAATTGATCTGGTTGGTCCCTTGCATTTTTTTTACCTTTACCAGGGGCCGGCCCACCCGTTCGGGAAGCGGCAAACAGGGATAAATGGACGTACACACAAGGGTTGCTGTACATCAACATGCTGGGTACTTAGGTAGATACATAACATAGTGGGATGGCGGGGTTAAGATAGAAGAATGATTCACCCCTCCGGTTATCGCTTTAGGAAAATATCTGTATATGGAATAACGGAAATACACACATCTATCCATTTTAAGCTACCGGCCCTCAAGAACTCAAGAACAGAACATCTTTCGTTTTGACTCAGACCTTCCAACCTCAACTCTCTCTTATAAAGAGTCAACTTCCAACTTTGTCCCTACGAGTTATCTCTATCTCTCGCTTCTCCTCTTAGACCAATTGACTCGGCTTGGGCAACATGGAGGCTCTCAAACAGACGTTCAAGCGCTGCAAGGCAGAGAAGAGGGTATGATTCAATTTATTTCTTAACTCTTTTTTATTTTTTTCTTGCGCTATGTATATACGATCCTATTTAGCACTTGACTAACAACTACGTATAGGCTGCCTTGGTGACATATGTCACTGCCGGTTATCCCAAACCCGAGGACACTCCTGATGTCTTGGTAGGAATGCAAAGAGGTGGCGCCGGTATGTTGTGGCAAATAGACAGATTTAAGATGAGCGCAGACGGCGGTAACTAACAAAATACAGATGTGATCGAGCTCGGTGTACCCTTCACGGACCCAATCGCCGACGGCCCGACGATTCAAACCGCGAACACTGTCGCTCTAGCCAATGGTGTCACCATTAAATCTACTCTCGGCATGATTCGCGAGGCTAGGTCTAAGGGTTTGACTGCCCCAGTTTTGCTGATGGGCTACTACAATCCCTTACTCAGCTACGGCGAGGACGCTTTACTACGAGATTGTCAAGAGGCCGGCGTCAATGGCTTCATTGTCTGTGACCTCCCTCCTGAGGAGGCCGTATCCTTCCGAAAACTATGCAGCAGGGGAGGCTTATCATATGTGCCCCTAATTGCGCCCGCGACGTCTGACACCCGTATGCGAATCCTCTGTGCCCTCGCCGATTCTTTTATATATGTCGTATCCCGCATGGGTGTGACAGGTGCTCTAGGTACCCTCAATGCCAACTTGCCCAACTTGCTCGAGCGAGTTAAGAAGTATAGCGGCGACAAGCCTGCCGCTGTTGGATTCGGCGTGTCGACACGGGAGCATTTTCAATCTGTTGCTTCCATTGCCGATGGTGTCGTCATAGGTTCGCAGATCATTACGACTTTGCAGAAGACTGAGGAGGGCAACGGTGCTAAAGCTGTTGAGGAGTACTGTGCCTACGTAAGTGGGCGGGACTCTCAGGAGACAACCCGAGAAGTCGGCGTAATCGAGGCTATCAGTGCGGCCAAAGAGCCCAGCGGCGAGAATGTAACAGTCAACGGCGTAATTACAGAACATGACGATGCCGCGTTAGTAGCTCAACTTGCTGCGCTTCACGGCAAGATCCCTGAGCGGTTTGGCGAGTTTGGCGGCCAGTACGTGCCTGAGTCACTCATGGACTGCTTATCCGAGTTGGAGGAGGGCTTCAATGCCATCAAGGACGACCCTAAGTTCTGGGAGGAATACAGATCCTACTACCCTTGGATGGGCAGGCCCGGCCAGCTACACTTGGCCGAACGGCTTACGGAACACGCTGGAGGCGCTAACATCTGGCTAAAGCGGGAAGATCTAAACCATACCGGATCTCATAAGATCAACAACGCTTTAGGGCAGCTTCTGCTGGCAAGACGGCTAGGTAAAAAGAAGATTATCGCCGAGACTGGTGCTGGACAGCACGGTGTCGCAACTGCCACAGTCTGCGCCAAGTTTGGCATGGAATGCACAGTTTTTATGGGTGCCGTAAGTTTTTTTTTACCTGAATCTAACATCTGACTCGCAGTAAAACTTACAATATGGTTTAGGAGGATGTCCGCCGTCAAGCATTGAACGTATTCCGAATGCGGCTGCTCGGTGCCAAGGTTGTCGCCGTCGAAGCTGGTAGCAAGACTCTACGAGACGCCGTCAACGAGGCGCTCCGCTACTGGGTCGTCCACCTTGAGGATACCCACTACATCATCGGATCAGCCATTGGTCCTCACCCCTTCCCTACCATAGTTAGAACCTTCCAGTCAGTCATTGGCAACGAGACAAAGGCACAAATGCTCGAAAAGAAGGGCAAATTACCCGATGCCGTTGTGGCTTGCGTTGGTGGAGGTAGCAACGCCGTTGGCATGTTCTATCCCTTTTCTAACGATCCTAGCGTTAAGCTTCTAGGCGTCGAAGCCGGTGGCGACGGCGTGAACACTACCCGGCACTCGGCTACGTTGACCGGAGGTACCAAGGGTGTCCTACACGGCGTTAGGACGTACGTGTTGCAAAACGAGTTCGGACAAATCTCAAATACACACTCGGTCTCGGCAGGTCTAGACTACCCGGGTGTTGGTCCCGAACTATCGTCCTGGAAGGATTCGGAAAGGGCCAAATTCATCGCCGCTACCGACGCCGAAGCATTTATTGGTTTCAGACTTATGAGCCAGCTGGAAGGTATTATACCCGCACTCGAGTCAGCCCACGGCATTTACGGAGCTATCGAGCTGGCCAAGACGATGAAGAAAGATGAGGATGTGGTCATATGTCTTAGCGGAAGGGGTGACAAGGATGTACAGAGCGTCGCGGAAGAGCTGCCTAAGCTGGGCCCCCAGATCGGATGGGATTTGCGTTTTTAAAGTGGTGAGGGTTGTTTTGTAGGTTTGGTCGAGAATGTCAAACCTTTTATGAAGCTCTCACATTCGGCGTTGGCTAGCGTGGAGGGTGCTTAAAAAGTGAAAATAATATGATACATGGTATTGGACGATATATAGGTGCGCATCTTGATGCATTTTGTACAAATTGACAACACGGTACAATGCTATATCTTTTGTATCTTGTCTCTCCACCTTTTCGCCGTGCGACACTCGAGCCTTTGAACACCCTTGAATTCGTGAAGCTAGTAAAATAAGCCGTATCATACCTTAGGTGCCTTGTCGTCGCCGCTAGGTTTCTCTTCCTCTATGGTGTACTTGACATCCTCGACAGTCTCCCCAGTCTCCCCAGCCTCTCTAGCCTCTCCAATCGCCTCCCCGTCGTCCTTGATAAGCAATTCCACGTCATCCTTTACTTCCCCTATGACAAACTCGTCACCGCGCTCTAGCATACCGTCGACCTCGCTCAGCACAGCCTCAGACGTAACGCCGTCAGCAACTAATTCTCCGGGAAGCGTTTCCCCTACGCCTTCTTCCTTAGGCGGCAGACCTAGCGCGGCGCGCTCGCGGGCGAAACGCTCGCGTATAGCAGGCGTCTGCATGATCTTCCAGCGGAGAGCCCAGCCGGCCGGGCCAAGGTCCTTGATGCGGCGGGCCTTGGAGCCGAGGAGGTACTCGTCGATGCCGCCGAGGCGGTCGACCGTTTTAAGTACGCCGGTGGTCAGGCGGGTGCGTACGAAGGCGCCTAGGCTCGGGGACCACAGGCGCTTGGTGTGCCGGTTCGGCAGCCAGGTGGTGCGGGACTTGTTGCCGTGGTCCGGGGCGACGACGTTGCCGAAGCGGATCTTGGAGCCGGCGAAGAGGCCCTCGTTGGCTTGCTTGTAGGTCCGGAACCGGCCGTAGGGGTATGCGGGGACTTGGTCCGTGGGCACGGTTAGGTGGGAGGGCTTTTGGCGGGGGGTTGGGGGGGTGCTGCTGAAGGCGCGGAGGGGGGTTGTTTTTGTTGTTGTTGTTGCTGTTGTTGTGCGTGGTGTTCGCTGGGAGGAGGTGCTGGGGGATATGTGGGATGTAATCGCGGAGAGGCGGCATGGCGACGGCGCTGAGAGTCGTATTGGCGCCATGGTGTTGGCTGGTTGGTTGTATAATTGGTAGCGCTTGTTTTGGGAGCTATGTTATTACGACGACGACATGGATACTTGAGAACAGCCAGTGTCGGGTTTTTTTAGCGGTGGAATTGGCACCGGAATTGGTGGTGGATGTTGGATTGTAAAGTATATCACGAACCTTGGCTTTTTGGAATTGAAGATTTGCAGATACTTCTTTTAATTCTATATGTGCTATATACCGATATATACATAAGTACTGTAGTGCTTTTGAAGGTATATGCAGGTATCCGTGCTGCAAGGAACAACGGAATAGAGCAATGGAGGTCATGTGGCAGCGCTCCACGTTCGCGATTTCCGTATTCTTATCGACCGCGGGGTTCACCGCCCAAGTACCAAGTACATGGAGTACATGTATTATTTCCATAGTTCCAGTTCAGAGCTTGAATCGCAAACAGATACCTACCTAATAATAAGTCAACAACAATCTACACCTCCGATGCTGCGCATCTAACAAACAAGAAAACCACAATGCTTCCCCCCGTAGACGAGGCCGTCCTCAAGCAAAACCCCAACTTCGATCGTCTATACAAGACCCTCACCGGCTCTCTTCTCAACCCCGACGGCTCGACACGGAGCAACGACTCGGCAGCTAAGAAGCGGGATGCCGTACACAATGTACGTTTAACCCGGACGCCTTCCAACAAATATAAAATGTACCTACCCATGTAATAAGTCAATTGACTAATATAGTTCTCATATCTAGGAACTTAAAGCCTACCGCCTCAAGGCTACAAAACAACATCTCCTCCGTCGCGCGATAGCAGCAGCAGCCAGTCCCGAACCGAGCACCAGCACGAGTACGAGTACGAGCAGCGCCGCTTCATCTAAACTACAACAACCACCACCACAACAACAACAATACCTATCCCAACCTACCCGACGAACAAGACCAAGACCTCAAACGCAAATATCCACCACATCCCAAGCCCCTCCCCCCGAAATCCTCGATCTCCTTCTTCTCCTCCCACCCTTCCTCTCCAACCCAACCTCCCTATCATCCCCCGCCCTCACCCTCCTCCTCTCCCGCCCTCCATTCTCCGACCTCCCCTCTCTCTTCCCCATCCTAACCGCCACCCTATCCAACACCCTATTCCGCCAAGCCAACTCCCTAGCCCGCGTGCTCAACCCCCACACCAACCCCTCCTACATCCACCGCTCCGTCCCAGCCGTCGCCTCAACAACCACCGCCTTACTATCCACCATATCCAGTTCCACGCTTGCGCTATCGCTTGCCCGCCAGCGCGCCGCGTACGACTTAACGACGCAACTAGCGCGACACGCTGCGATCCTAGCCCAGCTCATCCGCGTGCTCGAGTCGAAACACGGTCCCGCCGCGCGGTCCGCCGAGCTACGGGCCGAGGAGGCCAATCTTTCCGTGCGTGTCTGGGCCCTTGCCGCCGAGGCCTTGCTCTGGGACACCCGACGCGCCGTGTACCCTCCCGAAGCTCGGCGCGCCCTGACTAATTATAAGCGACACTTGGGTGATGCGCGGATGCGTCTTGCTGATACCCTACGTGTGCGCCAGGCAGAGCTACAAGACTACGGGGTGATGCCTGTCGAGAAAGGGGGGCAAGGTGGAGAACAGAGCAGCAAAGAGCGGACGATGCGCGAGATGGCTAGGGTATGGCGTGAGATGGAGTCACGGCTTAATGAAGTCAAGGGTGATTTGGATCGATTGAAATGATCCATTTACCTAGTCCCCAACCCCAACGCGCTACTTTTATTTTTGGTTTTCCGAAGCAGGCCAGTCTGTTAATCACAGGCATAATGAGCATTACAAGCACTATTATTTTGTGAGTAAAAGGATATCGTAATGATTTACATTTGTGTAGGTATCTAGTGGTGGTGGTATCACAAGCATCGGCTGTCTACCGTCCATCTTTCGGTGAGACAGCCCAAGTAGATGCAAAAGACAGAAAAGGGGGAAATAGCAGAGATGTATCAAGAATACAGCCCCGTTGTCATCCAGAGGAATATCGCAATGAACAGGTGCTTTTACCAACCAATCCATCCATTTAGGTCATTCGTCTATCTCGTACCATCATATCGGGCATGGTGCTTTTTTTTTACTTTTTCCCCTCGAAATATTCACATCGTACAGAACATTCCCCTTGTGCAAAACTTCCACCTTTCTTCACTTAAGTAGAAAAGGAGGTCAGCTTAACCCTTGACCTTGTAGATAGCCTCGGCTAGGCGTCCGACGTTGTCGGATGTGATGCCAGCGACGCTAATACGACCATCCTTTGTGGCATAGACGCTATGCTCCTTGGCCAATTTCTCCATAGAGGCGGCATCGAGGCCGGTGTAGGCAAACATGCCGATCTGCGAGGTGATATGGCTCCAGTCATGAGCACTGCCGAGCTTCTCAAGGTTTTCCTTAAGGAGGGCACGCATTGAAATGATACGGTCGGCCATGCCCTTAACCTCACCTAGCCACTGCTTGTTAAGGGCCGGATCGTTGAGGATCTCAGATGCGATACGTGCACCGTGGAGTGGAGGGTTCGAGTATAGGGGTCGGATAAGGATCTTGATCTGAGACTCGAGGCGCTTCTTCTCCTCAGGTGACGAGGCAATGATGGAGAAGGCACCTACACGTTCTCCGTAGAGACCCTGGTTCCATTCGCGTTAGCCCAGCCACGATGCTTCAAATGAGCGGAAAGGAAGATAGCTGACGTACCATATTCTTAGCAAAGCTTTGCGCCAGGCAGATGTCATGGCCTTGCTCGACAAAGTGTCGTACGGCGAAGGCATCCTTGTTGGTGTCACCGCTGGCGAAACCCTGGTAGGCCATGTCGAAAAAGGCGTAGTGGCCTTGAGCCTTAACAGCATTGCTAATCTCCTTCCACTGCTCAGTGGTAGGGTCGACGCCAGTCGGGTTGTGGGCACAAGCGTGGAATAAGAATATGCTTCCTTTGGGAGCGGCCTTGATGTCTGCTAGCATTCCTTCAAAGTCCAAGCCGATGGTGTTCTTATCATAGTAGCGGTATTGCTCAACCTTGAGACCAGAGTCGTGAAAGACTGCTTTGTGGTTGGCCCACGAAGGAGTTGGGATATAGATGGTCTTGTCGCCCGGGTAGAAGCGGGACAGGAAGGTAGCGGCGATGCGCAGAGCTCCAGTGCCCGAGATAGACTGGGTGATGGCCAGGCGTTCAAGGGCAGATGAGCCCTTGCCATAGGCTAGCTCAGCGGCTGCCGCGGTAAACTCGGGGAGGCCGGTGATGCCGAGATATTCCTTATTTAAGCGCTTCGCGACGATCCTATCCTCGGCGGCACGGACGGAGGGGAGCACATAAGGCTTGCCTTGGTCATCTCGGTAGGCACCAACACCTAGAGAGGACTGTTAGTCTTCGGGGAATGCTGACGTCCGCCTTGACCATTGAGATATAGGGAGCGCAATGGGAAATCAAAGGATGCCTAACGTACCTAGGTTGATCTTCTTCTCAAAGGAGTCGGCCTTGAAAGCTTCGGTGATACCTACGCGAGGTAAGCGAAATGACCCCAAGCTTTAATTATCGGTATTAAGAGAGAAGTATATACCAAGAATAGCCTAGTGAGTAGTAGGAAAGCTTTGTGTTAGCTATTTACTAAAAACGAGGTCTTTACGAATCCGAGATAAATCCGCAGCGAAGACGTTGAAACTCACATCCTACACATTCATTCCAGTGTTAGCATTTCTCATTCGTTTATTATGTCTTTAATTAAGTTAGAAGCACGGGGCAATGAGAATAACGTACTGGAGGACCTTGAGGCACATTGGCCCAGGTAGACCCAGCTCTGGTAGCTTGGAAGGCAATAACTGAGGCCGGTCCTCGACGGGTTACAGCTTGGCGAGCGGCGATGCGGAGTGCGGGAAGCATTGTGAAAGAGGTATTTTATCGGAGATTGAAAATGATAAAAAAAAGAAAGAAAGGCAAAAGGAGAAACAACAACAACAAGTTTAAGATTTCACGAACGTCAGATGGTTTAAAGTCCGAAGTTGTGGGGAAATGACTTGTGTGAGTAAATTTTAGATGGTTTGGGAAAGTTGTCGAACGATGTCGGATCCTGATAGAGAATTAATTAGCTGATGGAGAATTTAGCTCAGGGACCGGGGCTGCTTGCTGTTTTCAGGTCAGATCAAGTTAAGTACATAACCTAACCTAAGGTAAGTCGCAACCCGACAAAGCTGCAAAAGGACCTAGCAATTGATTGGCACGTCACTTCTTCCATTCGCCCAGATCACAGTTCCTTCCCCAGGTTTTTCAGCGCTGCTTAATTATTAGCGCACCAATGGCTTATCCCCAGTTGAGACCCACTACTCCGAATCGGCTTATTCCCGGCTGATCATCCAAGCCCCGTCCCCGGCGTTCTCCTTTATCAGATCCGAATAGGCCGATGAAAGGCTGATTCGCGAAGATATATCTAGGGAAGCCACAATCTTGATATCCCAGCCCGTCTTCCATTTGTTTCATATAAGGCGTGAATTTTTAAACCTGAAAAACATTATATCATTATTCATGTCTCATACAAACAACCGCATCCTTAATGCGCCATGCCTGCTTCGGATATTCCCCAGATACTATCACATCTGCTTTCCATCTTAGATCTTCTCCCAGCCATGTTTCCGTCGTGATCTTCTTCTCCTAATTGCCCAATATCTGACGTCTCATCTATCGTTGTCGAACTTCTCTCGCTAAAAAATGTGTATCGTTCTGAATGGCCTGGTGGCAGCGGCCACTGTCGACTATCCCACACGTCATCCTCAACGTTGAAAATAGATGTAGGGACGACGACAGAACCCCTTGTATCTCCCCAGATCGAGCTTCGGGTTGTATCAGCAGCCGAGTTTCTGGGTTCATCAGTGCCGCCTCGTTCTATCTCAGATACTGTACTATCTGATGATGTTCCTATATCTCGTTTCGGTATCTCTTTGATGTCGCGCTGCCGCCGCCGTCGTACCACGTAGCAACGCACTGCTACTGGAACGGCGATTAGAAACGTCACCGCCGTCACCGTTGATGCGACTATGGCTTTGATCTGCCCCGTGCTAAGACTAGCTTCGTTCGATGACATATCAGGTACAACCAAAGGTTTTTGAGCGCTGCCAGGGTGGAGGTGTCAATATAAGGTTCCTTTTAAGTCGACCCTTAATGTCACGGCCCTCCCGTCTGCGGTATCGAAGAGCTAAAAGTAGGGATTAAAGGTATGACAAGACGATAAACTCGCTCCCAGGGTCTTATCGGACGAAGGACCTGCCCGTAGATGTAAGAAATGTGCCGATCTGCTCTTGGATGATATTGCTCTTAACGCAAATAAAACATAGACTAGTCATGGGTAGTATAAATCTGATTTTGTCCAGGATAATAGCTAGGCAATGCGATCGTTGTGGTTGAACCAGCCAGTTGCAGAATTAGATTTTTGTGTTCTGCAGACCTGAAGTCTGGTATTTGATTATGGCCAAAACTTGATAGATATTCGTTCTCAAAGCTGACTGTGTCCATACTATGATACACCAGAGGTAAATGGGTTAGAATTTGCGAGTGAGCCACCACGTGTTTGGAGACGTCTCATAATGGGAATAGCAAAGATAGCTAAGTGCTCTGCACGCCCAAACTAATAACAGTCTCGGCGGGGGATTGAGAGAGAGAAATACCTTAGACTTATGGTGCCCTAGAGACTGACACAATCTGAAAACAATGCATGTTTATCATAGAGTGATATAGGATGTAGTAAGACAGGATTCGCGGGGAGGATGAAGAATCGATCGACTTGAGATCAGCTGCCATGTGCGTGGGATGGCACGAATCTAGGTCCCAACGGGTGTAACAGTCATACGGCTATCGCGGGAGCCAATGCAGGTTGGGAAATATCTCAATTGCCTTAGATATAGGGGGCTAGTCTAACAAAAGTCGACATCGCGACTGAGCCGCAATGTGACATAAGGTTGTCTGTAGCGACAATAAGCTCATCGCAACCCACCATAGCCATGATCCTGAAATCCGATTAATCTCTCGTAAGCTTGAAATCACCGCTCGGTAAGGAGATATATCAAAGACTGCGGTGGCGTAACCTTATTAATTTATCGCTTAGTTATATATAGATATAGGTAGATTAGGTGGTTATTTGATATAAAGAATAATGGCTAGTCTCTACAATGATACATAGTATTCAACTTATCGGAAGTAGAGGGCGCATTTCGCACATAATATATATTTTGCCGTGTGGCTGGGGAATTTCTGGAGGATCATATCTGGAAGCACAACTTACCTCTTACGACTTTTCCGGTGAGCGGTGTTATCTTGTATGGAAGCCAATCAGGATCTACGTTGCGAGCACGGTAAATTTTTGAAGGAAGTAGAAGGGTAGCATACAAGACATTCTGCTGTAACCCAACCCTGATCCTACCGGCCCTCCCAACCAAACAGCGCTCAGGGGACTTGGCCAACGGCTGCTACCACATAAATGAAGTTCCCACGACGGCTGTTTTTCATGTCATTAATAATTATTCGACAGCCTCGTAGGTTTCAGATTTGGTTGGCCTGGATTTATTCAGACTCTTTATTTATAAAGATGCGAGACGCGAGCCCAAATTCTTACCTAGTACGGCTGGCGTAGGTAATTTATTTCACTGCGGTCCTTCTGCAAGTCATCTTTATTAGCCATGCAGCACAATCTTTAGTTGTATGTAGTAGTAAATATCATATTTTCCCCGTAAGCAAGTTTTGAGTTAAACGCCTCTTACTTTAAGTAATCTGCCTCTTTGTAAGCCTTAAATTACCAGCCTTCTAAAGATATGATATCACGCTTATTTCGAGAGGTTCAAGCGTTGTACCGCAATGTGGATAGAGATGAGATTATTTATAGTAGCATCAAGCATCTTGCCTTAGTAGCATCGAGCAGCTAGGTAGCTTAGGATTGTAAAGTCGACTTAAATTTTCGGCGAGTATCCGAGCAGGAGAGGGTAAAAATTAATGTGACAATATTGCTTTGGGTACTATTATAACTACCTAGATATTAAGAAACCTCGTGATGTAACCGATATTAGCAAAAGATACAAAGCCAAGACCTGGAAGTTTCTTTTATGGTCGGATGGAGGTAGCCTTACCTATTAGGACTTTAAAGGCCAAAAGTCATTTCGGGTAATACGTAGGTTGAGACGGGGCCAAAATCAATTAGCTGGATTGAATATGAGAAAACGGCTGTGGAATTAATTATTGATATGATCTATCCTATTACCTAGGATCAATGCTCAAAGACGCCTAATCTACCTACTACGAGAGCTTAACATGTTACATGGTCACGGGTGACCAGCCTATATTCCCTAATTTGCCCAATGTTGGGCACTTTTGTCAGTATTTTCACTCTAGCAAAGTTGGTATCGCTCAATTGGCCCCCCAGCCACGTTGCCACGTTATTGCTACCCGTTTCTTGTATACCTAGCAAGGACATCTTGTCCGTAGTGTATTATATAAGAAGGGAATAATCGCGATCTTCTTTCATTGCCTCTCTAAGTTAGTTAGCTTGGAAGATAATAGGGGCTCCGCTCCTACCATCGAGTAGAAATACGAGGCATTATTGTCGTTCCTAGTTTAGCAGCCCTGTAATATGAGACGAATAAGATCCATTCGGATCGGTATCGCCGATATCAAATCTTTTAACAGATCCCGGGGCTTGCTCCGTCGTAGCAATTTCTGTGGCTTGAAGTGTAGAAACCCTCCCCAGCCTTGTTAAGCCATATACGTATGACTCACGTACATAAATTCTCCGAACATTTCAATATTCTAGGAATGGCGTGTTGAGTCGCGAAAAGAGATAAGGACACATATCATACATTGTCCTGCCGAAGCTTGTATTTCAGTAGCATTGTCCTGACTAACCCTAAACCTCTAGAAAAGGGGGACGGCATGATGTTGTGTAACTGATAATCAGGGCTAATTTTAATGTTTTCTTTTACGTTGGCTGTAACCAACATCCTGAGAACGCTGCCGGCTTGTTAAATCAGTGGCTGGTAAAGCTACCTCTCACCATTCACCATATCCATAGTATATTCGTATAGGGTTATGTTTCCTCTGCGCACTTTTACGATTACCACCTAATGATACACACTAGGATATTTTCGGCCTTAATTTGCCCTTGAAAAGAATAGAAAAATGTAGATACGTCTCTGCTTGCTTGGCAGTAGAGTTGGTATCTTACCGTTATAGGAATTTATACGCCCGCAAAAAGTAGTAGCTTCGAGAAGATTAGTTGGAACATAAGCTGCCTTGCTCGAGACACTGCAGTGTGCCTAGTATTCACCCATCTCTAGAGCCGGTATGTAAGGCATTGGCAGTCTACCCGTTGGGAGAGGTGACACACCCCTTTTTCTGGGCACTAACGGGACTCTTTCTTATCAAGTCTTCCTATCGAATTATCACGCAAGTCCTAGAACTGATATTAAGGTACATTCGACGCGTCCGCACGGTTGCCTAGGTAGTTTTCCATCGACGTTTTTCAGTTGCTTGCCTCAGAGGAGCACCGGCTACCCTAAGCGTCATCAATCTTACTAGGTATCGTTTAAAAAATATGAACCACTAGTAGATTGCTACATAGTGCCATGTTCAAATTATAAATTACTCGGAGAGAAAGACGAGCTTCTCTTGTCTAGACCTAGGCGCATTTACAAACACGTATGTCGATACAGCCCGACATATTACTCAATACTGCAGAAATGCCCCCATATTGCTACACCTCACGTACAAGTCGGAGAGCATGTACCATGTAACCCAAGCGAATTATATTACGAGTCAATTTTCACTTAATCAGCTGTTATTGTCTAAACCTTAAAAGTTCTGTGTGTTGTTAACTTAGAACTGGCCCGGTATCAGTCTCCGAGGAAATGATCTGAACGTTCGAACCAGGGATAGTGATACGACTCTTCATCAGACTCGCCCAGCCATAACGAGGACGATCCCATTGCAATCCCCCCAAAGGTACCTGGAGCCACGTCAGCCATTAAGACTTATAGAGCCATCACTTTTGCCCGCCCCGTAAGGATACATATAGTAGCCCTTTGGCGATCCGTACACGTAGCGTACTTTAGGTAGGTAGGCTCTACTTCACCGGGCCGGAAAATGAGGTTGTATTTCTAGTATGTCTTCGAAGGATCTGTGACGGCCAAGATCTAGCCTATGGGCCACAAAGGTAGGATACCTGGGAGATTGATCCCTTCCCCTAGTTTGTCCAGGTTGTTTTACTGCTACGTTAATTCCATACACAATTTAGGCCATCATTAACCGGGTTTATAGCTACCGTAACGAAATGATGTATAATATGAATACTGAGCTAAGACAAACCTAGCAGTCAGAAAGAAGCCTTGCAGAGAAAAGATGTCTATCAACGACTAACCAAACCATATGGCACATCCAAATCATATATCACATTAGTATGAGGCCATTTCGGAATTAAAGGCCGAGAGCTTGACTTACCTAGTATTTCAGCTCGTAGGTATTTTTAAGTATAGCATTGACACCTGTCACGCGTACATGTAGGTACCTCATTCGGTAGCATCGCACAATGTGAACGGATAGCGACATGAGTTAAATGTGACGATAAAGCTATAGCTCCCAACGAAGCTTGGTGCAAGTACCAATAGCTTGCTTTTCTGCATGGATCTGGGTACGTAGCCAGTTTATGATTCTTCCATCTTCTTCCTCGGCCAGGGTGAGAACTAATCAGCAGTTGCCCTTAGCTGCATGGAACGAATCATCTTAACCCCAGAAGCATGCTTTGCTGGTGTTTATTTTTTTTAATAGGGGGTTGCAGGAGCTTGTAGCAAAAGTTCGCAGGGGTAATGGCGTCGAAAAGACGCGCCACATCCCTCGAAGATAGCTAGATCGGATACTACATGAGATATGACTTATCACACTCCTCACATCGTAACTATGGGAGGGTACGTTTATGAAGATTTTCCTGGACCGATCGATGTACTCAGGAGATGACTAACCATAAATATGCCCACAAACTATCCTAGAAGGACGGTGCTTAGGCAGGAATAATTGCAATCTGAAAAACGAGGACGCAGACATCATGAGCTGAAGCAACTTCTAGTACGAGTTCCTAGATATGTCTGATCAAGCGGTAAGTTTAAGAAACTAATGATGAAACCTTTCGATTTGGGCTAATTCTCTCAAGGGGATTCTTCCCGGTAGAAGAAACCGACAGGGAAGACATGAACAGCTTACTCAAGCCGACACCAGCATGACCCCAGCAATTAACGGGAGAGAACAACTTACTGTCGACACATCAATTCAAGACACCCAGGAAAGGGAAATCACCCTTGATAATACGAATTATAACTCAGATGAACGCAAACTACCGTCTGAGCAGATGCACGAACCCGACAATCATACAGCGCTTCGCGACGGCGATAACGAACGGCTGGCCCATTATAGACACTTATACCTTGCTTGCTCCTCCTTCACACAGGCGTTCTTCATCCAACAGCCTGCGAACGGTTCGATCGAAATCCAAGGGTCGACGCCCATGTGTACAAACTTACAGCAATACCTGGCTCAGCAGCAGATTGTCGGGAACCACGCGTTGGAATTCTGGAGGGCTGAGACTTTATACGATGGCTCTCTTCCGGTGATTCCTCAGCTCACTAATCCTAGTGACTGGCTTCTTGAAGTAGGAACCGACCACGATCATAATAATCGGGAAAGTGACCTGGAGGCAGTAAAGGACGAAACTCGTAACGGGATGTACGAATAGGAGTATCGACTGGCTGAGCGTTATCTACTATAAAAACTTAAGCTAATTCGAAGGCTTCTTGGGGTTATGATGACTGGGTACTACAAAGTTGCTTCCAGGAGAAGTCTTCAAATCAGGTAGTTCATGTATAGGTGGGAGGGCAAGTCAGTAGCTACCTAAGTAGTAAGAGCTCGTGACCCTCTTGAGGCTTTACAAATTTCCGAAGAGCCCCATTACTAATTTGAAGCTGGACGCTAATAAAATGTATTATTTCTTACTATGTACATGCATCCTTTATTTTGCCGCAACCCACTTCGTCGTTGTTGTATACTCCAGTTTTCTTGACCACATTTTCGCCTTGCCTACTAGCAATCGCCCTAATCCTTTCACAGTGCGAAAATAATAATAGCAAGGTAAATTAGTAGACGATACTAAACCGTTACCAGGTGAATATCGAATAGGTAATTATCTAATTCAGAAGATCTCTTTGGAGAACGTACCGCAAAACTAACAGGTACCTAGGTAGGTACTTATAATACGTGCAAATTAAAATTAACTTCTGTAGTCTAGACTATTTCTACAATCTATATTTCATTCTGGTTTTTAGACCTCGGCGTGTTCTTCGTGAGATGAATCCGCAGTAACACCTTCCGGCACTTTGCTGCCGTCCCAGGAACTGGACTTGATAGGGTTGACGTGAAGTAGATACATGGTGTCAACCTCTTCCAGGCTTCGGTCCTTGGTCTCGATCACGAAGAAGTAGACGATGACGATGAGACCCGCACAGCAACCAGCAAACACGAAGCCATAGAAATAGTCGATCGCGTCGGTGATAAATCGAGTGAAGAACGAAATCATGCTGTGCCATTTGTTAGCATCTTATATGTGTATACATCGTAGACGGGCTTATACTCACAAATTCCAGAACCAATTAGAAGCGGTGGCCAAAGCCATACAAGGAGCCCTGTATCGAGAAGGGTAGAGTTCGGCGACGACAGCCCATACAAGCGGTCCCCAAGTAGTGGCAAATGCAGCAATTGCAAGACAAGAGAATACAATCAGAGCCGAGCCGGCTTGGGGAGTGTTCAGAGGGTTGGTCGAATCTAAAGCGTAGTGGCCGACAAAGGCGTAGATACTATCACAATAAGAGTTAGTTTCGAGAGAGAAAAATATGAAGCTTCTGTGGATAAGAGAAAAACTTACAAGAAGCACACCATCATGCCAGCGGCACCGGCGATGAGCGCCTTTCTACGCCCAACCTTCTGCACAACGTATAGACCGGCGATCGTAGTTGCAACGTTAACTGTTCCGAGGATGATTTGCGTGACGTAACTGTCGCTGAGACCAGTAGACTTGAAAACCGTTGTACCGTAGTAGAAGAAGAAGTTGGCGCCCGTTAGCTGCTGACCAGCTTGGAGCACCATACCCAAGAGAGTTCTGTAAAGCATCCTGGGGCCGGTAAATATTTCGAACCAGCTGGCTTTACCACTGGCCTTCTCCTCGTCCAGCTTTACCCGAATCTCAGTGATCTGATCGTGGACGCTGCGGTGTTGGGGGTCGACACCAGCCAACCTGGCAATCGTATTTCGTGCCTCGTCTTCTTGACCGTTGCGGTACGCGTGTCGGGGACTCTCGGGGAGAACAAGGACTCCGAGACACAGGATCAAGGACCAGAGGAAACCGATGCCGTTAGGGATACGCCACGATGCGCTGGATTCCATGTGAGCAGTGCCCCAGTCGACCATGTAACTGGTCCAGATGCCGAGGGTGATGAAAAGTTGGTAGGTCGATACTAGGACACCACGGATGATGGCCGGGCTACTCTCGGACTGATACATGGGGACGAGAACGGAAAGGGCACCGATTGAGCAACCGGTCACTAGACGACCGACGGCGAACTGTGCCCAGACCGTCTCCGACGATATCTCGATAACGATTCCGACGCAGGACCACAGAGCCGAGAGAGATATAGCCAAGCGACGGCCGATAATGTCGGCGAGTTGTCCGGCAATCAAGGCACCGAGAAGGCACCCGACAGGGAGAAGACCGACGATCGTTCCTTGTCTCGCCGCACTGAATTCGTATTCTCCATTCTCCGCCCTTTCGCCGAAGCGCTGGGCGAAATCGTCCATGTTGAAGAAACCTGATATCTGACCACTGACATATCCGAACATGAATCCTCCTATACTAGCGACGACACCGAGGAAGACTGCCACAAAGGTAACCTTTTGCTGCTCTACCGGCGAGGGTTCTGAACTCTGCTCCTGTTTGGCAGCAGGGCCTGCCGTGCTTGAAGACCCGGCATTTGGTGCTTCCACCTGATCGGTGTGATGTTTTAGGAATGTCATACTATGTTGACTATGTTGACTATGCTGTCCTATCGATGATATAGATTGTTATTAAAGATGAGTATGAGTGACTTATTGCAAGCTGATGACAAGCTTGGGATGTGCGGATTCTCTTTTTAATATACATAGGTCGCAATGGCCCACGGTCTTATTTTAAAGGTATTTCTGAACCTTGAACAAACTCTACTATGCGGAATAAACTAAGACCAAAACTTCTTAACTTCTTTTTTTTTTTCTTTCTTTCCCCTGACCTCGCCCACTGCGTCATCACCCCATCGGACTCGTGACGGCGTGTCGCGCGAGTACTTACGCCGGGATAGGTACCATTGTTGATCGGCCGCCCCGATGGAACCATAGGACACCCACATATATGGGCCCATCTCATGAGCAACTCACGTACTGAAGAGCTCCGCTGCGGTTAGTCCCGACAGAGCCGCTCTCCGACGGATCCGACTTTCCCAGTTTCTTATTAGTTTTAACGAGCGCCGGGTGCCGAGGCCACTTTCGCCCCCTTAGGAGAGTACACGCACGAGTTCATACAGAATACGGAGTATGCTTTTACATCTTCCCGACTTAAACAGTTGATTGAGTTGATAAACTTATGGCTAAAGAATTAGAGTTAAATTATCCTTGGTAAATCTAATTCTCGCTCATACGAGCATAACAGAATGCGTCATTGGATAAGAAATCTTAAGGGGACTTTTTAGGCTGGCCGAGCAAGTACCGAGTCGGTCCTGTTGTGGAGACAAAGCGGCTCTGCCCTGGGTCTCGAGTTCAACAAAAACTTCTTCCTTTTTTTGCACCGTCGCCGAGATGAGGAGAGTACGACCAAAGAAAGTTAAGAGAGAAGAGAAAAAAAAAAAAGAAAAAAAAAGGGTTCATCTCCTGTCGCCCCATACGATAGAATGATGATATTGAAACACCGGTGGTACGGCATTATTATACTATGGAGAGACCCCGCGCTATATCATTGTATTTTCTAGTCACATGCGACTTTCGTTTCCAATCGAAACTTTTAAAATGGAAAGTATTAATTTTCTTAATCTCATCTTTCCACTTTTTTGCCCTCTGCTTTGGTCCTTGTATCGTCTTCTACCACTGCCATTTTAACCCCCCTGGCTTGGTCACGGGATACATAATGATACACAGTATCCTATCGTTCTGATGGGATAATGAGAGAGTCTATTTAGAATGATCCTACTGTACGTACTATGTATGTAGTTCACCGTTCCATTAAAAGTCGGGGCTATCATATCACTAATAAAGGGGGAAAATATATCCCCTCATAAGTCCCAGCTTTTTATTCGGGCCTTCCATAGCAATAAAGCTGGGGATCACATCACGTCTCCTCACCAATAACCCCATTTAGATCTCATCTCTGGGGGATAAGATAAAATGCAATGTGAAGCTTAGAAGGAACTATCGTCAATAACTTCATCTAGCGTATACCTCGGCAGTCTAATCTTCTCATTCGTGATCTCGCCCGGTTCCTTACCCCCGACGTTACCCACCGCAAACCCGGTTGAGACGAGTGTAGACGTGGCATTGGCATTATTGTCTCCCTGACGGACTGTTTCCTGCTTCTCCTAAATGAAAGCCTCACTCTTGGCCTCCGTTTCATATCTCACACCCCGTATTTTCTCCATGGCCTGGAGCACGACCTGGAGCAGTTGCTTCTGCCACTATGGCAGAGGCGCTTATGGGGATATTCCTTTTCTCCGTCTCCTTTGGCTTCACCCAAGCCTTAAGCGGGGCGGAGGTCGTATTTTCTTTAGTAGTACGTAGTACGAGAGAAACAACCATCCCCATCGTCCCAGAAAACAAATTTCCGCTCTCACACGTGCATTCCCCACGGAGTTTTACACATTGCCCCATTAAAGCTACATCTCGCAGGAGATGCTCATCCATTCGATAGTCCCACCAGCACCTTTTCTCTGAGAGATATTATTGGAGCTTACCCCTATCGTGGAAAGCTACAACAATGGCTTAGGCTTCTGGTCTCACGTTGTTGAGGCCATATTCACCCGGGACATACCGTCGTACCTTGGCAGCTATAGCAGCATCTGATATTTAGAACTAGTCTACAATGAAGAGTATAGCTATAGTTGACCACGATATCTTTATCAGGATTTTAGATGAGACATCTCGAACAAAGGATACTTTTTGAGGTATGTATAGCCGTAGGATCCCGTATCTAGCTTAGAGTTCCTCGCAGAACAACGAAGTAGTTTAAGGGCTTCTTGCTCCGCCTCATGGCAGTCTTAGCCTCTAAGTGCAGCTTGGAGATCATCGCCCAGCCAAGAGTTAGTATGTGCAGACGGCCAAAATTCGGACGATACCTACTCACCGTAGGATCGTCAATATGAATCCGGGCTCTCTCCGGAACTGGTCGGCAAACCGGTTCCGATTGCACTACTAGCGCCGATATTTAATGAGCCTATGAGAGTAGCTATCGTAACCTGATAAGGCTAATTGATGTCTTTGTATCAACCGAATCCGTTTCCAAGGCCCGCTAACCTGATTCTGGCTCTTTATCTTAAATATTTTACGAATAAATGTTGGCATTTCATGGCACGCCGTCGGCCAGCTGGGGATAAGTGGATAGACTACAGCTAGACGAAACGATCCTCATTCCTTCTCTTGTTTGATATATCTACACTCTTCGACAAATACATGTTTATTGATACTCATTCAACTACGAACTAATATGATCAAATGCCATTCATCGACCACGATCGAAGATGCTTGATGGGATATAGGCGCTATATTTTCCTAAGACAGGTGTAGAATAATTGGGAGTCGATAGGCGAATCATGATGCCGTTTTCTAGACTCCATGATTATTAAGTTGAATAGATATGACGCCAACACCGGGGTGCTTTCGATGATATAAAGGCATCTTCCGTATTGGCATCTTCAAACATGGTCCAAAATGCCGATTACCCATCTCTATCCTTTATCTTATAGGATGATAACAGGTCGATCTCCGATATCTCAAACACTAGCATTTAAGCCACGCAGATCATCAAGCAGATAATTATGAAATTCTAGAATGATGAGCTTTGATAATGTTTTAATAAGCCTATCTATATCTACTTATGTTTGAACTTTGGACGGATGAATAGGGGGGCTGGGTTACGTAATCCGACGATGAGCTGAGGCTATAACTACACACACTTATAAGTCAAAAGGACAGACCAAACTTTCACGTACGACCATAGGATTTGGAAAACTCGGGATCCCGTCCGCTCTCCCATCGATAAACCAGATACCGCCGGATTAGTAGTTGGGTCGGTGACGACCAGCGAATCCCCGGTGTTGTACGTTTTGTTTTTGTCGGTGTTTTTTTTTTGCCTTCCCCCCTATTGTCATTGTTTTGCTATATCCCGTAATAGATACCGTTTACCCTACTAGACTAGAGTCTGGAGTTGTCTTCCAGGTAATCTTCGTAAAGAACCTGCTAGTTATTCTAACCTGATGTTCCTCTCCTGTTGTGATTATTAGCCAAGTCCGGGACACGCCGAGGACTTGACTTCACTTGTCAGAATGGAATCAAAAAAGATCCCCTATACTAGCCACTACAGTATTGGGCATTTTTTTTTCTTTTTTTTGACAACACTCTGCTTGTATAAACGCGTGCTTCCTCTAGTGGCTAACTTATTGTAAGTAGTATATTATGGACTGACTTTAGTGGGTATATCAGATGAGAAACATCGTTAGTTTTTCTTAATATGGTCTTAGTGCTATACCCGACACCTTGGAATGCTACGGTGGGCGAACTTTCACTGGAGCGGTGGTTACCGGAGGCAAAGATCGCTGAATACATAGTCGTCTACACGATAGAGATCAATACTTGGCGGACAATCATCACTTACCACTTACTCTTGACTGCGGAGACACCTCCGTACACTAGCTGGCCAAGAATTGCCACTACAGTTAAAGCCGATAGAGGGGTGACAAGCTCACCGTAGCTTAGCCGTAGCTCCGGTTTCTAATTTGGAAATTCTATGAATCAATTCATATCAGTTAATTCCTTGCTAAGTTAAACTACCTAGTCATTTTAGCACATTGTGCTTAGAGATGTCAAATGTTCCTAGCTTGATTTGAATCGTAATTTGAATCGTGATTTAGTTCACTCGTACACTCTTCAACATATCTCGAAATCATAGCGGAAGGGGTATACTAAACCACCGTTAGCCGAACTCCGTATGCAAACAACGCCCCTAAAACAAAACACAATATGCCTTTCATCCCTCATATTCGCATCTCATACGGGCTCATCAGCTCACCCATGCCCAGTTGCCAACCACTCTTCCGGTGTCCAGTAGTGCCAACTGCTCAAACACGGCAGTACTTAGATCTAGATCTGTAGCCGCACAACCGACACATCGGTCCACTACAGTAACGTCCACGCTCCGGTTCCCCACGCCGGCTTCGACAAAGTCTCTCGCAACTCTGATTTTCATCCCACAAAGCGGATTCGCGTTCGGATCAGACCCTTGGCTCGCGGCATCGAAGATAATGTGAGACACGGAGACAATATCCTCGCCGCTGTTCGACTGTACGCCGCACGCACCCAGAGAAGGTTCGTAGTATGTTAAGTCGCCAGTAAACACGCTCTTGTTGCTCGGCAGAGGCAAGTTTTGCGCCTTGGACGAGCGGCGTGATAAGCCAACACCAAGGCCGATGGCCAGCGGGGTAATGACGAAGAGGAAGATGGCGGCAGGCAGGAGAATGCAGAGAAACAGAAAGCGTCGCGAGCGTCCGAAGTAGGTTCGATGTGGTGGAAGTACCGAATCTAGACGCTTGCGCAACGAAGAAACAAGCTTAGATTTTGTCGTGTTGTTCTCGGCAGTTGAAGAAGCATATGTTGGGAGCGTAGACGCTCGACCAGGCTCTTCTTTGGCTTGCTCAAGGTCCGCGGTTGTTGAGCGTTGAACCGAGACGGATAATGGTTCATCCAGAGCATCCCTCGAAGGAAGGATACGGCCTAACAGGGACTGACGAGGTTTAGGAGGGTGAGTTATCGTCTCCCATTCTGGAAGTTGATAGATCGGCGGAGGTACAGTTGGGGCATCTCCACCATGGTGTGCCATCCTGACAAAAGCATTGATGATCTGGAACGACCTAATAACGAGAGATAGACGAATAACGTGGTCGTGACTCGTGATGCCAAAACGATGGTTTAGCGAAGCCTATCGCGGACTCCCTTTATCATTCTGTTGGGGAATCGAAAAGGATAATATTCGGGCAGAAAACTAAAGAAGCAGGTCGAAGACGATTATAAATGAGGGCATCTTCATCCTCTGTACGAGACGCATTGAGGGGATATCGGACTCGGTGATGTGTTAATATCAAGCTCGTAAGAGTAGATGATAGCACAGAAAATAATGCGAACTAAGAAAGAGAAAGAAAAAAACAAGATGACTTCGAGTAGTTAACGTGAAGTCGAAAACAAGCTTTTGCTTCCTTTTTCTTAACCCTTCTTGTTTTTTTGGCGGGGTTGGGGTTTGGTAGATGATGGAAAGGATGCGGGGAATTGACAGGGCATCTTGTCACAAGTACCGAGAAGAAAAGGTGAAAAGGTACGAATGCAGGGGTGCTCAGTGTACCTGTGTAAGCCTGTAAGCCTGTAAGGGGTATTTGAATCTTTAAAGCAGGGGGGGCACTTCAATTCTCAATCTATCTCAATACAACATCTTTGCATTGTTTGACTTAGATTGGATTCTAGTAGTCTCTTATATACATATACATTAATCTTCCTATTATCTTCGTTTATATAAATTAGAGGCTCGCAAGTCCTGGGTATAGAGATGGATATAAATAGGGGCAGTAATAAGTAGGTAACTATAAGTAAAAGTATCGGACGAGGAATAATTTGCAGCAAAACAATCAATGCCAATACCCCAAGATCACCACACGATTACAATTACAAGGTATAACAAATCCTTTTAACCCTAAGACCGCCGAATCCATAATCCATCGGTATTTGCTGGCCCACCTGCTGGCCTCATAGGTTGATCGGGCGAGATGCTATGGCGGGAATCCGTCATAGGCTGCCGCATACCTGGCATTCCCGAGACAGGGGAATAAGGGCTACCGCTGAGCAGTGGCGTGGCCACCATCCCACTAGAGTTCATGCTTCCCCCCCAAGGCGATTGGTTCTCTAAGCCAACTTGCGGTGGAAAGCTGGCCGTGCTTGCTTCTGCTGACCGGTAGTGCATCGGCTTATATTTTTCTGGAGTCGACTGAGGCACCATGTTGTACCTAGATGGGCCGAGGTACTCGACGGTATCAACTTGCGAGGGCATCTCTTCGTCGCTATGCTTACGGTTATTGTGGTTCGTGCATTTCTCTAAAGGCAGAAAAACCGAGTAAGCATGAGCCAAGAAGACGGCATACAATAAGAAGAGGAAGGATAACATACCACTTATAATCTGAGCGAAGCTAAAGACGATCAACGCGCTAGAAAGTATAGGAACCAGCTGGCCAAAGCTTTTGGCGTCGTTTTCTGGGTTCTGGTTGTTTTGTAGGTAAATCCATCATGACCTATCAACCCATGTTCGAAGTTCGAATATATACCGTGTTGATATGACGGTGACAACATAGCTCAAGATCACGCCAGCTAGAAGATAAATCGTGGATACCCACTGCGAGATCTTCCTTGCGGTTGTTGTTCCGAGGCTACCGCACTTTCGAAATTGATTGCCGACGTGACCTCTCCAGCCGGGTCTGCTTTTGCTGCGTCGAATTAACCTAACCAACTCGGCAATTATGGCGGCCCCGTAGAAGAGAAGGGTCATGATGTATAAATTCCAGCCTTGGATTTTATTGCGTGGTGTCGACTGAGCGATGTTGTCCTTGAAGAAGGCATGGGCACTCAAAATAGTCTCCTTTACTGTATCTAAGGTCGTATGGCTTCCGCCCTGGAAGCAAGCCGCTGGGAGGAAAATGGAGCTGGCAGTCTCATTTGCGTCTGGTACGCCGGTGGGAAATAGCATTTCCATGTCTGCATTCTGGTTGGTCATGAGCAATCCCGTGACTACGAAAACAGCTGTTATCGAGATGACGCGAAGGGCGGCTAGCCATGGAAACCTCCAATAGTTTCGGACGATGGTGACCGATATTAGGTGCGTGGCGCAGGTGAGGAGCATCATATTCGCAACGATGTTATAGTGATAGGCCGAGATCGTACAGCCTCGCCAGTACCGAAGTGTGAGCGCATACGCAGCTCCCGTGAAGACCTGCTGATCGCTGCAAGCAAGGACCAGAGTCTCCAAGATATCAGAGAAACTCGTATAACGCCGTCTCTCTTCCTTCTGCCTGAGAAAGAGGTACGTTAGCTACATCATACGCACCCCTCAAGTTGCAGAAGCCTGTGTTCCTCTTACTTTTCATTATAGGTTGTCTTCCAGCGGAACCTCTTTGATAGTTTCCAAATAATCGACACGGTACCGGTGATTATCGCAAACGAGGTGACGGCAACGAAAACAGCAAGAATCTATATTCGCATAAGCCTCAGCGTATCGCAAGGGTCGGGTACAGAACGCACTCCTATGCCGGCAATATCTGGATCACCAGGAAATTGTCCTTTGGTATAGCTCCCGATTCTTGTAACCGATGCATGGCCCGCGGTGATGCTCCCACCCTCAATAGAGCAATCTGGGGTGACGTTGTAGTTTGCCTGGCAGTCAACAACCGAAATGTATGAGCCCATCGTGCCTAGAAAATATTATGGCAGCGACCGATGATACGAGAGAAGTTGGTTTGAGCGATGCGTTATGGGGGGCATACTCATTTTGGATAGGATATATATTAAATACCTATATAGGGTAACTATTTTGGAACCAACCACTCTCAGCTGGGAGGAATACGCCATGATAAAGTGCGGAAGCCCTATCCTGTGTCAGCTTATCAAGTACTATCTGTAGCTATATTTGGCCCGAGAACGAGACGGTACTTCTATCTAGGGACCATGCACGACATTGTATGCCGTGTAATGTCCTCTCAAAGCCTCGTGCTGGGGAACCGATTTACTGCAGTATTTACGCCGGCGGGCTCTGATGCCATACGGACATGCAATGACGATTCTTCAAGTTAGAAGCTGACTATATTCTTCTCTTGATTGGCGAGGCAGAGAATGATATAACCTACCTAGGTAGAAAAGCAACAAAGGAGGTTGCATTATACCATCAGCGCTTGAGAGTGTGTGAGGCTATGTAGGGGAACAGATCTGTCCCTTGCAGCAAAATAATAGCTAACTTAATTATTCAAGATAAGACGTACGGATTATAGTATCTATAGAAGTATTCTGCACTTGTTGCGGGGGCATGTCGGCATTAAACAGCCAAAAGCCATGTGCTACTGGCAGCACGCATGGTCTAAATATGGAACAAGGCTATGCTGCACACCCAAAGATGGTTCTGCTATTCCCCCGCGTTTGTCGGGACTTTGGGGTTGACATGTGCACGTTTAGATGCGTCCGGATGCCGTCGACATTTGGTGGGAGATAACAGAATCTCTCTCTAAGTACGTCTGTTGTAGATCTTGTAATGAGTAGTAGTGAATATTATCAAGGATGAAAAATGACCCTCAATGGGTGAGATACCTACGACTCGTGGAGGCATACCCGGATTTGATGAGTTGAAAACAAACAGTTCATCGTATCATTCATCCGATGGTTGTTACCGTTCTGCAACCTGATGCGGAAAACATTCCCGTCGCTAAGTATTTTAGACCGGGCCTGATTCTAAATTCCGGCGTTGAACTCGAATTCGGTATCATTTAATAGATGTTTGGGGTGACCGGTCGGAGTGAAGCTGGGACGGACTGAGGTAAGCAGAGTTTCTTTTCGCAGCATATGGTGATGGTAAGCTTAGGGGCTCAATATCGTTAATAGGCGGTGCAAGAAGGTATGGTGTAAGAAAGAGATATTCTAAAACAGTCAATAGCTCAAGTAGATATCGATAGTAAGAGGGTTCGAAAGATATCGGCTTTTATATAAGGTATCTCTACGAAGTACATCTTGGGTAGAATTCGGATAATTTTGTATTGGCCCTGGCAAATTAGTCCTATATGTTGCTACGATAAGTTATTAGTTCAAGCCTCATAAGCACGAATAGAGACACAAGTAGCGAGAAGAATTGAGATAATAGAAACTGAGTTGGCAAGTGTGCTTTTTCGCACCTTAATTGCCAATCCGCCAAATACATGGACGGACGGCAACTCCTCCGTTAGGGGGGAGTATCCAACTACCACTAGAACTGATTAAAGGCATTACAATACAATCGAGTACGTCAAAAGAGAAAAAAGGGGGAAGAATAGGTAAACCCAACCAGCACGCCCATCCCATATCTAATGCACTCCCTTTTCACCCAATGGCCAACATCACAACCCCGTGCCAAGCTCAGGGCACTTAACTTTCTCCTCATGACCGCTCCCACGCAACAATATTATCCAGGAGACCAAGACGGACAGAAAACAACAGCAAAGAATCCCGTCTCCTTTTATCAACTGCCGTGCCCGCCGCCGTATCGTGCTTGCTATAGCTTCCTCAACTCCGCGCTAAGCCAAAATGTCAAAACTCGGGTCCCTTTCCATACCGTCTACCAGCCTAGGTGGCAAGTATATACACACGCAAATGCTGGGGACGGCGAGTTCCCGGAGGCCCCCACTCGTCCTACAAAGCAAAAAAGGGTTGTTTCTAAACGCTAGGACCGCGCCTTGGCGACGAGAATCGAAATGATTAAAGCGAGGCGCTGCCTCTAGGTCGCCGGGACGCCTCGTAGATACCGTATTTACAAGTAACGACAACCGCACCATCTATTGGAGCGGTATGGTTTACTAGGGGGGTATGGGTGCGTACAACCGAAACTTAACACCCTCGCGGTAAAACGCTATGTTTGTATGCAGTTCTGGTATAAGTCCGGCACCGTGCTAGCACCCCTCCATATAACCTAAGAGATGGGCAATTACCATAGCGTAGCTGAACCGGAGAACGAGCCGACGACGAATACGTAGCCCTTATTGACCGATTGCAATAAATGTAATTCGAAGCGAAATAATAATGTATGTACGGCTTACGTACGGTTCAAATAATAAGCGAAGAATGTCGTGTTGGAAACAACAGCGTAAAAGGCGACTAGAAGCGCAACTTGGCTAGGTTAAGGGGCTTAGGCAGATTCGATCATCCCGGACGGAGGGGATCACTGAGGGTAGACCATGTTGAAGTCGAAATCGTCGACGTGCGGTACCTCGTGGTAAGCCGTCATAGGAGTGACGGTTGCAGACGACGAAAGCGCCGAGCTATATTGGTTCATGTGGTCCTGGTGAGTTATCGCCGAAAGATCCGGATTGAAGTTGGGTGACATGGTGGCGGGGGATATGCCATTATTGAAGTTGAAGTCGGCAGACGAGAGCGGCATCCCGTTCATATAGCCGACGTCGGTGTTGACGACTAGATTGCCATAGTTTACTTCGAACACATCGTGGTTCGATACCTTGTGCGGCATGTTAAAATCGGTAGGATACGATTCCATACTCCCGGCTTCAACATCCACAACCTGGTGGGTCATATCTTCGTCGGCGTCATCGTCGTCGTCCTGCTCGTATTTGCTCACCCAGATCTCTTTCATCCAATTCTTCAGCTCGCTCATGGGAGGCCAATCGCCACCGCCCTTACCGCCGCGCTTGTCTTCGTCGCCGCGATTATTGCCGTTGCCCTTGTTTTTCTGCCGTGACGGCTTCTCTTTGAAGTGAGTGCGGCGGAGATGCGCGGCCGCGTTGTAGTACGCGCCATACTTCTTCTGCGCCTTGCAAGCCTTACACTTACTAAGAGGATTGACAGCCGGTATACCTATCGGGAGGCCATGCGCGACTGGATCGACACATATCCATTTCTTAACAGTAGCTTGGTGTTTGGCATCCCTATGACGGCGAAGCTCATGCTCGCCACGGAATCCGTCTTTGTGCTCGTCACACTGCTCGCAATAGACCTTGGGTTGCTTCGGTCGTACGTATTTAGCCTTCGCGATGGCTGTCTTGCCATCCTTCTTAGCACTGGCCTGTGATTCTGCCGGATCCTGCTCCGTGCTCGGTTTGGGCTTCAATGGCGCGTTCAAAGCACGCTGGCACTGCTGCTTTAGCGTATCTTTAGCCCGGGCCTTGAGAGATGAACTTGACCGAGTACTAGCCATGCTTGCACTGGATACCGATCGTTCCATGTCCGACGCCAGGAACGCGTCGGTAGGTGCCGAAGGAGCATATTGATGAGCGAATGGGGGGGCGAGGCTCGACCCTACAGCAATAAGAGCGTCTTCGCTGCAATAAGGTCGCTTCCCTAGCGGCGAATTATCGCCACTGCTGTTATTCTGTTGAGAAGCATCGTGATAATGTACTTCGCCGCCTTGAGACATCTGCGATCCAAGGCTCATCATCCGTACGCCGCCGGACACAGACTGATTATCGAATAAACTATTCTGTCGGGTCATCGGCGCAGTATCATATGTAGGCGCAGTAGTCATCGAACCGCAGACCGACATATTAGTAATATTGAACTGGGGCACGTCAACATCTTGATTCTGCGATGGTACGGATGAACCAAACGATTCTACGGTAGGGGGAGGTTCATCATGGTACGGGTGCTGCGCAAAATAGACTTCGGGGTCAAGCATCACGCCAGTCATAGGCCCTAACTCGGAAAGAGTAGGCATATCATGTCGATGCCTTGACGACTGAGACGGCCGCATAGACTGCGAGTGAGCAAGTGCATATGATGATATAGGTTCGTCTCTATCTACGAAGTCCGTCGTGCTAGCACTTCTCATCTGCATACCGCCGTTGTGAATCCGTGTTTGGGGGGATATCGGAACATTGCCAGTGAAGGGGCCAGCAGATTGAGTGGACATATTCGAACCGACGCGGTCCATCCTCTGCGATGTTGGTGTTTGTTGGGACATGGTTCTGGCACGCTTGATGGCGTGGGCGTTACTGCTGTGTCGATTCTAATAAACGCCCGTCAGTATGGAGCTGACCAGTCACACACGAGGACGTGGTCAGAAGTGATCTTACAGATTGTCGTGCAACACCTTCATGACGATTATACACATGGATGCCATTGCTGCGAGGAACTGTATTACTTCTCGACATGCCATCTTGATGGAAGGGTGTGGCAGGCGTAGCAGTACTCGACAGTTGAAACTCATTATGAACAGCAGAAGCATCAGGTACGTTCGGGCTCGAGGATTGTGTTATTTGCGATTGATAAACAGAATTCTGTAGCTGCGATATTTCTTGCTTCGCTCTGCGAAGATCCTCGTCCTTATTCCTCATCGCCTCCTGATGTGCGACATCCTTCTGCTGCAGCAGAGCCCGGAGCTTCTTAATCTCAAGATCCGGAGCTGAGCAATGACTCATGATGCTAAGATCCGGTTCGCACGAAGAGTGGTCAATGATGGTGGATAAATTCAACGATGCTGAAAGGAAGGGAGTAGACGAGGCGAAATTGACCGCCTAGAACGCTTCACTCTTCCTTCTCCCCCTTTTCACACTAATACAAACAGCCTCGCTGGGTAGACCCTCGACGAGAGAGAGCCCGACAAGGATGATTGATGCTATGTTTGTCTCGTCGACACGAGATCTATTAGGCGAGAACAATACCTATTGACGGGCTGAAATCCGATCTGGGAAAAGTATGGGGAAAAAGGAAGGACGAAACACAGACTCGGATACCCAAAGACCAGAAAACCAAAAGGACGTTGCTTAATTATGTACCAGTCAGTCAAGACGAGGCTTTGGACCATGCGCGGCAGCGGGTCTGTAATCCTCGCCCGCTCTCTCCCACGCACGATACGCTTGCCCAATCTGCATGTACCGGTATGTAGGTATGTAGATATGTAGGTATTTAATTTACGAGGATCCCGCGGGCTTAGATCGACTCTTGGCCTTGCAACCTGGCCGGGTTTGGCTCCAAACCCTTGCAACGTTGAATGGATGCCAAACAAGCTAGCGTCCCAGGAACTTGTGTGATTTGACAGGGCGCTTGGGGACTAGAGCGATGTCAGTCGATACTAGCTCGCTGGGGAGGGATTTCCGGAGGGTATGATGGACCGTCGTGGCCTGTAAGACTACTTTGATCTTGGACTTTTCGAGACGTGCTGACAGGGCCGATGGGAAACTTGCACCATCCGGATCGTCTCGTTCTGCAGAATACGACAGCGCCTGGCTAACTGGCTAACTAACAAACATGTACGTACAATGCTGCAAGTACTGACGGTCTCGATGTGATGTAACCTTGCAAAATGCAGAGCGAGTTCAACGCTGGAACCTCTGCTACGGGATCTTACAGGTCAGTTTTGCCAGCACCCTTACAGGGGGGACCCCTCGCCCGAGTGACGCAGTCAGCCAATTCAGCGATCGACCATTTTTGCTATTACATATTGCACCCAACACGGTTGTTTCTGCAAACTCATCAAGGCAACAGACGGGAGTCTGGTGTTAAAGAAACACGTAGGCAGGGTACTGTAAGCAGCAGTGTATGACATGTTACCGAGCCATGCTACCGTAACTAGCACATGTGATTGCAATTTACTGAAAATTATCGGAATCCAAAAGTGTCATAGTAGGTGAAGCGGGTAGTTAGTGTAGATAGGTAAGTGGTAGCTTTGCTTAGATACATCGTCTAACGAGTAGCTAAGATTGTAGCGCCGTTGTCAGTTCCAATTTTTGTAATGACGACTTGTCGAATTCGGTATTCGAGAGGGGACTAAGGTCCACTTGGATCTCTATGTAGATGATAATAAATAGCAGACGGGCTAAGACTAGGTCCAGCTAAGACGATGGAGGATGGAGGAAATGTGAATCCCATCTCTCAAAGCATTGGCAAATCCTCGGAGCCCGATGGTCCTCATTGTAGTGTAAGGCCTGACTGCATAGGTAGGGGTAGGAGAATAAGTTGTTGCAATTTTGCATATTTCGTAGAATGTCGACAACGTGAAAATATCGATTCTCTGAATGTTCTCTCTAAGTGTTCGGACGCCTTTCCGGATCTTTCTCGTTTCGCTGTGAAGCCACGCATGCACACACCTGGTCATGCATGTTTCCCTTATCCGTTCTCTGTTCATCGTCATCCAAAACGTGGGGTTGCATACAGAGATGGGTAGAGAATAACTCATACCAACTAGTATATTAAGTACTACCCAAGTCAGTACCCAGGTATGGAGAACTAGGAGATAGAATCTCGCCGGTTGCATCTTGCATTTCGATAGGATCGACTTATCGGGTCGGTCGTGCGTAAGCTGTGTACATATCCGTATATAGTAGAGTGCTACATACATACAAAACATAGTATAAGTGTATGTATGTACGTACGTACGAATAGAACGGCTGCTCCTCTCGCTTAAGGGAATCTTGCTTATTGCGGACCACTTGAAAGTCATTCATCTCTTTTTTCCCCCCGGGCGCCCATAAGCGCAGCACGGGGGAAAAAGAAATACCAAAGATGGAAGAGCTGGACCACGCATCGGTCTGCAAGGGAGAACCTCGTGCCCACCGTCCAAGGAGTCAAGGACAGATGCATGCAATAGCTTGCATATCCTAGTTGCCAATGTTTGCCTTGTTTTCGACGAATTTGGTATTCATTGGGTCTCAATGAGTCAAGTGGATTGCTCAAGAGTGAGGCGACCATCCCCGCGACCCCTTTGAGTGGCTGATGATTCTTTAAGCGGACCAGATCCCTGGCGGCCGACGGTGGGCCGCGCACCAGGACATGTCCTGACATGTCAGAGCATGTACGTACATCGTACATTATTATATTGAAGCATTAAGATTGGATGTATGCAGAATACCACTAGCAACACATCGCTGGCTGTGGCTGTTGTTGCCTTACTACGAGGCTTTGCAGCATATGAAACTATGAATGCTATGGAATGAGTAGTTATTGGATAATGGAGAAACGTGCGTCCTATTCGATTTGATATCGGCCCAATCTTGGTGCTCACTTGCTCAGAGATATTCGCAGATCCATCTGGTCTTAGACGAGCGGCTGCCGGCGGATATTGTATGGTACGCAAAGATGTTGAACGCCCAGTGCACACACACTTTTGTTTATTCGGCTGACCGCCCGTCTATGCATGCACGGCCATGCTTCCCATGCTTCCAATGCATAGAACAATGGATTGGATGTAATCGGGCTGCGAAAATTGCAGTCGGTAAGCTCTCGCAGCGCGCGTTCGTAGCCGCCACGTTCAAGCCCATCCGAGTTCAGTAAGTTGTTAAGGAGGTCAAGAATGATGACGTTGGGGATTCAACTGATTCTCCTGGATCCCTACTACGCTTCTCGCATGTATCTCAATAGATGAACATATCTCGATGTATGTAAGATGTAAGATGGTGATTTCAGATATACTATTTTCGTCCGCTCAGTCGACATATCATATCTAATACCCAGGGATAAGTCCTAATGTTCAACCATCACGTCACCGCCGCCGCTTCGTAAAATTAAATTTCAGTGGCTTGGCATCCGTTGCAATATGACTTCCGACGATGTCTAACGATGATGTATTATTGGTGCTTCAAGCCATATGCGACAAAAAATGTGTTCCGGGCATCATGTCGTCGTCATCCGTCGGATAACAGATCATTGCGGAATTGACGTAAGGAAGTAGGACGAGAACGTGCTTTGCTGTGATGCGGGAGATTAGATCGTGCTTCCGGTGCTTATTGCCTGGATCTCTCTCCAATATGTAGTGTGACATGCCTAAGAGGTCGATGCTAACCAGTGGTTTACGGATAGACGCCGGCGGTGGTAGTGGTGGGATTTGTGCGCTTACTGCTTTACTCGTGGAGTCTTGGAGGGATGGAAGGATGGAGGGAAGAGCGAAATCTCTTGCTAACAAAGCCGCATCCAATGTCCCAGGTGTTTACATAGATGGTCCAGATGGTCCAGGGCTGCAATGTGGCAGATTGTCGATCAAAGCTCTACATTGCCGGCAGTTCTCCGCAAACTGACGGGTAGACCGAGAGATGTGGATCTCTAATCCGGAGCAACCCGGCGGCATGCTCGGTGACAAGGAGATAGGCACGCATTCCACGAACCGAGCAAGAGTCCTGTTATAGAAGGTAATAGCCTGGACATATCTCGGGGATTGCTGAGAAGCAATGCTACGGGGTGGGGGTGATGATCGTCTATAAGAGACTATCTTTACACTAAGGGGGATTGACCTTATGCGAACGAAAGTCGAGACGTGATGCGAGGATGAGAACGTATGTACATATTAACGAGACAGACTTCGATCTTATCTCTAAGTGGTCTAGCGACTTTTGTCTGATTTGAATATCGGATGTCAAAAATTACAAAAATTAAAACATGCAGTGGGTAAAATGAATAATGTGGGACCTATCGCATATATGATGTACGATGTCTGAATGTATCCTCGTACTATTGTAATGTAACACAGACTCGCTAGCTGCCGACCGGCTTGTTTCAAGAAAACAAAACGAAGGATGTTCGGCAAATCATCGGGTAATGTAGCAATTACCTTAGGTAACCTTATGTAAGATGGACCTTATGTAAGCTATCATTATCGGCTTTTGCGGATCAGATAATGCCGTCTTCCATCGGCCACCTTGTCATTATGTAGGTAACCCGAAGCGCAACCGCCGGCGCATCTACGATTACTACAATTACCCATACCAATACCAATACCAATACTAATACAACACCACGTATACAACTTCAACGCAGACTTACAATTACAGCGATTGTGTCCATGTGAGATATCCCCAGACAAAGCGGCATCATGTGCCGTCAAAACTTGCTACTCCTCTTAGGCGGCTTGCTGGGGTTAAGCCAGGCTCGCCAGCCAGGATTCAGCATCCACCACGATCTTCTAGCATATCCTCAGGTATGTTACATGTCTATACACATAATCATATATACAGATATATGCAGATATGATACATATATATAATATAAATGCCTACCTACATAGGTAGACATAGTCGCAGTCTACCCTCTCAGCTACCACACCACCGCATCTAACTAATACGTACGTCGCCAGTTCGAGGTAGTCTTCTCCGAATCATACATATCAGAAACCGATGCGCAGGCCTTAGTTGAAAAGGCTAGCCCCTCTCCCACCAACTATGACGCCAACTTGCCAGGCCAGACCGATATAATATCTAATATACAACCTGCTAAGGATGGGGCCGACGCTGATAGCAGTATCGGTGACAGCGACCGAAATCTCGCCGAGTCCTACGAGATCATGACTGCTCCTCCCCATCGCTACCTATGTGCCATACCGGTTATTGAATCTCCTCCCGCACCTAACAAGACAGCCACTGAGCTAGCCAAGGCCGAGGAGGCCCGCGAACTCGCAAGAGCTTCGGCTCACGGTTGGGATCTCATCAACGGTCTTGACGGCAACTGTCTTTACTATATGTCTGGTTGGTGGAGCTATAGCTTTTGCTACGGCCGTGACGTTGTGCAATTTCATGCGCTTCCCGCCAGCGTCAAGAGCGGTCCCCCCATGAGAGACCCCAATACTGCAGAATACGTCCTTGGAAGAGTTCCTGCTCCGCACTCCACTACACGCTCTTCGCGCCGCGGACAACCTGTACCCGCGGGTGACAAGGGGCAGGCTGCTACGACACCGCCGAATACAGAACTCCAGGTCAAGGGCGACCAGCGGTATTTGGTTCAGAAAATGGCGGACGGCACTATATGTGATCTGACTGGTCGAGAACGGACGATCGAAATACAATACCATTGCAGTCCAGGCAGCACCCAGGATCGTATTGGTTGGATCAAAGAGGTGACAACATGCGCATACCTTATGGTAGTCCATACCCCTCGTCTGTGCGTAGACGTTGCTTTCCAGCCACCCAAGGAGGAGAAGGCGAATATTATTAGCTGTCGCACCATCGTGTCGCAAGCAGAGGAGGCAGATTGGCACGCGCAAAAGACGCTGGAAGCTCAGTCGGCTATGGTAGGCCAAGCCAAAGGAGAGGCGAAAGCTCCCATCACTATTGGTGGAATCGTGGTTGGAGGGCGGCAGATGCTCGGACGGGGCGAAGACGGAAAGGCTGCACATCAGCTAGCTCCTCCACGAAACTTCCGAAGTTCGAACATCCCTTCTTTAATCGAGGTGGTGGCCAAGGGGGCCAGCAAAGAGGAAGGTAGTAAGGTCGAAATACTCACTGACGAGGAACTAGCTAAGCTAGATCTCAACCCCGAGATGATCGAGGAACTGAGGAAAGAGCTGCAAAAGCTAGCAGGAGATAGGGGCTGGAAACTCGAGGTTGTCGAAGTTCCAGGGGACGGCCGGGAGATTCACAGTGTGGTTGATACCGACGAAGTTAAGAAATCCGATGATGATGACGAAAACAAGGAAGCAGGCAGCGAGGAGAAATTCTTCAAGGAGGAGTTGTGAAATACTGGTTATTGGCATAGCAAACGGCGTTACGTAGGTAGGATTAATCATATTCATCTTCAGCATCCCGAAACAGGACCGTTGACCACACGAGATATCCCACCATATATCGTATTTGATCCTTACCGGTTACGTTATGTTAGTCGTATCGATGCCTCTTGGGTTGCACCACATCTCAGTTGGTTATCTACCTCTAACGGGGACACAAATACATCATCCACGGCAGGCTAGCAATACACACTGATACGTGACACAACTAATACTTGATACTTACCGGTCCTGCTACCCTCAAGACGGGTCTACTGAGACTAGGTGGGACTCTGTCAGCACGGAGAGGGCGTACAAGCAGGCACAAGCAAAGCTGGTTGGAAATAATCATTCGTTCCGTAGTCTTGGGAAGTTGGCGTTTGCAGTCCGGGGGGGTTATGGGAGGCAACATAGATCGCCGGGGTGCGGTAGCAGTTATGCGGTGGGCGGGTGTAGGCTAATGGCATCATTTATCAGCTTCTGTGTCCCTACTAATAGCTGGTATGTTGCCTATTCGTGTGATTCAAGTGGCACAATACATAGATGGAACGCGGAGGGAGTAATGATGTCGCAAGGTCAAATATAAAGCCTACGTGAAAATAGTCCTAGCTTATGTTATTTACTACGTGTTAGCTGAAAGCAATCCTCTTGTCGAATTTGTAGTGTCTCGTTAGAAACTCTAGGAATTGGAAGTACGACGGACTAGTTAAAAGACATATATTATATTAGGTACCTAAGTAAGTAGTTAAGCTCAAGCCTACGATCCCGCCCATTCAGAGTCAGAGTCAGAGTGGCTAGATTAATACATCCTCCTAAAATGAGGAATAGATAGAAGTATACTTCCTCGATTCAGTTGCTCGATCTGCTCGTCACTTAATAATTCGAACGAGTAGGAAGCTTCTTCGTAAGATTTCGCCATTACGTTATTACATTAATGAAATATCTAAGCGTATATAATTGGCAATCTAACTAATTTGTGATGAGGCTAATATACCATACCTTATAAGACATACGGTCGGTATTAGGTAGTAGTCAACCACCTGTCCAGTTGATAAGAGAACAGCGTCGATCGTTGGATGCTTCTCTATTGCTATCGAATCCCCCAAAACGTGTAGCATTTTCCCAGAATATGACGAATGGCCTCAAAGGCCAAGTGAGGTCTTAAGATTATAGTTATCGGTAGACTCCTGGCCAATAGATGTACTGTGGGTGTAGGGACAGGATATCGATTCATGCAGCCGGAAATCAAATCAACGATCCACCATGTTCACTTGATTCAATGATGGCATATCAACATCTACGATATTTCGACCCACACTCCACGATATGCTCTCGTCATGCATCGCCAATAGGATACATCTAGAGTGAGTAGAAATCTTGAAAGCAGATTGCCACGTCGCCCCTATAAGCTTTGTAATACCCTTCTGCGACCAATATGCCCGATGGTGGGAGTATTGGAACTTGCATGCTGTTTGTTATTAGCTTGGCAGCTGGACCACGTAAGTTTTGACGCTGGGGATTGGACGTATAAGCTAAAGGTTGAGTAATCGAGTTTTGTCAGTTATGCTATTGGTGTTTAGGTCATCCTTTATCCCTTCATTACTCTTGGATGCCAATCTTATATTCATATACTGAGTAACTCGTAGTCCTTGATAGCTATGGATAGTGCGAGGAGCTGAATTTGACGGACTAATTATCCTTGGGGAGTCTATGCTATCACGACCTGTTTAGTACAAGTAAAAAGAATCAGAGTATATTACATAGGCAGTCAGGTAGTGTGTAGATTTAGTATATAGAGAAGCTTGCCCGGCTCATTTATGGGCAGGTTACGGCATAAGGAGATTTTAAGGAGAAGTGTAACACGATCACATTCATATCTAACTTACGATGATGATACCGAAACGGTGACAACTTAGGGGTTCCGCTAATGACGACATCTAGAATTTACAGGTCCCACTAGGTGGACTTTTATCTCCAGTAGTATGTACATAATAGATAGGGCTCGCGCCATCGTGGGGAAGTGCATCGAATGGATACCTAGGTAATCTGTAGAATGGGTTCCTTTACGATCTACCGAAACTTGAGGACATATCTGCTTAATGATCTTTTATTTTACCGACATGAGTTTAGAAAAACGGTAGGCAAAGTCTCCTTTCCATATCCTTGCTTGTAAAGTACCTAAGGTTGTCTTCTTAGTTCTTACAAACATGAGGCGCTCGGCACAGGGGCTTCGAACAGTGATGATCCAATGGTGTTGAATGTCACATCACTGTGGGAAAGAAAGAAATAAAAAAGCCCACTGTAACTGTCGGAAACGATCACTTTTAAACTACCCTGTACGAACCCTGTGAAAATGTCCTGCTTCGACCAATCACAGTCTTTCCCAGCATTATGGAAGCCAGGTTTACTGCGTACCTAGTTCCGGCTCACGGCGGGCTGTAACCAAAATCGACCCAGGGCTCTTTACTAGGGTTAAGTTAATTGGTTAGAATACATATCGAAATCGGCATGCTTTTCCAGCAGTTCCAGCCAGCCCAGCATAAACCGTCAGCTTACGGTGGCATATTAGTGCGCAACCGACAAAACAAAAAAGCGGATGAAAATTCGTCCGACTTGGCACTCGCACTATAATTACAGCACCTACATACGCTAAAGCTCCCTATAAATACAGGGCATTACAGTGGTGCATTCGCTAGAATTATAGTGTTTGAAAAAAGTCTCCGAGGTTATGTAATATTCGGGCCACCCTTCCCACTAAAATCTAGATTTGGCCAATCAGATTAAAGGATTTAATTATCAATCCAATTTTCAATTGCCTTATACATTACACATTCAGATAACTTTATAAAGACAACAATTCAGACATTATAATTGGTATCATTTTATAGTCTTAATTGATGCGAAAATAATGATTTAAGTTGCATTTGAATCGGCCTTTTGGCTGTTGTGTTAAAGTAAAATCAAATAGCGCTTGTCTGGGAAGGCAAACACGTGATACCCTTTAAAAGCACCTCGATAAAGTCATTCCAACCAGACTCCAGATACTTTAATAGCAATATAATACTCAATACATATCGCATAAACATGCAATTTGGTCCATTATTTTCGCATCAATTAAAGCTATAAAATGATGCCAATTATAATCTCTGAATTGTTGTTTTTGTAAAGTTATTTAAATGTGTTGTGTGTTATGTGTATAAGGCAATTACAGTGGATTTAGTGGTTTTTTTAAAAAGTTGAATTAAAGTTTTTTTGCAGCTGCTTGCAGCTGGTTAAATGTCAGCCAATTAAAATCCTCGATTTACAAGCCTTATAATTATAGCGTATTGCTCACTGTAATGCCCTGTATTTATAGGGTGTTTAATGGGTAAGTGCGCTATAATTATAGCGCTTACGCCAGCCAATCGGACGAATTTTCATCCGTTTTTTTGTTTTGTCGGTTGCGCACTAATGGTGCACCGTAGTCAGCTGCTAATATTTAATATTTGAGCTAGCTCCTTGTTCCTAGCATAACCTTTAAACGGGCCTTAGCTACTTGTAGTAATGATAACCCTTGATATGCAGGTCCCCCCTTAGACATATGCATTAGCTTGAAGAGATCCCGACGCGAAGGGACCAAACGGGGTTCTTAGATGCATCATTCAGCATTCCCTAGAGGGGAACTACTCTTAAGGTACGGAGATGAAGCAAGAGTCTCCCCAGTAGCTTAGTAGCCTAGGTAGCTATCGATAGCTTTTAGGGAAGAAATTAGTGCATGCTCTCTCTGATTTCTCTTTCTAATTCCCATGATCCCATCCTATCGTCGTGAGCTTCGTCACACCCCTTTGAGAGATCCTCATCCTATAATCGCCCGGGTGATAGAAATTGTATGCCTTCTTTATGTCTATTACCCCGGATACCTTGTGAGCATTTTGACCAGCCTTTTATTTAATTCAATTCATTATCATTGTTTTCTCCGGCATCAATTCCATTCTTATTGATTCTTCTAACGAGTCAACTATGCGCCTATTTCCCTGAGACACAACAACCTCTCTTATCTCGACATATTCTTCTACTGGTGTGACAACAAATCCCGAGTTCTCTGTCTATTTGAAATACCTTTGTAAACGCTGTTTTTTATGTAAGCTGTGGTTCTAGGTTGAAGCAGCTTTATTATTCCAAGCTCTTGCAGCTGAAAATCATCTTCTACACTGCGCAGTTGTGGAGCAACAGCAATTCAACGGTTATTATTAGCATAACAAAAACATTGGTAGAGATTTAGATCTACCAATTACTTACAAATTGCGAACTACAAATACCCAATTGCTGACCTGCCAACGATAGAACGGTCCTAGCAAACCCGGTTATAACTTATAATTTATAAGTTATCGCGTTAAGACGCTCAAGCCGCTGAGCTGCTCGAATGCTGATGACGCCTCTTATCCTAGGCCCTTGAGCGCCTCGATTCTCCATACATCGTATGAAGTACATTGTCCATCATACTGTACATTATTCAAAGTTCCATCTCGATATTGAATCTTTCAATTCCTTAAACAGACAAATACCGTGCTTCAATCCCCGCCTTCGACCGCATATCTTACGAATCGAATCGCCTCGTTATCTACCAGAAGCTCATCGTCTTAGTTATTACATGATCGCTACTTCGTACTTCTAATTTTGCTTGCTCTTTTCCTACGCGGTCGGACGAGGTTATTCCAAGCGATAGGGTCGCCAATTGTTTTTGTCGCCCTTACTATCACCAGACCTTCCTCAGCAAAGAGTACGTGACAATATTACAATATTGTTCGTTATGGATGGTAGCGGAAGTCAGAAGGAATCACGCGAGCGTTTGTACCCTCGCGCACCTTCACGAGCTAGTAGTGCCAGCACCGCGAACACCCAGATGACGTCCAAAAGTACAAACAGCACCTCTTCGTACCCACGGGAAACTTCGATACATAAATATCACCATAGCAGAAGCTCAATAGGTACTCGACCTATGTCCCGATTATCCAGGGAATCTAGTAATGAGCTACGGGAACCGACAGCGTCTGCCTCTACTTTTCTGCAAGAACGGTTACAACGGGAGAGAAACGAAAGACATGCAAGCAAACTAAGCACCGACTTGAGCGCTTCTACCGGCGATATCCGGGATAGAGATGTGCAGAACTCACCTATTAAGAGAAGTGCTACCTCTGTGGGACGACGACAATGGTCGGATAATGGCGACGAAGTGGCCAAAGATGCAGGGATGGGGGCAAGGCAAATGGAACAGGTACGAAAATTTCACAATAACATGCGCTTTTCTAGCAAGTTAAACTCGGCAGCTGACTCAAGCGGGAAGACCTTGTCAACACTGCATAAACAGAATTTCGATCTCAAGCTGGAGCTATACCATCGACGAGAGAAGCAGACAGTGTTAGAAGAGAGAGTTGAGAAACTTGAGTCTCAACACAGAGAGATGATAGACCTTCATGAAGACATCATCCGCGAGCTGGACATGAAGGATGACGCCCTCGCCGAGGCCGTTACACTAATAGTGGAACTAGAAACTCGGATCGACGAGTTGGTTCGAGAAAGAGAGATGGTTAGACGAGTCGAGGCGGACGGCTCGTACCGCCATTCTTCACCGGATCAATCTAATATTGAATCTACCACGACCATTACCGCCCCCGTAGCTACTGTCCCCAAGGTAGTAAACCTCAGCGTGCCGCGTTTGACCGCACATGTGAATAGCCTCGGGCGAGTACCTAGTTTCCTTTCCGAGCACAGCCAACAGACTGAGAATCTGCGCAACGCGGTCTTAAGAGGACGAACTAGTGCAATGCATATGCGCAAAATTTCCGAGTCAAGTGCTGATCCTAGCGAGATTAATCGTATCGCTAGTCCTAATCTCAGTGTACTCAGCGAGAGTTCCTTTGTTAGCATATACGGCGCCAAGGATACAGGCGACAGGGTAGGTTTACAGCCACCGGCAGATGTGGTAGGAATGGATGGTAGCTATTGCGACCGTTCCCCGACGCCAACGATGAAGATGAATGACGAGAGTCGAGGCGGCCAAAAGAGCGCAATTTCAAGTCAGATGTCTACGGGCTCCCCCGGTACACCAGGCGGAGGCGTTAGATTATCGACTCGTGCGCGGCCTATAAACAATGTTATCAGCCTGACTTCACCCTTACAGGAGATTGAGCGACTTGACAAGCAAATGACGGTCGGCAACGATATTTCTAGGCAATATATGCCCAACCGCAGTCGAGGTGCTGCAACTCCGACTCTTGCGAAGCCCTCTATGAATCCACCCCAGCAGGGCAAGACAAAACAGGAGAAGAGAGAGGCTTTAGAAAAAGTTCTAACTAATTATCCCACATATAGGGACTTCTCAAATCCTCAAGCCTTTCCTCCCACCCCTGATACCGTCTCGTCATCGACGCTTCGAAACCAGCAGAATTTTACCGGCTCTCAAGATAGTCTTACAAAGCAAACAAGAGGTGTCCCTGGTAATGGCATCATGTCTGTTTACGATAGAATTGGTGCCTTTGGTAGAGAACTTCCTTACCTGCCGTCCTCGAATCAGCATGGACCGACCACAGTACTCGCCAGTCATAGGCAAATGCCAATGCCGACTATTAACACCAATACGTTCTCTGACCTTACCCAGCTTGCACGATCTCTTCCACCACGACCTCACTCGTCAGCCGAAACAACAAGTTCCCGTGCTAGGGCTGCTAGTTTAGGGTCGGATTCAGACTCGGATGGTGGCGCAGATGCCCGTTCCGAAACTGATAACTTTGATTACTGGATGAGGGAGAGCATGAAGCCAAACATATATCAAGCCGGCTCGTCAGAACAGCGCGGAAGCGGTCGTTCTGCATCTCCTGATCTCTTCTCTTTCCCTGCCGACGCGAGAGGCTGGGAAACGGACGCTATCTTTGGAACTCTAAAAGGTAGTGGTTATCTTGGTTCACCGGTGTCGGCATTGAAACGTGACCCCATCGATGAGATGGCCAGCTCATTGCAAACATCGCAAACAGAAATATTTGAGCCTTCAGTGATGGGATCCGCACCGCCTACTCCGGATCGACGATCGAGTTTGCATGCTCGCACCGGTAGCACTAACGCAATACCTTCATCCGGCGGGATGTTTAAGAAGCATCCTGCTATAGGTTTAGCAACGGCGTGGATAGACGGGAGAGGTAGGAGTGGTAGTATAGACTCTGCCGCACCCGCGTTATCCACCAGAGCACAGTTCCAACAGCAAGGAATAACGACGCCGGGAAAGCGAAATCATTACCCTCCAATTTCTGGACAGACGTCTAAGGGACGGGGGCTAGGTCTTAACTCGTTCTTTAGAAAATCCGGCTCTGATAACTTCAGCGCCCCGTCTACCGCAACCGAGGCAAATTTCCCTCTTCCAACTCCGGCTCAGTTATCGGCAATACCACCAGCGATGAGGTCTGTAAGGCCTTCAGGAAGAAACAGCGTCCCGCCGCCGCCGACTATGCCCTGGCGTGCTCCGGGTATTGTTGAAGACGATCTTCAGAGCGCGACACCTCCCCCAATCATGCGTAGCCGCGGTATGTCGCTCCTCTCAGGAACTAGCAGTACACCGCAACAGCAAGCTGCTGAGATATCGCGTCCAAGCACACCAACGACGGTGGTTCAAGCGAACGCGACGGCTACCGGAGCACAGGGAGGTGGTATGAGGAAATGGTTGGGTCTCGGGAGAATAGGAAACTCAAAGACGAAGATGGGCTGAGAAGGCCCTTTATGGTGGGAGTTGTGACGCTAACGAGACCCCGTGATAGAAGTCAACGCCAATAGGTCAGTGCAAACTGGAGCATTGGGTTGGAACAGAATCGAAGTAATAGATATTATGTTGGTATACAGAGTCTGCGGAAGCACGGAATATCGCTTCTCGCATTCTCTGTACTGTAGCATTCATGTACGAGTATTATGTATGATTCTGGAGTGTAATGAAATTTGTACGGCGTTACGGCATAAATAAAAGAAAGGAGGGGGGGTATTTGGAATCCCAGGACCTTCGAGATATCAGGTAGTAGAGAAGACGGGTCAGGCCTGTCCATGAGGATACCCAGGGAACGGTGGACAGGAAACAGGAGATGGTAATGAGAGTACCTCGTATTAGATGAGTGTAATTATTATATTATTATTGTGAATTGATGCCCACGAATACGATTACATGCTTAGGTACATTTACCTGGACTTTCAGTGGCAGAGGAATTGTTTGTAAGGCTTCATGAGAATAAGTGGTAGGGGTATAGTACCGTCACTCGCCGCGGTCTGAGCTCAACCCGTGAGATCGGCCTGTAAGCAACGCCGCTGGTCTAGCCCAAGGGTACGAATCCTCGAAGTACATACTGTGGTAATTGTAATAAAAAGGGGTCCCTTGGGTTACTGGGGTTTTCTTTGACATCATGTACCTTAGTATTCAGCTGTCTCATTTCGCAGAACATTACATACAGTTTCAATCGCACTATTATCGTCCAATTCGTTTTTATTTGTCACTTTCACTCACTTAAACGGATGTTCATATAACGCAACGAACGTTAATAACAAATCTAAACGGCTAAGGCGGAAAAGAATTAAGAGACTACGGCTTGCATCGGATTACTGTTTAACTGCCCTATAGGCTATCATTGCTACGTTACCCGAAGCTCCGCTATCATGGCCAAGGCCGCCGTCAAATCCGAAGCGGATAGCGTAGTAGAACATCCCACCCTCCGACGCAGCTCGAGGAATACTGGTAAGAAAGGCGGAGATGTACCAATCAAACGAGAAGATCTACCTGCGAGTGTTGCTACGTCTGCGTCGGTCTGGCAAAGGAAGAGGGTCAGGCCGAAAGACGAGGATGAGGATGAGGATGAGACAAGCGAAGCTAAGCCTTTGACGAAGAAGAAAAAGAAGACTACATCGCCTTTATCTAACTTCACTACACGGGTCAAGGCCGAATCACCTAGCCCGGGAAAAGAGGTTGCGAGCAGAGGAAAGAAGGAGAAGAGTCAAGAGAGTAGAGGGAATAAAGGAGCCGACCTCCGGGCGAAGAAACTAAAATCCTACGCGCAATTCGCCAATAAGTCACCATACCCGGACTTCCCGCGGCCGACGCCCGAGGAGTGTCAGCGCGCATACGATGTTCTTGCGAAGATGCATGGGGAGCGGAAGCGGCCCGAGAAGGTATTAAGCGCGCCAGCCGACAGGGCCGGTTGTGGCGATGCGCCGTCGGTTCTCGATGCGCTGGTGCGCACCATCCTGTCGCAGAACACGAGCAACAAGAATAGCACGCGCGCCAAGCTAGACATGGACGAGGTATACGGCAGCGGAGATTCCGAGGAGCGCTGGGCTGCGATCGCAGCTGGCGGTCCTGCGAAACTCGAGAAGGCTATTGCTAGAGGTGGTCTAGGAGGCGTCAAGAGCCGCGTCATCGTGGAGATTTTAAACCAGGTTAAGCAACGTTATGGCAAGTACTCGCTAGACCACCTGCTCCGGCTCGAGGCTGGAGGAGACGACGAGGAGGCTATGCGCGAACTCATCTCGTTCCGTGGCGTAGGGCCTAAGACTGCGAGTTGCGTGCTGCTGTTCTGCGTGGGGCGCGCCAGCTTCGCCGTCGACACGCACGTTCACCGACTGACCGGTATGATGGGGTGGCGCCCGACGTCGGCGTCTCGTGACGAGGCGTTTGCGCATCTCGATGCGAGGGTGCCTGACGCGCTTAAGTACGGCTTACATGTTCTGCTTATCGAACACGGACGCACGTGTCCTGAGTGCAAGGCTGGCGGGAAGGGGTCGGGCCGGTGCGAGCTCAGAAGGACATTTGGACGTAAAGGTGGTGGCGGGGAGGCCAAGGAGGATGCCGAGGAGGAGGAAGGAATGGTCCGGATTAAGAACGGTATCAGTGACGAAGATGACGATGGAAGAACATGACGAGCTTAGACTTATTCTTACTTCCTCCGAGCTATTCATCCTTCGTCTCCATCTCATATATCTGTTTCCAGGTAGATTAAACTAGATATTCGTTTCTAAAACTACCTTTAGTTTAGATACTAATCGTATTGGATAGACTATGTATCGTTCGGTGTTTGAAATATCTTCCTCGACAAGGTCGTTTCGTTGCCTGAGAGGATTCAAGATACTGTGGATAGTTATTATGTTTGGTCTGGTCAGGAAGACAAAACCGGCTGGCCCCATACGAGCATCTGTGATGGGATAGCTGTTCAACCAGTTCGGATGATGCCTTCTCTACTCTACCTTCTTATCTCCTAAGGCGGCATTCTGCGGGCTTCTGCGGCACTTGATATTAGCATTGGCATTAGCAACCAATATATTCATATGGCACCTCCGCATTGACCTTAGCATGTGATGTGTCTGACATCCTACGATTCCGATCTACGACTCCGATCTCCGATTCCGTAACCTTGGTGGTTGAACTTCTACGGTCATCTGCTTATCTACATGAAAGCAGCACCTTACGTACGGAGAACTCTACGCCCTGTCTCGCTAATATACTAGTATGTGCGGCCGCTAGCGGGCTACGCAAATCTCGGTGAGCATCTTACACTTGCCAGTGACCCCTGCGTACACTCAAGGTATGATAAGTGTTGCCGCCTCAGAGCCGGTTGCCATGAGGTCAACTGTGCCAAGAGTAGATATATATCTTTCATCTGTGGAATCGCGTTCTAGAGCCGGCAGGTCTCCATTATTTTCTACAAGGCTACCTAAATATAAAACAAGTGTCTTTAAGAGCATATGGTATCCATCTTATAAAGGACTGCTAAAAGAGAAGTTCAGGGCACGTAGTTTCCATCGCCTACGATAAATATACGACGGGAAGAACTTTGTTTAGACTCTTTTACGGAATCCCGGGATTCATACAGGCTGCTAGACTAGTTGAAGAACGTACTACGACCCCGTATTTGAAAGTACGGCTCGGAGAGCAAGGGGGCTAGGGGCTAGGGGGGAGAGGGGAGAGGGAAGTACCATAAGTCTCCCGAGCAAGATGTGACTCGAGGTATTTAACAGAAGGAGGCGACTGGCGTCCTGAAGAAGACTCAAAAGGAAAAGGCTTGATCCCTACCTAGGTTAGTACCTAATATAAATGGGCTAGGTAAGATCTATTAGATCTGATTCTCCACTCGGCACACGAGATTCCTAACGTTACCTTATTATAATATGATAAAACTTGTTCAGATCCTCGCCGTTGGGTTCCAACGATTAATCTTTATCGAATGAACCAATTGCATGAAATCAATAACAGGGTAAACCATGGATTCTGGTCTCATTCGTGGGGCGCTGCATTTTACGCGAGCCTGAAGCGGCACGCGTCATGGTGATAGAGTCAACGACCGGTAGTGATGTAATCATGACTCTCATGACTTCTACTTGCTTCTGCCGAAGTTCCTCTCCCGAGAAATTGCAGTTCCGATGATATTCATTCTTATTTTTGCCCAATCTCGTAGTGACTCGCATATATTCACATTGTTAGGCTGATTTGGGAGAAAAGTTAGTTCCAAATGCCTTGTTCTTCACTAGCATTCCACTCCAACTATATACATATCGCTTCCTCTCAGAAGCGTAATGTAGCTATAACACCGGACTACCAAGCCTTATCTTGCATATGGATCTGTCCGGAAATACCCAACAGTCTGATGGCTTGGCACCCTCAGGAAAATCATCATGGACGCCAGATCTTCCCCATCATTTCCTACAACCCGGCCCCGGGGTTGACCCCACCGTACCGGGATTCGGTCCTGGACTGCCGCTGCTCGGACAACATGATGGTTTGAGCCATCTTGCTTCCGCGGCGGCTATCTCCGACCCATACAGCATGCTTCCCGGAACATCGCCACTGGGTCCGTCGCCGCCAAGTCAATCTGGGCCGTCCGCATTTATAGCTAATGAAAATATCGCGCTCGGAACGTTTACGGAAAGCGCTGAGCGAAGGGAGCAGTTAAGAGCCAAGCGTCGCGTTCCAAATTCCCAACGGAAGAGGACCCAAGTCAGTTGCGACGCCTGTAAAACGCGAAGATGCAAATGTGTGCGTCTAAAATCAGCTCTGGGATCTGATAACGATATAGCAAAGCCCGGCGGCCAGTCTCCTTGTAAGTTGTGTGTCGAAACTGGAATTTCGTGCGTGACATCGTTGCCACGTAAGCAACGGGTCTACGGTAGCGTCGAGAATCTAGACAAGAGATACCGGGCCCTCGAGGCCTTGGTTTCGGGCATATTTCCAGACCTGAACCCCAGAGCCTCGGCGGAAGAACTGGTGATCTTTGGGCAGGAGAGGGCGATAGTCATGCCTGATTTCGGTGAATCGCCCGATCAATTTCAACCTCAGCCTCGACTTCTGTCGGTAGAGCAACCTATAAAACTGATCACACCTCAAACTCATAGATACGGCTCAGTCTTAGGGGAGGGAATCGGAAGCTCGAATTTGATCATAGCAGGGACCGATCACGAAAAGACTATATTGCCGCCGTCCTATCTTATGAGATTCGCGCCAACGAAGACTCCACAGCTCACGCCTGACTCTACGGATAGTATTGCAGACCCCAGCGCTAAGACTACCGGTTTGATATCGGATGCCACTGGCCGGCCGCATTACATAGGGCCATGCGGGAGTCTTGCTTTCTTTGGCAAAATGCGCGAGCTATTTGTGCAACGCTTTTCCGAGACGGGGTTCGTAGGTGGATCTGATGGAACAACCCGCGGTTCTACGAGTGGTAAAAAACGGCTCTTTCACAACAACCCGTTGGCAGCTTCGCTAGGTGGAACTGGTGATCGTGGGCGAGCGGCTGCGTCTCCCCCACGACGAGATGGTTCTAGTTCACCTAGCCAAATCTTAGACCATCTTGATGGCGACTCTCCTCCTCAAATATGCGAAAATATGCTCAGGGAACATCCAAACGACCCTGAATTTTGGAGGTATCGTAAACGAGTCTCCGAACTTGAATTGCCCCCTAAAGAGCGAGCAGACGCCTGCGTCCACGCCTTTTTCCAATGCGTCCATCCGAACTTCACCTTGTTCCATCGGCTTACTTACCAAACCGCTTATGAGAAGATGTGGCGTTGCTGGGACGCGCACAGAGGAAAAAACCCCAAGACTCATGTCAAAGAAACTTCTGTATCGGTTGGATGGCTGTGCTGTCTGTATATGATACTCATCCTAGGATCTCGATCCCTTCCGCAGAATGCCGAGTCGCTTGACTTCCAACGGAAATGGTTTTCAAAAGTTGAAGAGCTCCCACCGCTCCTTGGCACTTCGAGTCTCCCGAACGTACGTGCATATATGCTCCTCTCGTTATACTACCACAATACCAACGACCGAACCGGCGCCTGGACGTTTCACGGTGCGGCTTGTCGACTAGCTATAGCGCTTGGGATGCACCGCGAGAGTTCTTCGGGATTGTTCGATCCGGTAGAGAGGCAGCTTCGAAAGCTAGCTTGGTGGACGTTGTACGGCTACGAACAGTTTCTATGCTGTTCGTTAGGGCGTCCTAGTGCGATCGATGATAGAGAAATGGATGTCGGAATTCCAAACGATGACTATCTGGACGCAAACCTTCTCCCTCCTCGGTATATCGAGCATTCGGCTCGGTTAGATATGCTCTTAGCTGCCGTCCGGCGCGGGATATTCGATCCAGGATTTGTCGCCGCGAAGATGTATACCCGAGCCCTAGAGTTCCTAGAGGCTGTCTCAGGTTGGGAAGATACACTGCCGAGAGGACTCAAACCCTTGGCGTACGAGGGCAGCTCCGACGGGAACGATAACCAGTGGCGGAGTGCTATATTACTTAACGTTCGGTATTATCACACGCTCTGCTTCTTGACACGTCCGTTTCTATTTGAGACGATCGAATCTGTGAACGGGGGACCTCCCCTGGGGCCTGACGCGTGCAAGATAAGAGCATTATGCAAAGTCTGTCTGACTGGCGCGATGCGCTGTGGGAACTTGATCATCAGCTTATGGCGCGCAGGTCACATAAACGGGGCTACATGGATAGATATATACTATGCATATATGTCTAGCCTAGATATCTCGTTAGCATTGCTTTCCCCGGATTCGCTATGCCAAGATGAAGACCAACTAGAAATCGCCAAGCCAGAGCTCATACAAACATATACAGTAGAAGAAATGAAGGACGTTGTAAGGCAGCTATGCGAGGTCATGTCGACGATCGAGGTATGTGGAACAAACGCTCGGTTTGCAAAGGCAGCGTTTGAATTTGCGATTGCCCTCGGAATTATTCCCGAGGAGAGTATTCTCTCCTTAGGTCTGTCACTCCTAGAGCTGAAGGCCAGGGAACGAGATAAGGGGCCTAATGAGGAGAGTTTCATTCCTAAAGCAACAGGAGGGGACCAAGAATATACCCACGATAAAAAACAGGGAGTCGACGGTGGTAGAGTTGACCAAGGCATGACTGGAATATCTAGCTATTATCCCGCAAGTGCTATGAACTTAGATTTCCAAGGCAACTTGAGCTACCCCTTAGATGATGCGATGGGCGATGTGCAATGGGACATGTGAGTCGATACCGAACAACGCAACACTGCCTTACTTTACTTCGGAGTTTTCTAATGCGCTGATTTTGAACTCGCCAGGATACTGCAACCTTCACAATGGAACGGCGCCGCTTTGAATATGGACATGGACTGGGTCTGGCAGTGTCCGAATCAAAGCTGGCATGGTAATATTTACGGAAACTAACGAACCCCTAGTGAAACCCTTCACTGCCTACCTACCCTCTTACGGGTTATGTCGACTACGCTCGCACTTGTTAGAATAAAGACCTTCGGACGCGACATTCCTGCAATTCCGGTGGCAAAAGACATATAACACAGTTAGCTTCATAGCCAACAAAGTATGTGAGATTGTCGAATTTAAAGACTCGCGTATCTCTTTCTTTTCCTCGAGCATCTAGCCGACATGAATTTTCTTACACCAGTCTCTCCCATGCTGAACCTGCCAGCTGCAAAGCCACCCTTCCATAGCCATGCTGATAAAACTAGCAATGCAGATACCAGCGCTATCGCTAACACTAGTTGCTCCGAGACTAAACTCTCGCTCAGAAGTTGGCACATTTTGCATGATTTCAGCAAATGTGTTCACGTATACCGCCCCGCCCAGTAGGCCTTCCCAGAATACGACGATGAAAATCACGTAGACGCTAGGGATAAAAGGCAGCAACGCGTGTAGCGTTAACAGCACCAGGTTAGCGATCTGGAGGAAAGAAGGGAGATATAGGTGCTGGATACGAAAGAAGGCGATCGATGAGCGTGAGATGAATACGCCTAGCTGGTACAAGAATCCGTACATGGGATAGAAATCTCGGTACTCCTTAAAGGGCGTTGATTTTAAAGGGAATAGTAAGGTCGGAGAGACGCCTTGATTTATAGTGTATTCTGCAACATAGACCAACAACAGCGGCAGCATGTAGGGATAGAATAAAGATCTAGCGCGTCGAACATTAGACTTCAGCTTAGATAGAGCATCTATGCCGTTCGTGGAAAGATCAACAGATACAATTGCCGACTCAGGCGCGAGGAGGCTAGAAGTAGCATTGGTAGTTGACAAGTCATCCTCGACATCATCTTGCCTTACGTCTCGATGCGGTACTGCCTGATAGCCCCTCGCTCCCTTGCCTTGGCGGAGGGGTTCCTTGGGTAATATTAGGAAGAAGCTGATAAACATAATTACGGGCAAGAATGCCGAAGCCAATAGACTGTCCCTAACAGAGAAACCAATCCAGTCAGTGAACATGACGTATAATCCAGCACCAATAAGACCGGCGCCACCAGTACCACTCCCCCAAGCAGCCAGACTCATGTGCCCGTAATAATGAGTCAGGCCGAGGAAGCTCAGCTCTCCTGCGCCACTCGACAAGCTTGCAAGTATTACTCCAGCCATCTTGACCCCGACAGATTTATCTGGTGGTGTAAGGGCGATCATGAACATGCCGAGGGACGAGGTGACGACGAGGACGATTATACGTAGCCAATATGGGACCTTGTGAATGAAGTACGGCGCGATCAATTTAGTGAGGAACGAAGGGAGAACATCGGCGAGCAAGACAAGTCCTTTGGGCACTTCGGATCCGACAAGGTCTTGGGCGGCAGAGAGGATAATTACGTATAAGACATTGTTGATTAAACCTTGAATACGTCAGTGTGCTGTAGATGCGACTATGAAGAAGAGAATAACAAACCAAAGAGCCAGAACGCAGTCAACGCCGACGTGTCGGCGTTCTGAAAGATGGAGGCAAGTCGAGCCCGGTAAAGGGCCCAAGACGACGACGGCGAGCCAGGCATAGGTAAGAGACCCGAAGACGCGGGCGAGCGACTCATCGTGGAGAGATGTCGTAGATATTCAAGATACGCTATAGCGCGCAACTTCTTGCCTGGTGTAATCGCGTAGGAAATGGCTACATACTGGGTAAGACCGAGCTTGTCGATGAGAGTTGACCGTCAAGATCGTCATCTGTTACACGTGGTAAATAAGAATGAAATGACAAGAACTCCTTATGACGAGAACACAAGGACTATATAACTAACCTTACAGTTGACCAGATAAGCTACTATGCCAAAATGAAAAAAATCGGTAAACTTAACTTAAAAATTATCTCAGGTGACCTTAGACCCGAAATTTTCGAGTTGGGCTGCGCCTGCCTGCGCCACGCAACGCGTGGTTTGTGTGTTTGTACCTATAGGTCACGGGTAAAGCATTTGAAAATTTTTGGTTTAAGGCTGTATAGCGTTGCAAGGGTCTTTAACGGTTTTATTAATAATAAAAAAATTAAATATTATATTTATAATGATTTAATATATTATAATAATATACGAAATAGTTTTAATTTTAATGATTTAAAGTTTATAATATGTTTTTTTTAATTTTTTATTTTTTTTATATATTTATAAAATATTACTTTTTTATATATTAAATTTTAACGTTTAAAAATTTTTAACGTTTTAAAATATTATATATTTAAATATAATAATTTAATATTTTATAACCACGTATAAAATCCCGTTTATTAATAATTTAAAATTAATAATATTATTATTTAAACTTTTCCGTTTTTTTATACATTTATACGGCATTATTTTTTTATATATTAAAATTTTAACGTTTATTATAATTTATTTTAATAAATTTAAATTAAAATTCGTTAATAAAATTAAACTTACGTTTAATTGCGTTATAAACGTTATAAAACGTTTAATTTATATTATTATATTTATAAGTTTAAAGTTTAAAAAAATAACATAAAATTAAAATTTTAATAAATTTTAATTTAAAATATATTTAATATATTTAATTATAATTAAAATAATTTTTTTAAAAATTAAACCTTATATTTACAATAATTTAATATTTAATAATAATATATAAAATAACTTTTATTTTTATAATTTAAAATTAATATTTTTTTTTTTTACTTTTTTAATTTTTTTATATATTTATACAATATTACGTTATAATATTATAAGTTTTAACGTTTAAAAATACGTAATTATATATTAAAACAATATTTATATTTATATATATATTTATAATTACGTATAAAATATTTAATTTTTTTTAATTTAAAATTAATATAATAATTTTTTAAACCTTTTTATTATTTTATATATTTATATAATATTACATTATAATATTATAAACTTTAATATTTAAATTAATAATATATTTTTAAAAACGTTATAATTAATATTATAACCAATATTATAACCGGTATTATAATTAATATTATAGTTAATTATTATTTTAAAAAACTTAAAACGTATATATTTATTATTAATAAAATTAATAAATATTTTAAATTAATTAAAACTTATTTTAAACGTATTAATATTATTATTTTTAATATTATTTTAATATTATTTTAATATTATATTTTTAATATTAAATAATTAATTATAATAAAAATTGTTTAAATTACTTTAAATTAAAAATTAAAAATTATTTTTAAAATTATACCGGGATTATAATTGGTTAAAAAGTTATATAATTAAAAAAGGTATAACCGTATAAACAATCTCGAATTTATGGTTTAAATTTATTAAAATAAATTATAACGCGTGTTACGGTTAACGCGTTATAATTAACGCGTTATAACCGTTATAATGTAATTGTTATAACCATTTTTAACATTTTAAAAAACTTAAAACACGTAAATTTAATTAATAAACTTAATAATAAAATTAATACGATTATATAATTAATTAAACTTATTATAAAAATACATTAATATTATTATTTTTAATGATATTATTAATGTTATTATTAATATTATTATTTTAAAACGTTAAACGTATAATTTTAATGTACGGGGTTTTAAAATTATTTTAAACCATAAATTTAAAATTGTTTTAAAAAGTTGTTCCGGGGTTTAATTGGTTAAAAAAAAAATGTGGTTAAAAAAAGTATAATTTTATAAACGATTTTAAATTTATGGTTTAAATTTATTAAAATAATTTAAAAAAGTAATTAATTATAAATTACCGTAATTAATTTAAATTATTATAATATTTTGTATTTTTATATAAAAAAAAATTATTTTTTATAAATATATATATATTATAATGTTATATATAATATATTTTAATAAAATATATTTATTTTTATAACTTTTTAATTAATTAAATCGTATTTTTAAATTAAATTTTTTTATATTTTATATATTTTAATAATTATTTATTATAATATAATAATTTACTTTTTTTTATTATTTATTATAACTTTTATATATCATTTTTAATTAATAAAATAATATTATTTTATTTGTTTTATTTTTTTAACTTTTTTTAATATTAATTAATAAAAATTATAAAATTTTTTTATAATTTATTAATATTTACCATTTAAAATATTTTATTTTAAATTTATTATTTAATTTAAATGTATTTAATAATAACGGTATTTATTATATAATAATATATTACGTTTATTATATTATAATTAAAAATGTATAAAAATTAAATAAAAAAAAATAAAAATAAAAAAAAACCTTTTTTATTTTTAATTTAAAAACTTAAACTTATTATAATATTAAATAATAATATTTTATAAAATAAATAATATTATTTTTACATTTTCGATTTTAAATATATTAATTATAAATATATCTTTTTTAATTTTTTATTTTATATTAATTTATATTAATTAAATTATATTTATAAATTATTATTTTATTATTTTATTTTTTAATTATTAAAACTTTTTTAAAAATCTATTAATATTTTAATAATTTTTTAAACTATTAACCACTTTTATAAATTAAAATTAATAAATTTAAAAAAGTAAAATAATTATTAAAAAAGTTATTAAAAAACTTTTTAACGTATTATTTTAAAAAAAACTTCCTTTTTATTATAATATATTATATTAAAACTTATTAAATTATTAATTATTTAAATAAATTTAATTTTATTTATATTATATTTAAAACTTTTAAATAATAGTTTAAAACGAATTTTATACGTAAATATTTATTATTAAATATTATATATAATAATTTTTTAAATAATTCGTTTAAATTTTTTTTTTTCGTATGGATTTTTATTATTTTTTAAATAAAAATTAATTTATTTTAATTTTAAAATTAAATTTAAAAACTAAGTTTATTGTTATTTATTTTTATATTTTAATGTTATATATATTTTAATTATTTAATAAATTAAATAAAATTAACTTTAAAATAATTTTATATTATTATAATTTTAAAGTTTATATATTTATTAAAAATTTTATTAAATATCTTTTTACTTATTTTATATAGTTTTTTTTAATAATATTATTATATTATTTTTTTAAAGTAAAAATACGAAGAAAATAATATTTTTTATTATAATATTTAAAAAA